TCAAATCGGTGAATCATCGGTATACATTTTTCTTTTACAGTATTGATATCATTGATTTCAGAATCATCCATGATCATTGTGGGAGTGAATTGTTGTTCTGATTAGCGATTTCAAATCAGATGATCATACCAACGATGAATACACTTAAATCACGTGACAATTTCGAGTGATATCAATCACATTCGATCCATAGAACGAAGCAGGGAATACAATCATGTGAATACCTAATACAAATAACTCTAGTACATCTGGAGCAATCGTGGAATCGATAGAGTATGGAGAGTGGATCCAAATACACTCATAACTTGTATCCATTGTGGAAATTGAGAATGTAGTATTAATCATGGTGTTCAGAATGGCAATGATTTCACTCAGTGTATAATAACCAGGCGAGATCGTTATCTCTTCACCATTAATGTTTGTCACCACATTGGTTGAGTCCACAATATTGAACATGACTTGATTGGGTTTGAATAGAACAGTCATGGAAGTGATAAATGGATTTCTGAACTTGTAAGGATTGATTGAATCGAATGTGCCATTGATAGGTGAATCTTGTATGAGAATGGAATAATGCATGTTCTCTCTTTACCAAAGACATCTATGACTTGTATGGACAACAATAGATGGATTTGTGATGACAATGTACACACATTGGCTTTCGGTCATTACAAATAGGCAAACAAACATGTAAATACGAGAGAAATAACAATAATTCACCTTAGCTAGGTATGTCTACTGCTTTCATGCTCCAAGTATAACTGATACAACAAGCACAAAATAGAAACGAGTACTAGGTTGATAGTAGAAAGGAATGGAAGTAAGAAAGCACGAAACCTGGTTCCTGACCGATGATTGTCGACCAGACAGCCTAGGAACGATAGTCAAGGACTCAGAATCGGTTGGTCGATTATAACTACAGACAAAGGGTTGCAATTGTGGTCATGGTACAAAATAACATATAAAGAAAACTGCCACCAGGTTTCACGCAAATAGTGCCATTCTCTTACTACTATTGTTTCATATTAATGAGGTTTAAAATGGCTACAAGTTGATAAATCATATTATTATTGATCGAAAGAGCTTTTTGTTATTGTGAAAATAGGATCATTTAAGTTATGTGACATGTATCAAATATGGATGAACTCATCAATAGAAATAGGAAGGATGAATCAGTCATTTACCACAAGTATTGTTGTATTTCCTTTGATATATGACTAATCTGTATAATATAGTCTCGAGATACTTTGAATCAATACTTGGAAAATGAATATCTGCAATAGAATAACAACAAATGTGTATTGTTTCATTTTGGTGCATATTGTGTGATATGAATTGTATTAAAGCCCATAATGAATTCACATTCTAAATGTGACAACTAATAATGTTGCTAGTTCGTGTTGTAAGCTGAGAGAAAGAATGAGCAGTATTAACAAACAAGAGTCTTCACAATAGTTATTCTCAATAGTATTGATTGTGAATAGTTGATGTTTTGTCATCATCATTATCATCATCATTATTATTATTCTGTATGGGAAGATAGAATAATGTGTATTTGTGATTGATTGTATATTTTGGCTTATTAGTATACTCCATGGAATAGAATACTGTGAAAATAAGATAGGTAAGTATGGAATAATCAGAAATGGCCAATATGAATGAAAACAACAACAATACTAGAATGGAATAGAATAGTAGAAAATAACATATGTATGAAGTAGCAGTGGAAATGAAGTCATTTTCACAAATTATGACGAACAATAGCTGAAATGATGATATTTCACAGGGATTTGTTTTAGCACATCCTGAAATGAATTACATAGATCATGCATAGTTTTGCTTCAAAACAAACAAAATCCAAACAAACACGATTCTATCATTTCATTGGTTTAACACAATGTTTGATTCTGTTAAATCCATTTTCATAAAATAACTAATTCTGAGTAACAGGAACAATATTGTTGATACTTAGTACTGGAATAACCAATCGATGAATGAATGAATGATTGGAGTTTGTAGTAAATTCCGTTATTGTTAGTTGGAATGCACAATGATTGGTATATAGTGGTTGGAACTGAATGATTCCTAGATATTATCACAGATTGTATGCTATATGTGAATAGAATAGTACTGGAATGATTTGTGTAATTGGTCACAATCTATTGAATAAATATGAGTTGGATGTACAAAGATTGCATAACATGGAGATGGTTTGTACCATGAATGGATGAAAGAAAGAAGAATAGAAGAAATAGTATTCATTGCTTAAGATCTTAATCCATTCAATGATATGTATTAGTTATTTATTATGAATGTAATACGTGATTATGATAATGAAGAGTGAATGAGAGAGAATCGAAATGAATGGGAATGTGATTGGTTGTGATATTGGAGTTGGATTCGATACGATTTCAGCAATTCAACACTGAAATGAAAACAAAAGAATGAATGAATCATTGAGTATTATCCAAATGAATACTATCTCAACAAACAAATATGGATTGTGTCGATTCCTATTGATTCAATTGGATTACGTGCAATGAATCTTGTCAAAACGATTCGATTGAAGTCGTTCGATCAAGATTCATTCGAAATATGTGATTTGTGGATTCATCGGTGTACAATCACAAACAGCATATTGAATATACAATCAAACAATGGATTCCAAGAAAACCCATTATCGAAATACTCATATTCAAACCACAACACAAATGGTTCTCACAATATGCCTCATTATTGTATTGTGATTATCAAATGCTGATTCCATATTGACTTGTTCGAATGGGATCTAATGATTTGAATGATATCAATAATAATAATAATAATGATAATAATAATCAGAAAGAAAGAAAGAAAGAAAGAAAGAAGAGTATTGTTATGCAATACATTACAATGATAGATTCCAGCTAATACAATGATCGAACATAATGATTTCATGAATCTCGATCGATTCAATTGCAAAACAACCATTGAGACTACAATGTGTTTGAGTGGTTGTTCCATTTGGATTCGATCGAATCAATTGTATAATTCTATCAGTCGATTGGATCGCTATCAATGAATCATTCGACCGATTCTATATCATTGATAATCTAACAAATACAAAAACAAAAACAAATACTACTACTACTAATAATAATAATCACGAGGATTGATGGTTAAATACTCATCATCAATCTGATTCTGATTCTGATTCTGATTGATCGATCCTATCCAATCATTCTATTCATGATCAACAATACCAAAGTGATCTAATGGTATTCAATATGCTGAAATAGACCGATGAATAATGTGGATGATGATACAATCATAATAATAATAATGATGATGATGATGAATGGAGATCGAAAACTAACCAAATACACACCATTCATTCATTCAATCAATGGATCAATGGATTGAACAGCCTTTCTATTCTTATCAGTATTATTGAGTGTGAATGATGAATTGATTCTTTACGATATTCAACATTCATTTGCATTTTGAATCAGCTATCTTTCATCCATTGATTGAGTGAGTGAATGAGTGGTTTGTGTGATATTGAAGAATACGACATTCCATCCAAATATCGAATTGTGAAACCACGATTGATATTACTACTAACTACAACTATCAAGTATCAAACACATCCGATTTGATTCCATTATTATCAAATTGATAAATCCATGTTTTGTGACTCATTGATAAACAAACAAACAAACAAACAAACAAACAAAGAAATGATAGTTGGATTGATTGAATGGCGAATCCAATATGATTTCCAATGCTATTCAATCGGATTCTATTCTATTCTATTCTAGTTTCATTGTCTTGTTTTATCCATTTCACCTCTATTTGATTCTATTCTATTCTATTCTATGTATACAGTGATCGATTCCTATTCAATAAGTCAAAATCAATATCCTAATTCAATATCAATCATCGTATTGTATTGTATTGTATTGTATTGTATTATCTACCGATTTAACAATGGATTCACAAATGTGAATAATCATCCAATATCAATCGATTCCAACCATTCCATTGTGTCACTATCAAATCCAATCTTATTATTCATGATGATTATGATGATTATTCGAAGCAAGCAGTTTCCTATCAATATTGAACAAATCCTAATTCAAACCTATTCAAACCATCATTTGTATATTATTATTATTATTATTATTGGTAGATTGGATTCATCATTTGTGAATGTTCAATATGTGATCATTGGGTCATTGGTAATAATAATGATGATAATGATGATCGAAAACAATGATTGATTGATTGATTAATTGATTGATTGAAACAACAATCATAATTGAGTATCATTGTTAAAATGTAAAGAAGAACATCATTATAATCAGGCAGGATTGATATTTTGATAATTTGTAGAATCATGAATTGTGATCAAGAATCGGTTTGAAACAATCAATCAATCAATCAATCAATGGAAATGTTCCTAAACAATGACGAATCACTGAACAAATCAAATCAAATCAAAATTATAGATTTAATGCTTGATTTGGACAAGATCAGCGAGAATGGAAGAAACATCTAGGAATCAAATCAAATCAATCAAACTATACTCGAAATTGATTTCGATCGAACTCTCTGGAATGGATAACTAAACAACCTATCACCAGGTAGGTTGACATTTCGAAGATTTGGAATATCTAAATACTATCAATATTCAATATTCAGAAATACTTTCCAATGTCACTACACGAAAACAAATGAAACTATATCCTCTTGAAGTAATTGATGTTAGATTTGGAAGATCTACAAAACAAATCATAACCAATCAATTCATTATTACTTCGCATCGTCAATGAACTTGAATCATCCCATGTTCCTTCAAGTGCACCAAAACCGAGTTGAATGGATTGTAATGATGGAAGATCTACATCAATCATTGCATTCAAATTCATTCAATACTTTCAATTATTGTTGATAAGGGATAATGGAATGCACCATAACCAATAATAATGGATTGTAGATTTGGAAGATCTATGCATCATTCAAATATTCGATATCATATCAATACCTCGAATCACAAATGAACTATAACAGAAATTGTATGACCAACTTCTAATTGTCCCAATGGTACCAATTTGAATGGATTGTAATTGTGGTAGATTCTTCAATTCAAAGTCTCCAGCAAAATCACTGAAACTCCATTCACCTATTTGAATCGATTCCAATGATTCACAATTCAATATGTGGAATGATTTCAATTGGTCTGCCTTTCTCCAGTCCCACTTTTCAGTACTTTTCAGTTGAGTAAATGAATTGTTTCCGATTTTGATAGTTTTCAATCGATTCAATCCATCGATTTTAAATGTTTTCACTGATCCAAAACAATCATCGCCGATTTCGATTGATTCCAAATTATACAACAATGAAACATCCCAATCAACCAATATACAATTGTCATTCAGTTTCAAATGTTTCATTCCAATATTCAGTGGTTTGCTTCCATCGCCTTCATAATCAATATCACATTCAATTCCATTACACCATTCACATTTATTCACTAATTTACCATATCGATCATATACTTTTCCAATTCCAAATCGATTATCATCACACCAATATCCTTCATATTCAATACATCCATTATTATGATAACTCGTTCCATATCCAAATCGTTTCCAATTGATCATTATGCCCTTGTACAACAAGAATCCATCATCATCATACATTTCACCATATCCAAATGGAATTCCCAACTTGTTTTCTGTCAATACCAATCCTTCAAATCGACTTCCATGATCCAAATCCACGATTCCTTTTTCTACTACTTCTATGGATTGTTCTTCATTATATGAAATAGCACCAATTTGATGATTTCCAAACACTTTCAACACTTTCTGCTCATTGAGTACAAATCCTTGATTCATGAATACTCCATTATCGAATTGCAATACTATACATTCTCTATTACTCAATATGAGTGAAATCCAGCCATTTGGTTTCATTTCTTTACCCAAGCATCCCTGCACATTTTGAATAATGGAACTATCAATGTGATAGTTACTAATAACAGAATTGACAAAATCAGCAATGTTTTGCATGGAAATGAAAAGAAATATGGTAAAACGGTTATTTTGGAAACAAGATCTGTTTCATTATTTCTCGATAGAACACACGTCATGGATTATTGTGTATGGCTTTGATATGCTGGTGTGTTACAAACTAGAATACATAGGATAAAACCTTATTTTCTCCACCCATTTCTATTTTTCTTTATTTTGGTGCATTTCCATCTATTCATTTATTTTTGTGTTATTTTCAGATACTTATAGCTTTGATTGTAAATTATTACGCATTTTGATCACCTTTACTCTTTCGTGTCAGAATGGCTGTTCTATTAGGTCTATAATGGATATATGTTCTTCAAAATATATCAATTATGTGGTAGTTAATCTTGTTTTGCAACAATCGAACTCACAATAGTGAATACTGTTGGAATGGCTTGATTCGTAATAGAGAGTATGGCAGTAGTATGTAGAATGCAAAATCCATCATTTCTATTTGACAAGTGGATTATTGTATTGATTCTCTGTTGATACTTCGATTCTCTTCTGTCACAATGATTATCCATATTGAGTACAAAGAATGATATTGCAGAGAAAGGAATGTGGTTCATAGATTGAAATGGTGAATAGGAATCATAGTATCATTAAACAAAACAATCGATTGAATAATATGATGGATGGAATCCATGAATCCTATGAATGAAAACCTTGGTTTCTATTTGATCAACAAAACAATGTGAAATGCAATGTGATTACCATAGCAATAGTATATAATAAACAAGTAATATTGAGTGAGTGAATGAATATGCCATCCATCATAGAGATCTCTTCCACTCACTTCCACTCCATCTTTCCATTCCACTTCGCGAGTAGCAATCCGAGTTTCTTCATCGATCCAGTATCCTCGACCATTTCGAAGAAACGATTCTTTCGATTCATCATAAACGAATTCACCCACATACAGGGGAATTCGATTCGAAGCGATGGTGTTGTTACCGCTTCGCTTGAACTCGATCATGATGCTTCCTTCGATTTTGCGGATGATCTCCACGAACTTGTTCCCCTTCCACATTCCCTCAAGCAACATGGCACCCGTTTTATCGTCATATTGGATGCCCCATCCTTCTCGTTCTCGCTTCTCATTGAATTCACCGTGATATATCAGGTGATCACTCGCATGCGAATAGATTTCCATACGCTCGCCTCGGACATGGTTTATTATACGATGAAAATTCTTTCTGTCCCAGATATCATCATAGGATTGCACAAAAGCGACACATCCATTTTCAAATCGGGTAAAGTCGCCGATTTCGCTCCCGTTTGCATCCACCTCGTAATACATCTTCAGTATGCCGTTTTGGAATAGGCAAACCTTCCCAGCTCTCGTCAATGTGTATTCAGCCTCGTGATCGCCTTGATAATATTGGAGGCTTTACTTGCAGCCTCCAATAGTGATTTCCTTTGCTTCACCAAGCGTTATGTAACCGTCCAGGAGAAATTCGCTTCCCTTAAGTTCTTGCATTCTACCTATTTATAATCACATATCCTTAGCCTCTACTCTTTGAATCCGTAATTTGTAGCCAAATATAAAGAATTTATGAAGAAAACAGAGAGATCAGTTTGTTTCCTTACACCTAAGTATTCTTCATATTTAAGAATTATGATAGAGTGCTACCATATACACATTGGATCCAAGATTTCCAAGTGAAGTACTCACTTGTGTTTCGCATCATTTTGTTCACATTTTTGTGGTTGAAATAGTTCGGAGGTATAGATATTTATAATAATAATAATATCAGGATTGTTTGGAAACACTCAGAATGGAAAAGTCCATTTTGTTGTCTACTATGTCTATATAGGTTGTATATTTATGATATCATAGTGAAATCGTGTTATGAAGCAAGGATTTGGTTGTTCACTCCACTTTGTCTAAATAGTCTATATTATCATTATCATCATTATTATTATTTCGATAATCCAATCTATCCATCCATGATTCTAGCCAAATCATTTTGACTTGGGAATGGTTGGGTTTGAAAGCAATTCAAACTAGTAAAACTAGTAAATCAAATCGAATGGAATGGAATGGAAATTGGTTTTGATCCAGTGATTTTCACACAAAGAACCTATCTTCGCACATCGTTAACCATTCACTCCATTTTCTATCATTTCCTTATCCTAAACCAACCAACTAACTCTAAATACACTTTCTTTCTATCTTTCTTTCAACTATCAACTCACAGCACTCTATTATTCCTATCAACTAGAGTCGTTTGGTTCCTCGTTCTGGATTATTCTGTTCATGTTTCTAAATCATTCCAACACCCTACACACTCTAAATCTACATTATCTTTCCTTCCTAAACACATTTTCGATTCTCATTCAAATCCTACAACGCTTCAACCATTCCACATCTCTACAATTCCATCCATCCATCCATCCATCTTCCAAACCAAACACCCAAACCATTTCTCTCTCAGCAACTGCCAAATCGGTCTGGATCGTAGAAACGTGGAAACATCGCGACCCACGGCGCACCAGGCGTGATCGACGAGGTGGGCGCGGATGAGCGCGCCGGTCACGTCGTAGGCGAAGAGGAAGCGGAGGCGGAGGCGGAGGGGCTGGGTGACGGAGACCACGGTGGCGTTCTGCGCCCAGTTGGACAGGAAGAGATCCAGAGAGCCCGGTCGACTCTGCACACCTTCGTAGGGAGCCACGGACCCCACCCCATCGCCCACCAGATTCCTGCTCACTCACACCCACACCCACACCCACACCCAGAGCGAACCGGTGAGCGAGGAGGTTGGCTCGCCGTCCACCACCAACACCCAACGAATTCCGACGTGGCCATCGTGGACACTCCGAATTGCCTGCCCATCCACTCGGCACTGCCCACTTCGCTCGGGACGCACTCCAGCGTGTAGGAAGTCGCGGGGATCCCACCCTCCAACACGTCCCACACATCGCGTCCCGCGGGGAACCAGACGGTTCGGCGGAAGGAGGAAGGAGGAAGTCGCGGGAGCGCGAAGCTCGCACGTGGCGGTGCAGAGATCATGGAAGGATCCGGTAATCGCCATCGCACAGTCCCACTCAATGCCCTCCGCCTGATTCCACACACACCGCATACAGAACCGCGGGGATCTTCTCTTGGCGGGAGAGATACCCGGTGAACGCGGCCACGCTCAGATAGATGGGCGCGTGCTGCACGCTCTGCACGCTCTGCACGCTCTGCACGCTCTGCACGCTCTGCACGCTCTGCACGCTCTGCACGCTCTGCACGCTCTGCACGCTCTGCACGCTCTGCACGCTCTGCACGCTCTGCACGCTCTGCACGCTCTGCAGGTCCAGGAAGCAGTTCGTGCTGGCGACCTCGCTCTCGCTCTCGCTCTCGCTCTCGCTCTCGCTCTCGCTCTTGCTCTCGCTCTCGCTCTGGATCACGGCCATCGACGCCATCCACGAGCGTCGCACCACGTAGTACCGAATGCTGGCGCCGCCCAGCTCCGCCGGCTCTGCCCACTGCACGCGCAGCGAGGTCGAGGAGAGCGCGGCCACCTCGAGGTTCTGCACCGCGCCGGGCGCGACGACATACGCGGCGAGGGTGATGGGAGAGGAGGCCTCGGAGAGGATGGAGCACGCGGCGGAGCACAGCGCCACGCGCAGCCAGTAGGCCACGCACGCATCGAGAGAGAGAGCGAGAGAGAGAGAGCTCGGGTTGCTGGACGTCGCCCTCTTGGAGGAGCGCGTCGGCGGCGAAGAGCTGGGAGTGGGAGCCAACCAAGGCCTGCACGAAGAGCTCGCACCACCACCAGACCCAGCGCACCTGCGTGGCTTCGAAGGCGGCAGCAGCACGACGGGCGCGGAGGCAGGGAGGGAGGGAGCAGCACGACGGGGCGGTAGACGGAGAAGGACGCGAAGGCGGACCAGGAGGCGCCCTTGCGGACACGCCAGCTGATGGCCATCACGCTGTTCACAATGGCGCCCGCCACCAACACGGAGCGCGTCTCGAAGAACTGGCTCTGCACATTGCTGCCCATCAAGGCCATCCATCGGGTTCATCGGAGATGCCACTGCTCCAGGGAACCTCCATCTGCACAGACACGCTGCGCTGCGCTGCGCCTACTCCACTTCCCTCATACCAATCGCGCTCTCCACAATGCGAGCAGGCCACAACCGAACGCCAACCGAACGCCAACCGAACGCCAACCGAACGCCGGCGCGGTCGAGAAGGTCGTGATGAGGGTTTCCACGGGGAAGGGGAGGCCGTTTCGGGACACCAACCTGTTGGCATTGATGTAGAGCGTGCGTGCCTTCGCAGAACCGCGGGAAGGAGCCATCGAAGGTGAAGGTGAAGGCGAAGGCGAAGGCGAACTCAATGGTGTAGTCGGAGATGGAGATCGCGGTGGTGGGATAGGAGAACGTGGCCTCGGCCAATTCAAACACGATGTGGATGTTCATGGGCTCGAATGGGTCGTTCATCACCTCGCCCACGCCCACATTGCTCGTGCAGTACATCGTGGATTGCTTCCCATCTCCCATCGTCCACAGCGCCACGTCCCTCGCCCCATCGCCCGCCACGCAGCGCAGCGCAGCATCGGCAGGATGGGCTGGCAGGAGCCCGTCCCCTATCGATCGATCGATCGATTCCCACTGCTGATAGGCGTTGCACCCATCCGTGATCATGCCCCACTAGTCCACATCGCACTTCGTATCCAACACTTGCCCCAAGTGCCCTTCCGGCTACCCCGCCGCTTCGTCCGCAGGGCACACCACCGCCACGCACCTCACCTCTCTTCCATTCCACCACTTCCCACACGCCCGCACCACGCACACCTCCACCTTCCCATGCTCCACAGACCCACAAATGCACAACTGCACCGTCTTGGAACTCGCCTGCTCCCACTGGCCATTCCAGTTCACTCAGCTCCCATCAATCAGAGGCGAGGACCGTACCCACAGCAGTTCGCATACTCCGCCTTCTTGTCCCATTCTCCCAAGTTCCACACACGCTCCGCTTCTACAAACCTACAGCTATTGCTCCCATTGTTTGCCCTTTCACTCATCGCAAATCCGTTCTCTCTACCACACTCTACCACATCACAATATGAAAATGAAAATACGAGAAACAGAACAGATATCCTAGGCAAGAACGTCGTGCCTGTACCAGATACCTCCCACGTTGCAAGTTATCTCCATGTATCCGCGGTCCCACATGGCATGAATGGGTTCGCCACGTTACACAGTTTGAAGTACAGAAATTCCTCACTCGGAACACACTCCACACAGCAAAAATGGAACCAGGGTCCACCGCCATTATGGTATTGAATGCGTTCACGATGCATATCTCACACACACAGTTTAGTCAAAGTAACGATAGCGCACACTACACTAGCTTCTTCAAACACACCAACTTGAGGACAGAACCCATCCCAGCTACAATACTTACACTCCCACAACACAACACACAAAAACACATAGAAGTCCGAAAACAAAACAAAAGACAGGACATACAAGTCCAATTCCAAATTTTGAATACATTCAAACCCAGTAAGACGAATCTAATAGCTTTTATTGTAAAACAAATGATTTCAAAAATACACAGGAATTGTGCAATTGTGAAAATAGTGTTGAAATTGGGTATGAGTGGAAGAATAGATTTCGAATAGGGAGGGAGTTGTTTTTACTGTGAAGTGGAAGGAGATGAGCGGAAATGGGATATTGTGGAATGAATAGATCGAAGAGTGTTGTTTCCAGTGGAAGCGTTTTGTTTTTCGTTCTATTCATTTGGAATTTTATCTAGATGGGATAGAAAGAAATAGGGTATGTAGAAGATGATGATAGGAATGAAAATGGAAAAGCTAGCGATAAGCAGTTTTTGGGTTATCATTTATAGTAATAATATGTGATATGTGTATAGTAGAATCGAATAGTAGAGTTTGTGAGAAAGGTGGGTGTGTCGTTGAAGAACTGAGCAAAATAAGGTAGAATACATAATATATTTTATACGAACAAATAGAGATATATTCATATTCCACTGTTTCTAGGTTTTTCGATAGTTGGTGTCCAGCATTGTATATCATGAAAATGATATAAATAGTCCTATTCTTTATGAACAAAAACAGGTAAAATTGTATTTGACAATCATCCAACGACAAGCAAACAAAATAGAGATTCCAGTTGATTTGCAGTTATTGGAGAGTGAAAAACGGAAATGGCAACAAGTATTGTGATTGACATGCAATCAGCGTGGAACTAACATAACCAGAAATCAAGCTGCGTTGATGACTGCACTTGTGTGTTCTTTTATATTACACAGCTGAAAATACTTATTTTTACAGTAGAGCCATTTTTTGGACTGCTCATATCATAATGAGACAACAGAATGAAAAAAGCATGTAGTGAGTGATTACGAAAAACGACAGTTGGTATTTGATCTACTAGTGAATATGGTTCCTATTTAATAAATGACAAGAGAACTGTGGTAGGAATTGTGATATATCGAAAATGCTGAATGATCTGGATGAGGACAAATCCATGTTGGAAAAAGAATGGTGAAATCAAGCTGTGTATTTCTATTCGATCGGAAATGAAACAACAAACATCAAACATCTTCACTCGCAGTACAATAACAGAAAAGAGCGTTTTAATGAATACAATAAATATGGGAAGGATACTATTTCAAAACAAAACTTGTTATATAGTTATTATTGCTCGTTAATTATTGTTTAGTAATATGTCATTTTTCTTTTGTTGGACAGTAAATCAAATTCTTTTTATGTCACAATTTCTATCTTTTGTTTTAATTGTCTGCAAGGTGCTATTCTAATTTCAAAATTAGATAATACTCCATTCCCTTGGCTTAGTTAACAAGAATAATTACGCATATTTCAAGCAGTAACTCTTTTTGTTCAAATTCTGCTCCCCAATGCACGTAGCATGCATATTCATTTTGTGCTTATCACTCATAAAAAGTATATTTTCTATGTCATTCGTGAGCACTATACAGCTAATAATATTGAAATTCCTGTATTTGACCTAGTTTCTCATGAACAAGCGCTGTGTTAGTATATAAAACAAAAAGTAATCATCAATATTTCGATAAATAAACACTTTTATAGTGATACTCAGTCCATTCTTTTTTAGCCTCTCAATTTATCTTAGTTAGTGCATGGAATGATATTGTATTGTATGAGAAGCGAGCTCATTGAGTAATATCATAAATAGTTATTTGTATGAAATAGTGAAACAATCTATTGAGTAATATGCTTAATGGGATCTGTGAATTCTATGAATGAAAAGCTAACTATCTATTTGTTCATCAAATCATCCTAAAAAGTACTGTGCTTCATATATTTGTGTAGTTTAATAAGCTATTACTTAGACAGAAAGTGTATGATCCGTCATTCTGATCATGTCCACTCGCCTCTATTTCTTTGTTTCTATTTTGTATCTATACTATGTTTTCTTATAAATATACACCTCCATCCATATAACACTCTAGTAATACTTGATTATATCACACCTTTTATCGCGGAGCAATGTGTACTATCCATAGTTACAATTACAGTTTCAGAATGGCTGAATGCTTTGTATTTGTTAGTTACATATACAATTTCAAAAATCAATGATATACTTGCTTCACATAATCACGGATAAGCAAGCATACATTTCGCAACCATTCAATGCAAGTTAATTAATACAAAGAATAACAAAATATCAACAACCACAACCTAAAATGGCTTAGGGGACACACTTTTTTCATTACCAATCCATACACATGTATACCATATCGTAGTACCAAATACAGTGACAGTGAATTTATATCATCATCATCATCATCGAAATAATCCTCGTGCTTTATCTCTGGAAAAACCTCACGGATCAATCCATATCCAAGTATTGCCTCTCATACTCAATAAACCCTCGTCAATATCACTGCTCTCCCCCTTCTCTCACTCTCTTACAAAATATCGCCTCTCCAAGCACCAATTTCGCTCAACACGATTCAAACAAACATCCCAAAGATAATTCTGCATGTTTGGAGTCAGCACCAACCGATGCGTCACTTCGCCCAGTATATTCACTTGCTGCTGGTCGATCGTAGCCACTTGCTGCTGATAGCGAAGAGGAATCGACACGTTCATATCCACCACATACCCATTTATATCCAAACTAATCCGCCCACTCTCATGCACCCTCATCTTCCCAATCTTCCCCACAGGCAGCTGCATCAACTCGTTCTGCACATAATCATGCGCTACATTCCACGCCATCCCCGCTCCTACGCTTCGGATCCGTCGTTCGAACGAAGCTTTCCTCGTCCAACCCGAACTCTACATCCCACAACGCCCGCATTCCCACCTCGATTCTGCGCGTAGATCGGAAGAAACGACGGCAGCGCGAACAGCAGCATCTCGCCGTCCTTCACGCCCTGCAGCAGCTCCAACGGCGTCACCAGCTCGTCGTCCTCGTCCCATCCCAGCGCGCCGCGGTCGTGGAAAGCGTCGTCTTTGACGTAGGGGAAGCGAATCGGCCCGTTGTTCGCTGTGGACAGGTAGCGATCGTCGTTCGTTTCGTCGTCGTCCACTTCGATCGCGGAGTCGTCACGGCGGATTTCGCGCTTTCTACGGAGAAGGAAGGCGAGTGGAGCTACGTGCCGATCTGCTGGCTGAGGAGGAAGGCATTGTCCATCGCATTCGTGTTCTGGCGATGGATATTGTTTGTGGCAAAGAACATGGACTGGGCATAATTATAGTGATCGGTATTTACCTCACCACTCACTAAAAAACGAGGTTGATTGCGATTACCGCGCGGTCGGTCTTGCTTTCGGTCGGGTCGCTTGGATCGAGTGGCGTCTGCTTCGCTTTTCACTGTTGGCTGCTGTTTGACTGGTACTGCGGGTACATTGGTTGAAGTAGAATCTTCGTGTTGGCCTACATGAGATAGAAAGACCGAAAATACCTGTCGTGGAAGTTTTGGGACCAGACGTGTTCACTAATGGAATGCCCATTGTAGAACCGGATGAAGTTCCGATTTTGCGCGCCGAGGAGGCTTTATTTGCAACGGGCTTGAATTTAGGCTTCCTTACCTAGTAATCACCAAACAACTCTATATTCAACGCCTCCCCGCGTAAAACTATTCTTGTTTCGATCTGCTTTCACGTCCGAACTGTTCTCATTAAAACTAGATCACCATCTACTCACAAACCTACCTAAACGGGTTGTATGACATTCCTCCATCTCCTTCATTCATATCACCCTCCGGATAGGAAGCACCTGAGGACATTAGGGAAATTTGTAGGGTTTTTTTGTCCCCAACTCGGGATTCTATGCTCAATCTGTTTTTTTATTGACTGTAAGTATGTGGCTGAGTGATACAACTTTTTTTCAATCGACACAATGCGATGTGCGGTTGTTTGTAGTCTGTCCACTCTTTCATTCCCTTTGATGTAAGTATTTTCGTAACAACCGCCAATAACAAAATCTCTTATTCTCTTTCATTTTTTGTTTTGGGGCATGAAGTGGACGTACAGCTGTATTGCCCTTATAGCTTCGATTGCTTTTTCACTTGCTACTTGTAATTTGTGGAGTAGGTGAACGATTCTTTCTGTAATCTAGTTAAAACGTCTCATTTTGTTTTCAAGAGCGCATTTACCTATGTAGTGATTTATTCAGATAGTGAACATGTATCTTCTCTTACCTTGATCATCCGAGCCCTCGATCTCTCTCCTGCTCTCTTACATTTTGCTCAAGAGTTGGGTTCTATTTGTCCTGATATTTCTCTTTACCTCTTATTGTCAACGGGGTCCTTTTCTACAACCAGTGCTTTTCCCGAGTTGAACTCCACCCTAAATGCTCGCATAACAAGATGTGATCCGTTGTTGTGTGACAATCTTGTGTATTCTGTGCTTGCCTATGAAATCTCTGATTATGGAGGTATTTTGCTTTGGAATGAATCTCTTCCATTGAATCAAGTTATCTCTGTGATTAGATCTCCATCTCCGTCATTTGCATCGGCTTGGTTTTCTGTGAAGCCGTTGCATGAAATCAGGCAGGTCATTACAGATTCCCGCTTTCAAACTGTATTCACATCTTTTAATCCTATCAAGACCCTTCAGGATTTTGAAAATGGAACACGTTCATCATCAAATGCAACGAATCCATCCACCATCACAACGAATTCGAATAACTCGAGTTCCTTGAGTACCTCGATGCGCTCGATGCGCTCGATCGATTCATTCAATTCGTCAATCAGTCACCCTCCAAACAACACAGTTGCTGTAGTCATGAATGTGTTTAAACGAAACTATTTTGATCATGTATTCTCCTCTCTATGTTCCCAAAGCCTCCCTCCCTCCTTTATCATTTTGGTCCAGAATGAAGCACATTTAATTAACCTACTTTCTCTGATTCCTCCTCTCTGTCGATACAGCAATATCACTTTTTTCCATATTTGGAACACTAACTGGAATCCATACTCTTTTTTCCGTCATTTTGTTCCCATTCCCACAGACATTCAGTACACAGTAATCACAGACGATGATTTGTTTTTGCAGCGGAATGCGCTTGAAATGGGAATCAAATTCGTTGAAACCTATCATTGTGTGGCCACAGAGCATGGAGGAAAAATAACAAACAACACCGAAGGATTTGACACATGGGAGGATATTCGTTCTTATTCTTATTCTTATTCTAATAGTAATAATAATAATAGTAGTAGTAGTAGTAGTATAAGCAATAATAGTCTTATTCGATACGCTGATTATGCATCCCTTCCTCAGTTTTCAAGGACTTCCTGGAGGAAGAAGGTGATGAAAACGCCTCCATTCTACCGTCGATTTGGCGATATTCTGTTTGCTTCGATCAGTCTGTTCCAAGAAGCCAACATTCCGCCTTGTATTCCTCCCAACTTTACTTTCTGTGAAGAGTCTAAAGATGATGATTCCTTCTCCACTCTCAAGAAGAATCGCGGGCTTTATGCCGAGGACTATAATCGAATTGCGTCGACATGGATGCGAATGGGTTATATACCATTATATCAACGTGAGCATGAAACGTGGAATGTGGAATATGAACATGAAACATGAATAAAACAAACAATCTTCTATTCATTTATATTTATATATATATATTTGTTATAACCATTCGCTATAGTGAAGGATGGATGACTCACAAAAAGAACGAACCACTGCGTTTATGATCATGTTGATGGAGACCGCAGGGGAATCTCTTTTAAACACACTCAAAGCACGACGCATCGCAGCATTGCCCTGATCAGGCAGAAAACGATTGGGCTGTCTGGGAAGGGAAGCCGCTTTCTGATTCATTACGCTTTCTAAAACACTTCGTTGGCCAAATAACTGATCTCTAGAATTCATTATGAGCCGAGCTTGCTGATTCATCTTTGTGAAAATCGCACTTTCAATTCGAATGCCTCTTCGCTTGATGTAGTTGAACAACTGAAGCGCATTTCCATAGTCGCATTCCTTACAATACCAGTTAAACAGCTGCTCACAAGAAGAAGAAGAAGAAGAAGAAGAAGAAGATTCAAGGCGAATAGAGTGCTCATTGCAAAACTTTATGAATTGCGATGCAGAACTCTCCGGATTGTGCGAATAACTATCCAAATTCGCTTTGGTTCCACGTCCTTCCATCGTGCTTATTTGATACAAAAGATGAGTCAATCGAATTCTCCACTGCTCGTCGATGGATGCTGGCAGCTTTTCCAGCAAAGGAGAGATCGATTCGTTCACAAAACACGATTCAAATAATGCGGAACACAATGAATTCTCACTCACCTTCAAATTTCGATCATTCAACTCTTGCAAAATGCGATTCTTTAACGAATCACATTGCGTATAACACGAAACGAATAGCAATTCATTCAGAGTTTGCTCATCCAAATGCAAATTCAAATAACATAATCGATCATAGAATGCAGCCAACGAGTCTGCGTCATTCCGCTTCCCACATTCCCAAACATACTCTCTTAACAGAAACATTTCGTTCTTCAAGAGAGAATGCAATTCGACTTGACTTTTGTTTGAGTTGAGATAGCAGTTCATAATCATCCGATACGAATCTGCCTTCAAATCTTCCTTTCGGAAAAGTGTGACTGCTAAAGGAGAGTGCAGCTTCATTCCCCGCTTCCCCATTTCATCCAGCAACTCCTTCACAATTTTTGCATTTCGCATAGTTCCGATGGAACTTCTCTTCGAATTCGTTCGCGTTGCTCGCGCAACCGGCTGCGAGTAGAAAAACACATAGAACTGAAACAGTTCCTCGTTCCACAACTCGTACCGATCTTTCAGATTCGCAAACAATTCCTCAATCGTTTCCGTAATTCCCATCATTTCCACCATTTCCCCATTCTCTTTTCCATTTCCATTTCCATTTCCATTCAAACCTCGAATCGTTCCAAACGGGTCTTCATGAACCATCGGAAAGTCGTCAAAAACCAATCGAGAGAATGAATACCAAAGGAAAAGATTCAGCGAGCGGAGTGTGGATTGCATTCTCTGCTGTGCGTACCGGAGTGTGAACGATCCGAACCTCCACTCCTCCAAATTTCGTGTGTCTTTTGGGTGGTAAAAAGGAGAAGCGAAGAATTCAGGAAGAGTCTCAGGGACCTGTTTGGTCTCGATTGTGGCTGCTTTCGCAAGGTATTTCAGTGTGTATAGGTAACAAAACAGAATTTCGGAAAGAGGAGGCGATGCGAATTCGATCGAACCTCGCCGGGGCAGAGACTGCGAAAAGGGGGTGATGTGAAGATTGAGGTTTTGCACATCGCTTACCAGCTGAATGCAGAGCCGAACGAACAGAAACTCTTGAGGGAGGGAAATGGAAGGCGAGGAAAAGCGAACGGGCTCCTTCTCGTCCTGCAGAGCTTTCTGATCCGCTAGATAGCGATCTGCACTCTGCGAAATCGTAGAGAAGGCAGACGCAATCTCATTGTTCAGGAGAAGCACATAGCATAGCAAGGGAGAGATTTCATTATAGAGTCGAGAGTCTGATGATGCCACGAAAGCAAGCAACTCTTTGATAAGATCGTAGCGTTGCGTCTCAGAGAAGCGGGTCACTAGCATTAGAATATTGTTCTTGGAAAGAGGAAACCCGCCTTCATAACACTTCTTTATTTCAGAAATCACTTCATCATATTGCCCAGACTGAAGAAAGAGAAACATGTTCCGAAACCGACTCTGGTCTTGACAAAAAAGTGTACTCGATGAAGCTATAGCTCGCCGAAGTGGCAGAATCACCGAGACTTCCACCTTCCGCAAAGATGCAGTCGACATCGTTACCGCGAGAATTGACTTAGGCGAAATGGAACGAAAAGACTTGAATGCAACTTGACCATATCGAATTGGTTTTGCTACCGATTTTCCCCAAAAACCTAACATACTCTCAAATCCAATCTCCTAATGACTTGGCAGAGCAATTTTAAAACCGGACGCAAAAAGTTCTGCAACAAACAAACCACTTTTCCTCACTAAACACCTTCTCGCTTGTCACGCCCTCCAAATTCTTCACAACCACCATCGGATCCCTTCCCACCTTCTCCAGCACCGACGGGTCCTTCTCCACCTCCTTCTTGAAATCGCTCATTTCCTTGGTCTCCATGTCCGCTCTCGCGACCTTCCTCGCCTTTTCCTCCAAGCTGGCAATCGCATTCTTCCCTCCCTCCGTCGAGGCCCTCTTAAACCCAGCAATGGTCGGATGCGCCTCCTCCGCGGCCGCCGTCGCGTCCACCAGATCCTGACTGATGATTTCCTGCTGCAGGAACGCGCTCTCCACGCTCCGCTGCGTCCGCTGCATCTCCCGGAAGGTCTCCACGTTCCCGTGCGACACCTCGAACTCCTGCCAGAGCTTCCAGAAGGTGATCTGCGTGCGCGGATTGCAGAACTGCGAGGCGTAGAGATAGATGGCTCGCGCGCGGTCGATCTCCCCGAGCCGCGTCTCCAGCGCCGCGAAGCGCAGCGCGATGTCCTTCACGCGGTCGTCCGGGACCGTCTCCATGGCCTTCTCGAAGACCTCGCGCGTTTTGGTGGCGCCGTAGTAGGCCTCGACCTTCTTGACGTAGAGAAGGAAGATCTCGTAGGACTCTCCGGGCGGCACGGCGCTGGTGGCGCGGTCGAAGACGTCCATGCAGTGCCGTACCATGCCGTACTTCTCCTCCATCTCCGCGTAGAGCAGGTAGAACTCCTTGCTGGCCTCCGCGGGAACGGATTCGAGACACTATGCGATGAGGAGGAGGGGCGAGACAAAGACTTTCTCGAAGATGTCGCGGGCTCGCTCGATCTTGGCGTCCTTGTAGCGGAGAACGAATCGGTTGAGGTACTGCAGCCAGATCTCGCGGCTGTGCGGGTAGGGGAAGGCGTCGAGGCCTTTCTCGAAGACGCGGAAGGACTCTTCGTAGCAGTTGTGCTCTTCGAGATAGGCGGCGTAGTTCAGAACGTTCTGAGGAGGAAGGAGAGAGGGAGGAAGGAGTACTTGAGGCGTGATGATGTGGAGATCGAACATGCGGTCGTAGGCAGCGCGCGTGGTGTCCATCGTGCCGATGCTCTCTTCCATGTCCAGAAGCAGGTTCCAGAGTCGGTTCGACTTGTAGACGCGTTCTTGGACCGTTTGGTAGCCTTCTCTAGAGAGGGTGAGTATGCATGGCATGCAACGAGAGAGTCAAGGCAATCAATGAAAGAGAGTGAGAGCGAGAGTGGGATAGGATGGAGAGAGAGAGAGGATTTGGGTGAGGTATCGCGTGACAAATGAAATAAACATGGTTTAAAACTCGTGCGAAACTCGTGCGCGAGAGTCGAAAGAAGGGAAAAGAGAAAGAATCATCCTTCCAAACTCCTTCCTACGCTCAGACTGGAACACTTTTAAATTCGTTTAAACCCAGTTAAAACTCGTGCAGGAAACTGGTTCAAAATCCATGCAGATCTCGTGCGCATTCCGTGCGCATTCCGTGCGCATTCCGTGCGCTCACCCCAATCCTCCATTTTCTCGCTCTCCCCACACGCTCTCCCCATCCAACTACCCCCTTTCCACTTCTCCCACTACCTACTTTGCAACGCCCCTCGGAGGCGTGGTGGCTGCCAGACATGTCTGATATGCCTCTTCCAACCGGTCATGGCGAATCTCCATCTCGATCCACTCGGCCCACACCGCGGCCAGCTCCTCCACCGACTTGAACGGCACGCTCACGGCCTTCTGGAAGACGCGCTCTGCGTTTTCGAGGTCGTCGTAGCCCTCATAAAACCGGGCAAAATCCACCCACAACTGCGAGAATTTCCCAGTCGCCCGCGCAGGATCGACGGTCTTCACGGCCTCCGTGTAGGCAATGACGGCCTTGGCGGGGTCGGGCTCGGTCACGACGCCCTGCGCGGGGTCCAGGAAAAGCCGAACGCGCTGCCGCCATTTCCGGATGTCGTGTGGGTTTTGCCGAAGCTGCACGTTGTTCAGCAGCACGTGGTGGTTGTTGATCAGGTAGTTCAGACGCGCCTCGCGCAGCAGACGGTCGCTTTCGTCCTCGCGGAGGTCCTGCAGGTCGCCGTCTTCGTCCAGCGATTCCCCGCCAAAATCGAAGGTCGCGTCTTCGTCTTCCCGCGATTCCCCGTCGCTCAGATCGCCCTACGCTCGACCGGGTTCCCCGTTTCTACCTTCTCGATCTGGATCTCGAGCAATCGGAACTCGGACTTGACGTAGGTGTCGTAAATCATCGAGAAATCGCGGACCGTATGCACGCTCTGCAGCGCTTCTTCGAAGCTATCTCGCACCCTCCCCGCGGTTCCTACACGTCCCTCGCCTTCTCCACGTTGTTCAGTCGCTGGAAGTACTCGGCGTACATGCACCACCACATGCCCTGCTCGCCCTCGAACTCGCGAATGCAGTTCCGAATCATCTGCTCCACGTTTACGGAGAGAATATCGCGCGGATGTTTGATGAGCAGGTTCAGCAGGCTCGACAGCAGTTCCCCGCGCTTCTCCTTCTCGATGTTCTTGTAGCGGTCCTCGTTGAAGAGCCGGCAGAGCTGCTTCACGGCCTCGTCGTAGTGCTCCGTTTCGATGAGGTAATGAATGAAATCTTCGATCGCTTCCGGCTCCACCAGAATGAACCGACGGTAGACGCAGGCGGCGGTCTCGGGCACGCCGCAGGATTTGATGAAGGCGATGTAGGGATCCCAGATCAGGTCGTGCTGGGTTAAGGGGAGCGCTTGGAGGGCGCGATCGAAGGTACGGCGAGTCATTGTGATTTTCTTTTGGGAGATTAAAAAGTTGCAGTAGCCCAGCCAGATTTTGGGCATTTTGTGCATGGTGCGCAGAGCGTTTTCATAATCATTGTTCACCTCCACGTAGATGTTGTCTGTAATTACCACATTTAAGCACTATCCATTACCTTCCCATTCCGTTTCTTACCTGGCGTTTACGCTCCGTCAAATAGTTATTCCACAACTTGTAGCTTCCAGGCAGTTTCTCCAGTGCTCTTCGGTACAAGGCAAAGCGCACCTTCGGATTACCAAACAGATTCCAAATCCTACTTCGGGTTCGCTATCTCGCTTGGACTGAATATATTCCCACCAAAGACGGAAATTATAGGGTTCTCTCTTCAGTTCCGTTTCGTACACTGCACTCGCGTCATCCTACGCGTAATCTCCCCTTTCCAAGTCCCAACTTTTTCAATAGCTTCGATATCGATCGTTTTATTTTGTAGTTTGTTCATGAGGCGAATATAGAACCGAACAAAAACAAACTATTGATGTTTGAAATAGGTCAAGTGGAGTGAGTGTTGGAAATGGGTAAATGGGGAGTGGAAACATTGTATTCTGCTTGAAAGTTTACTGAGAGAGTGATGGGTTTGTTTGTAATCAGGTAATGTCTTTCTTTCTTCTATCCTGGCAATTGTATTTCGTATCAGAATAGTCATCTGTATCTTATTTCCAGCAAACCAACCTGCATCTCGTTTCCAGCAAACCAACCTGCATCTCGTTTCCAGCAAACCACCACGCCATCTCCTCTGATTCACATATCCTGTGTCTCCAACAAACACCCCACACTAATATTTTCTAGAAAACGACGTTTCTCCACACGAGCACTGGCAGCGATCTCCGCTGCTAAAGCAACGGCACTTCTCTCCCCGCATTCCTCCGACCACATAGCCCGTATTGCACTGCTTCCCCGTCACCCACACCGGCACCACGATCGCCTCCGACGTCTTCCCCGCGTCGCTCTCGAACGCTCCCGCAGGGATCGTCAGCACGTACTCGCCCTCCGCCATCACCGCGGGGTCGAAGAAGATCAGCACGCGGTTGTCCTCCACGCGGACCATTCGCTGGTTGTCCAGTCGCACCGAGATCGTCGCTTCCTCCGTGGCCAGCTGCGCCTCGCGCACCGTCTCGCTCACCTGCACCGCGTGGTTAAACGCGAACTCCACGCGGCCATTCAGCGGCAGCGTCGCGTTCAGCGCGGGCTGCTCGATCAGAACCACGTCCGACTGCGGGTCTGCAGGTGAGAAAAACAAAGCAGAGAGCGAGCCTACCGAAGACGACCGGGTGCGAGAAGCTGAAGCGATTGCCGGCGAGGTCCTCGAAGTCGATCAGCGCGTCGCCGGAGCCACGCAGCACCACTTCGAAGGCGTTGGGCGCCGAGCTCGCGACGACGGACTGCACCACGCCGGAGAAGGAGAGCACCGAGACGGGCTCGTTCAGCGTCAGCACGATCTGCTTGGTCTCCAGGTCCTCGATGAGGCCGTCGGTGTACTGCGTGGTCAGCAGGTAGGGCGCCTCGTCGTCGAAGAGCACCGCCTGCAGCGCGCCGCGCTCCACGAAGAAGCCGTCCGCGGTCATCAGCGAGGGAGAGAGGATTACCGCGAACGAGGAACGCGCCGAGGGCGTCACTTGGAAGTGGAACTCGCCAGGGTTCGGCTCCGAGATCTCGCTGGAAAGCGCGCCGTTCGTGATGGTCAAATCCGACGCGGTCAGAGAGAGCTGCACCGGCAACGACGAACCGGTGAGGGAGAACTTCAGAACGACCTCCACCGGGCCTTCTTGGTTGTAGTACTCCGGAGTCATCGAGGCTTCCAGGATGGCAGCAGAATTCGAGGCGGGGAAGGTGGAAGACTCCATCGGGGCGACCGAAACCGTGCTATTCCAGCTGGCAGTGGAGTAGGACACATAGCAATTATCCTCGGAGCGGAGACACTGAACAAACAGGGTGTAGGTGGGCTTTTCTTCCAACTCAATGGGCACGGACGCTCCATCCTCCACGTTCATGTTCTTTGTGGCATCTAGCTCAGAGCTACACAATTACAAAAAATGCGCTCGACGCCTACCAAACTTTATTTAAACAATCTAAGAACCAAAAATTAACAGGTCCTGTAACGACATCCACTTGCACTGGTGGTTTAGTCGAACATCGTAAAAACGTACCTGCAGGTACAGCAAGTGCTACAGTGAAGATAACTAGAAGAGGTATGTAATTCTTCATAAGAACAACACTCGAATATGAGAATTGGAAAAGAAATCAACAATCGCCCAAATAACCACGGTTCTATTTAACTGCCATTTGTCTCTGTTACTTTATATTCAAAAAGGAAAGTATGTTCCAAACAAACAATGCTGGAAAATGCACCTAAATTTAATTCTATCCTCATTGGCCTCTGCCAAAAAAAGAACGCGTAAAGCGTAATCTCCGAATCACTGGAAGGAGTGAGAACGAGAACGCTTTGGCCTTCTCCATCTCCGCACACTCCTCCTCGAAAATGCGAAAGAATCGTAGGATTTGCTCTCTCTCACGTGAAGAGGGATGGTGGCTGTCTCTCTCCAAAATTTTGCATACGTTTATGATCACATTCAGAATCTCGACAGAGTCTTCCAAAAAGCATAGAATGATACCCACATCTTCTCCAATTCGCCGAATAAAGTCAGCGACAAACTCATAGCAAATCTGGGGCGGGAGCTGTGAGTATTGCAGAACAAGCGTTGATACACAATCCAGAATCGAGAGAACGTGCTTATCATTCTCATCCACCAGATCAAGCACCTCGGAGGAAGAGAGGGAAGCAGTCGGTCCCAGTACGGTTCGTACGTAACGTAAATCCTCTCCCTCCAAAGCACATCGAAACAAACTCACAAGATGATAGGGATCAGAAGGAGCAAAATCGCATGCCTCTAATACGCTTGTAGTTCTGGCTAAAAAGGGAAGGAGTTTGTAAAAGTAGCGCTTTTCCCTACAACACACACGATGCTTTGTGAGAAATGAGTGTATTTCCGATTCAGAAAGGATGAGTTCCCGTTCTTGCTGCTCATAATATTTAAAAATGCGGCATAGGACGTGGCAATAGCAAGTTGCAGCGTGGGATAGGCATGTATGGACAAACACTTCCAGTTCAAGAAATAACGGGTTTGAAAGCATCAGTTGGCGAATAAGGCATATATAGAAATACAGATCTTCAACAGAGGGAGAACGAGAAAACAAAACACACTTGTCAGGATCAAACAAAACGGAAGCTATCTTCAATCCCTTTCCTCCCAGCCTTGAACACACCGTAATCAGCAACTTTTGATATAGATAACGATACAGGCGTGGCAACCGATGGGGCATATCCCAACACATCCCCAGCAACTCTACGAAGGTGGATTCCCGTTCAAGCAAAACCGCCTCTTGACAATGTTCTGCCCATTCGATTGCATTTGACAATTGGTAAAGATGGTCATCTCCATGATCCAGATCCTACCCGTGATGCGGCAAAAATGTTTTAAAAACCTGATTCTCATACAGCCATGTCAGCGCATCCACCACCTGCTTTGTATGAGACATATCAGTGAAGAGATGGGCCCACTTCTTTTTGAATAACGTTATTTTTTCAAAACCGCGGTTTGACAATGATACACCAAAAATGAGTTCAAACATACGTATCGCAGATTATTTCTTTGTTGCGTCTGTTCGAATAGACAGTAGCGCTCGTGCGTTGATGATGACGGTGTGTAGAAAACGATTTAGAGGCGGAAAATCCAAATCCTGTGATCATCGATCGGTTCCCTGAGACCGATTACGAAGATGTACCTTTTACGGAGAATGCCGAGTTTGTAATGAAAATCAGTCCCCAATTTAAATGTTAGTTTTGCCTTCCGGAAGGTGCGCGTATCGAGTATCGAGAAGTTGAGAAACGAAAACCCTATATTTTTACATTCTGCTTCACACAATCGTAGAACCATCTGCGTTGTGTCATTCGATAGAGACGGCTCACAGAATTATGGAACCAGTCTAGTTTTTTATGAAAAGTTGAGTAGGCATTGTGTGTATCTTTTCATGAATCCTAGAAATAAATGGAGTCGATTGCTATAACAAATACAATCAAGAGCTCTATATTCCCAAAGCGCTTTGTATTCTTTCTCTGAAACCCTTCTTCTCGTGCCATACTTCGTTCCTGCGGTACTCCTCACTCCCTCTTCTCCACTCCCAGAGGTCTCTACAACAAAGCCGTTGCCTCGGAAGAGATCGACGAAATCACTCTCGACGCGATCAACTCCGCTCAATCACATCCCATGAGTCGTCTCCGCTCCTCCTCTCTCCACATGCTCACCCGCCAGTCTTCCCAGCAAGATGACCTCGACGACCTCACTCCGATCGAGCAGGACATCAAATACTACGTGGATTTCACTCCCTTCTACAAGCCCGGCTACGCCATCCAGGTACCTCACCATCGCCACATGCCATGCAGATCCCCTTGTTCCATCGCCAGCTCGTCCTGGAATGTCCCCCCAAAGGCAGCCTTCCCTTCTGCGACCCGCTCTGCATGCGCAGTCTGCTCGGCTGCCTCTCGCTCACACACATCCAAGAGGTGGTTTCCACGCTTCTCCGCGACGGCCAGGTTCTCCTCCACAGCCGAAACGTGGAAACGTGGAACCCCGTACACCGTAGAAATACCAGCTAACATTGTGTTCGACTGCGTTGCTGTCGCTCTTGGCGCCGATTCAATACACTCTGACGTTCATTCCGCTGCTTCCCGCGCAGCTCATCGACTACATTCAAGTTTCTTTTCTCTATCCGCTCCATTCCAAGGCTCCCACGCCCTACCTCATCGGGATCTACTCTCCGACGCTCGCGAAGCACGCCTTCGACGCCGATGCCCCCGTTCTTCTCGTCCATCTCGACTTCGACAAGGTTTTTCCTTCTTTTTTTTTCTTCTTCTTTCCAGCTCACTTTCCCTACTTCCGCGGTTATCCGACCCCTCCCTATCCCCCGAAACGCCCTCCTCACCGCCACCAAGCCTCTCCGCTGTACCTCCCCGCGGTTCTCCGCGTAACCGATTAGATTCGGTGCTCTGGGCGGACCGTCCCGATTCCAAAGTGGCCACTTCCTGTCTGTTTTCGGTGCATTTGGGCCCCGGGCCGCTCGGCGCTTTCCTCCAACCCGAGCGCCGGCAGCTCGTCTACGTCCCGGTGGGCACTCCCGCGGTAATCGAGGACGTCGTGGTGCTGAACAGCGCGAAAAGCCGCGAATTGCAGGGCTGGATCGGGTCCAATATCGACAAATGTCCCCTATTGCAAGCCGATCCGGTCATTCTCGAAGTCAACGGTGCGCATGGCGGCTCGCGCTAAAACGCAGATATCCCCGTGGTGGGCATGTCGTTCCGCCGCGTGTCGGTGATTTTAGCGTCGGCCCCGCGGCCACTCACGTTGCTGCTGCAAATCGGACTGCGCGATATTCCGAAGGGCGTGCAGAGCCCCGTCAAAGGCCCTTGTCTCGATGTCCGTGCTCCCAACCAGACTCTGGAGGCAGGTTTCCACGGTTTCCCTGATGGGTAGTTCAAGGAATTCTTCGAAGACGTGCGGATTTCGTTCTTCTCGTTCTTCGTGTGGTTCTTCCAGAACCTTGGGCAATTCCTGCCCGACGAGGGCAATGCCCAGAGCTTCGCCACGCAGTCGTTTATTGCGTCGTTCCCCGAATCGGAGCGGCCGTTCGCGGAGGAGTTCTGCCACACGCAGCTCTTCGAGGGTTTGTTGCAGACGTTGGAGCGAGAATTGGCGGGAAAGGAGCCGCGAAGCGAAGAAGAGCGGGAGACGTGCGAGTTGATGGGTCTGGCGCGGGAATGCGCGGCGTTGGCGAAGGAAAAGGGCGGAATTGAGTCGGAGGAGGGGATGCGCGCGGTGCGAGAGCGATTGGTGCCGAAGAATTGGAAGCTGAAGAGTGTGGCGCTGCCCGGAATGAAGGAATCGCTGCCCGAGAGCGTGCTGGATCGCGTGCTGCTGCGGAGCTCAACGGAGTTTCCGCGGCTGGATAAGGAGTGCTTGAGTGGGGAAGTGCCTCGCTTTGAGATTTAGTTGTGTTGTTGTTTGTGAAAACAAAGGTGAAAGGAAGGGGAGAAATGAGGAAATTGATTGAAGGAGCGAGCAAACAAGCAAACATGTAACATGGATTGGACTGTTTGGGATGGATGGGAAAATGATGCTTGTTATGATTATAACAACAAAGAGTTGAGATTGATTGGGATGAATGGGAGAAAAGAATAGCAATCGAACTGTTTACGAATCAATCAATCAAACAAACAAGATAAGATAAGATAAGATAAAACTATTTGGATTGAATAGAAGAATGATGCTTGTTATGATTATAACAACATGGAAGCGATTGCATCGCGATGGCGGTCGGCGTACTTGTGAAAGCAAGCCTACGGTCAACCCCTCACTCCACCCTCACTTCAAATCCTCTCTCTAAGAGCTGCGACGGACAGCTCAGCAATTCCGAGATCCCTGGGCAAAGCTCCGCCTCCCCCAATCGCAGACACGTCGGCAGTCGGCTCCATTCCGCCGCTCCCTCCCTTTCTTCGGCAGAACTCGACGCAGAACCCGACGCAGAACCCGACGAAGTCGTCGAGGAAGCTTCAATTGGCTTGGATTTCCGCTTCAGTCCGTCGATGGCCGCCTTCACACTCGTCATTGCCGCGATGGACGGGCGTTTCCCCTCAAAAACGCCGCAGAGCAACCCGCTTTCCAAAAGATACTGCGCTTGAGTGCCTCCAGCACGCCTACAAAAGAGCAAAAGGCGAGTTGGGGCGTCGCTTCCAGCGCGGCCAGAGCCACGATGAGGAAATCGAAGGGTGTGACGCGCCACACGGAATAGTCGAGCGCGATGAGGACGTTCATCTCCATGGCGCACACATCGCTGCTCGAAAACGAGTGAAGCGACAGATCGGAAAGTACTACGTCTCAAAAAAAGCGAATGAATCAACCCTTGCAGCTCGGACATGGGCTGTAGGTGAATTTGGAGGCCAAACGCAGCGCGGCGGAGCCCAAACATTGCAGATGGGAGGTCGAAAGAGTGGTGGTTTGGGTGAACGCGTCGATGAGGGAGAACTAGAAATGGGGGTCATGGAAAGAAGGGACGGCGAGTAAAGTGGTCTCGGTGGAAATGTCGAATTCAGTGGAGACGTCGATGAGCCAATCAAAAAGTTTTATTCGGTTCTGTGGGAAAAGAGGGAGAGAAAAAAGAAGTACTTTGCGATTGAACGAGATAGACATGTCATTTTCTTTCGAGAGCAGCCACTGCAGTCGTGTTTCGTCGTATCGCTTCCAGCGAGGACGATGGGAAGAAGAGATGTGGTCAGTGATTAGGGAAAACTCTTCCTACGATTTAAGGAAGAAATTGTTTATTAGAAACAGAATAGAGCAAATTTGGTGGAGACAACTGTGATGAATAAGGGGAGTGATTGGATTGGGGAGGAGGAATGGATGGTTTGGGATCTGATTCTTCTTTATTGGCACGCTGTATGGGGATTCGAGTACAAGTCACGATTTTTGGTTGGCCAATCATGCCATCATATCGATTCAAACGATTTACATTGTAATGAACTAACCTTCCCTTCACAGCGACATAGTTTGTATCGTTTTCAGCTTCCAATTTGGCTTTCTTGGCCAAAGCTTGAAAAGTATCTTCAATAGCTACAATCGACGTTTCATCCTCGATCCGTTTCGTTGTCTACAGCATAGATCAGCGCTCAAAACACGATACAACGTCGGTTGGAGAAAGATGCTCACTCTCTCGTTTCATTCAATCCCAAGATTCTAAATGAGACGACTCGAAATTTAAATTACTTTCCGAACAACTCTGCTTTACACGAAAAAGATGAGTGAATCGCGTGGGTGCGATTTTATCGGTGGAAATCACAAAAATTACAGTCGAAACAAAGTAGAATGAGTCTATTTATTTCAAAAAGAAAGTACTGAACCCTCTGGGATTCTGTGCTCAATTTGTCTTGAGGGCTGGCTCATTTTTGAAAAAATATGGTAAACCGAACCATTGAGTTCGTGTCATTTCTCGATGCACTAGGTGTGGCTTTAGTGATCACGCTAATTCCATTCTTCACGAAGGAATTAGGCGTCGGAGCGTTTGGATTTGGTGCTATTACTAGTTTATACGGATTTTGCCAAATTATCGGCGGTTCTATTATTGGCTATTTGTCCAATGGGATACTTTCTCGAAAGATGATTTTGCTTATCAGTTCGATCGGATCGGGCGTTAGTTACGCCCTGTTGCTTATTCGAGGAAGTATCACATCCTTAGTGGTTAGTCGTGTTCTAATCGGTCTGATTAAACAGTCAACGACCTCTTGCAAAGTGTGTTTTTCTCATTGTCTGCGAAATAGGCACTTGCAATGATGAGCAAAGATGATCACAGTCCACAGCGCTTTTCCCTCATTGCGGCCCTTCGCCACATGGGTTCCTTTGTGTGCTTTGTGAGTGAGCGGTTCATCGCTAGACGGGCTCGCTTCTTCTTTCGCTTATCACATCCCATTTCCCTCTAGAGTACGCGATTTTGCTGTGTGTCGTCCTCTACGTCATCGAATCGATCGTGATTATTTGGTTTATCGATCCGGATGACGATTCTTTTTCTGTTGATTCATCCACATCGGAATTGAATTCAAATTCGAATTCGAATTCGAATACAAAATCTGTTTGTTGCTTGCTTGCTTGGTTCGATGTAGTCCTCTTCCCGATATGGACTGCATCTCACTCCACTCCTTTTGCTCTATTACGTTTACCTTTTTCTCATTGATGTGTTAAACAAGGGATTCGGTTCCATCAAAGCATGCATTGAATCGTGTTCTAACCATCAGATCATTCTTCTTCAAGATCAATTCGACGGCTCGCCCTCCCAGATCGGTTTTCTCTACGTTCTCTCCAATCTCTACATGTTTCTCACCGAGTTCTTCATCACTCCCTTCCTTTCCCGCCGTTTTTCCTCCCTTCGCCTCGTCCGCTTCTCCATCCTCCTTCTCCTCATCGGAAAACTCGCTCAGCTTCTCCTCTCTTCCTTGTATTCCTTCCTTCCTTCCTTCTATCCTCATCTAGTTCGCAATATCTCCTTCTTTGCGTGCCTCTCAACACCATCGGCGAGGAGATTTTCGCCACGACCTTCGTTCATCTCCTCGCGTCCATCGCTCCACCGCGTTCTCTCAACGCTTCGCTCGCTTATTACGACGTCGTCGAATCGCTCTGCAGACTCGTGGGACCCGTTTTGCTTGGACGCCTCGCTGCGCAGCTGGGTGCGACGGGATGCGTTTTGTTGCTGAGCGGGTGCTGGGTGGGTGAGAGAAGGAGAATTGAGAGGTAGATGGTGTTGGGACTCGCATGGAGCATGATGCCGGTGAATGGGCAGGAAAAGGAAAAGGAAAAGGAAAAGAAGGAATAGAGAAGGAGAGAGATTGGTTGAGAAGAAATTAAAAAAAAATTAAGAGAGAGTGTTTGTGAAAACAAAGAATCGATCAAAGCCAAAGAGTCCAATAGAAGATAATAAAAACAGAAAAAAAAGAAAGAAAGACTGAAGGAATTCTCGTAAAGAGACGAAAAATTCGAATAGAATGCAGCAGCATTCTAAAGAAAACTCAAACGGATATATAGAATTCGAATGGAATTCTTATCAAAAACACAACAAACCGATGAATCACACCCTCTCCATCCCTCGAAATCGGCGCTATTCTGGGCACTCAATCGATTGGCTCTCGTTCGATTCCCCCACCATCACATTCCCGTTATTATTGCTTATTCTCAGCAAGGTCGGATCCATCGCGTTCCCGCGGTTATTGCTCATTTCGGAGGGAGTCGGGATCGTGAGTTGTTCTCTGCGAATTCGATTCACCATTCGTCGATGAAACTCCCTGTAATGGATTCGGAGCCAATCAAACGGAGCGGCTTTTTTCCCTTCTCCATACTACATGAAAACCGCGGGGAAAGCTCTACCTCGCAGGAAGGAATGGGACAATGATAGAACGTGGGAGGGAAGTAGAGTTGGTCATTCATGGCGATCACTATTCGCATCAAATCGTGGAAACAGGGAAACTGATCATGGGTGGAGAGTGCTGAGAAGCGTGTCGATAGAGTGCGAAATAGTTGGGAAAGGGCTTTTTACACGTGGAAACGCCGCAGTAGTAAGGGAACTCGTCGCGAAGATAGGATTCCGGGATGACCTGGATCTCCTCGTCGCTGTCGAGTGTGTAAAGTGAGTCGAAATCAAGTTGGGATTCGAGTTGTTTGATTTGGTTTTGTAATGAGTGGATGAGTTGCTCGTTTTGGGTTGTGAGGTTTTCGAGGCGCTTGCTAAGCATTTAGAGAGTGCAAGGAGGGAAACCGGTGAACGCTGCGACACTCCGGCTCGGGTTCATTGACGAGAGTTTTCTGGAGGATGCGAAAGATCGGGATTCGCGTGTCTTCTTTGCCAAACTGAGCAAAATTGCTGCAAGTAATCAAAAGCGGATGAACAAACTTTTCAAAAACTGAAAAATCGAACGAGAACGCCTCGTACCCATCCAAAATAAGCCTTTCATGATCTCGCTCGTGGAAGATATATTCCGATCTGGATTGAAGGTGTTTTCCACAATCTCGAAGAGGACACACCAAGTCCCTTGATTTCACTAGTGGATCATGCGTAAACACGCAAAACCATTACGTTGATGCACTTTCTCGTGCTCTTTGAGGGTTGTGTTGCGAGCATACCGTTTGTTGCAGACAGTGCAAGCAAAAAGCTTACTTCTGGAGTGTGTCGTCTCTATGAAGCAAATTTCGCAGCGACCTACTTCATGCGCTCGCAAATGTGCCCTATCCACAAAAGCGTTGGTACACGTAGTGCAAACGAACTTGCGATTGCGGTGTCGCTGCCTAGGCATTGTGTCTCGCATGTATGGAACAAATCTCTCAAAAATAATAATAAACAAACCAAACTATATCTAAACTACAATGCGTTTCTCTCTCTACGCCCCGAACATCCTCCCAGCGAACGCTCCCCGGATCGGCACGCCGGTATTTGAGTCAACCGGCTGCGGTCCCCATGGCACCAAATCGGCAGGGAAGCTGATCTGATAGAGGCTTCCATCGCGTCCCCTGAGCAGCCCCGAGCATTTCCTCCTACCGTGCACCCCTCGCCGCGCGTCCTACATGGTATCCCTGCAGGCATCGGTGCATGAGCACGCGAGCAGCGGCAGCAAATTCCACACGAAGCAGACGGACGCAGCGCACGCGGAGTCGGAACCCGAGGAACCCGAGGAACCGGAGGAACCGGAGCCGTGGCTCGGAGATGGAGTACCATTTCCAGTACCCTGATTCATGATTGTGTTCCCCTGATTCATGATTGTGTTCCCTTGATTCATGGTTGTGCTCCCATTCGCATTCCCCGCGGGGAACCCGCTGTTCATCGCTCCGTTCGGCGGGGCGTCGATTCCCGCGGTTTTCGCGCCGCTCCTTGCGCCATCGACCCAGATTTCCGCGGGATTGCCCACTCTGCCGGAGCCGGCGGATTCCACGGAGGCCATGGAGCCGAAGGAGCCAATGGAGCCAATGGAGCCAATGGAGCCAATGGACGCCATGGACCCCATTGACCCGATTGTTTTCATGGCCCCTATTGGTGCAGAATTAGGGCCCATAGAGGCCATAGGAGCCATAGGAGCCATAGGAGCCCTGGGCGGCGTGTCCATGCGGAGGAGCGAGAGGGAGAGGAAGACGGACTGGTAGCAATCGCCGATGTAGCAGTGGCGCAGCATGCAGACGCTGTTGGTGGCGGCGTCGCCGCGCAGCATGGCCGAGTAGGACCTACCGGTGAGCGCAGAGCACGGAGGCGACCCGAAGGCGCAGGGCAGGTCGTCGGGGTGCGCGAACTTGAAGAGCGTCATCTCGCGGAGCTCCTGCACGGTCTTGCCGGTCAAGCTGGTGTTCAAACGTGGAAACGGAGTACCTGCAGAACTGCGAATTGGCGTCGAGGAACTGTCCGTCGGCGGCGAGAATGGCCTGGGGAACGGGGTTCTGAAGGAACATGACGTGGTAGTTGACGGAGCTGCGATTGGTGCGAATGGGGACTTCCTTGGTGAGTCGGCGCGAATTCAGCTAGAATGGAGGGCGGCTCCGACACCGACTTCGGCCTCGCGGACTTTCTGGCGGAGTTCTTTGACGGCGGATTCGAGGTAGCGGATTTTCTTGGTGGTCTCGGTGAGGACGGTGACTTTGTTCTTGCGGATGGAGACGCCGGAGGACTAGGGAGAATCGAAACACATGCGAGTGATAAAAACTTCGAGGAGCGTGAAGAGCTCGTTGATGCAGCAATTCATTCGCTCGATGCGCTTCTTCTCAGAGATGTTGTGCTCTATCGGGAAGACGACATGCGTGGACACTACGGTTTCGCTTTTCTGAGTAGTCGGAGTTCCGAGAGCGCAAGCTGGTGCGCGAACTTGTGCGAACGATGGGACGACTCTCTAACGAATGGTCTACCATCATTGGGTCAGATCGGATGCGCTTTAGATGCTGAGGCTCGTCATTCTGAGGGGCAAGAAGGGACACTTCGGATGGTTCATAGATTGGTGTAGTATAAGGCATGGGAACAGCAATATCCGAACTCTCGCTCATGAAAGGGATAAGTCTATTTCGTCAATTCTCGGAAAGAACGAAAAACGGTGGGAAACCGCTGCTATTTGGAAAACTTATGCCATAGCTATAGGACGAGGAGTCTAGTGCAATGAAATTTTAATAGTATTCTTACAATTTATAGGGGCAAAATCGCCATTCGGCTGAGTACTGACAGTCGATGCATCAGTAAATATTTCACTATCGTGACCATCGAAATATAGGCCTCCCGAGGTAAGTGAATCGCCCATTTGCATATCTGTAGAGACCCCCTCCTCTCTGAATAAGGAATTCAACAGTTCATCCGAGGCGTTTTCAATAAACGGCTTAGAGTAGAAGTCGACCTCATTCATTCTTACAAAATGATGTCCACAATCTGACTTGAATGGGACAATTCGGTTTAAGAATTAGGAATTAATAATACGTTTTGAAATAGGGACACAGGCCCCCTTTTATGTCCTGTTTTTTATGTAGGAAGAATAATACAATTTCGAAAATGAGCAAGTGTTTCATTCGTTCTCACTCTTTGTTCAAATAAGAATTCGAATAGGGTACTCTTCCAAGCACACATGACGTTCGTATTTCAACACTTAAAATAAATAAATAAATAAATAAATAAATCCGGGTTTGCTTTGTGGAATTACAGATTTGTCCCGTTTTGCAGTTTTCCTTAATCGTCTCTCAGAAACCGAATGGAGGGTCTAAGGAAACGAAGGAATGACTCTGCAGATCACAAATCATTGATTTCCAAATATAGGAGCGGAGTGAAGCGATTGGATCTTTTTCCCAAAGTGGATGACGACTATGTGATAAAGACAAATGGAGGGGGATATGGTAGGATTACAGAATCGCAGTTAGGACGTAGTTTCTGTAATTACCACCTGTATCATGATTATTCTATTCCTAACAGAGATTTTTGCATATATGCGTGTTCAGAGGACTGAATCCATCACTGTCCGAAAGGATACGGAAGATCGTTTGTTTATCGACTTTAATTTGACAATGTATAACATCACCTGTCGAAGTACGGTGGAATCTGCCATCTGAGAGCTAGAACTGCGATTCGACGTTTTGGATGAGGATGGAATTCATTCCTATGGTTCCTCGAGCCAGATTATGAAACTAGATGTTGATGTAAACGGCGTAGTGACGGGATTCAACCGCGAATCGATCGTACTTTTCCACCCTCTAATTCACATCATCAGTCTTCTTCTTCTTCTTCTTCTTCTTCCTCCGATTCCTGCGGTAGTTGCTACGGAGCAGGCGCAGAAGGCCAAGTTCTTCCCTTTCGTGCCTCTCACCCCTAGTGCTGCAACACCTGCTCGGCCATCGTGGAAGCCTACAATTCCCGCGGGTGGAGCCCCCATTTCGTTCTCCAGTTCAGCCCGCTGTGCCGAAACTCCCGCCCCTCTGTGCTGTCGTTCAAATCGGGCTGCATGATCTGGGGAGCCATCGACGTGCACCAAGTCGCGGGAGACATCCATATCCAGACAACCACGGGAATGATCGACATTTTGGGGGCGCCGGTCTACGACGCGGAGATCATTTCCAAGCTCAAATCCTCGCATTTCATCGAGCAGTAGGCGTTTCGTGCGCGACGACATGCAGTTTTTCGTTCGGGAAACACATTCCGGGCGTGGAAAACCCGCTGAATGGGCGGCGATTTCTGGCCAATCAGCGTACCGAAGCGGCGGAAACTCCCATGTAGTGACGTCGCACGCGTACCAGATCGAGATTCTCCCCGCGATTTATGAGCGCGGCGGGGTGGAGATCCGTTCGAACGAAGTGGGGAGTTGGCGGGAACTGTGTCGCAGATTTCGGTGTATGAAACGGACAAAGTGGTAACCGTGGAACCGTCGGGGACGGCGGATGTGGAGCCCGGGTTGTTTTTTAAGTACCGAATCTCTCCGTTTGAGCACGTGATTCGGGAGGATCGGAAGGAGTTTTGGAGTTTGGTGGTTCGGTTGTGCGGCGTGATGGGGGGAATGATGGCGGTAGGAGGGAAGGGAAGGAGGGAGTGATGGGTAGATCGCGAAGATGGTGGATGGAGTGCTTTATTATATGGTGAAAGTGTGAATGGAAAATGGTTGTTTGTTTGAATAATTATAGAGATAATAAAGAAGGGATTGATGTTATGGGATCGTGTAATGATGATTATTATTATTATTATGTGAAAGAATAGAGATGAGAATGAATCGAATAAGTGATAAAATGGGATCGAACATACAAATCTATTGCTCCTATTGATAGTTGGATTGAACCTTTGTTTCACAATAATCAATTTCTCCCTCCTCCTCCTCCATTTCTTCTCTTTTTAACAAACATCCACACCCCTTCCCTCCTAAATTACACACTTTCCTGCCCAATCTTCATCAATTCGCGCCGAAACTCCTCCTTCAACCTCTCCTTCAAATCCGAATCGCTCTCCACGATCACGCCCCGAATGTGTTTTATCAGCTCGTACTGCGTATTCACCGCCGCACTGATGCCCTCTTCGAACTTGTGCGTCTCCTTCACCGTAAACACGCTATCCGTCCCGTCCTTTTTCACGGTTATCTGGCAATACGCCACGTACGATTCTTCGTTCAGCTTCGTCAGACTCACCTCCAATCCCAGCTCTATTTCTCACTCTTCCCCGCGATTCTCACCATCCCGCGATTTCTTCTGCGATTTCGGCGGCTCCTCCGAAATCGAAACCAGCTTCACCTTCTCCAGCTCCCTCAGAATCGCGTCCCCGACCGCCTTCTGCAAATTTAAATGCTTGCATCCGATTGGATGCACCACTTTCAGCCACTCCATCACCTGCATCGCGATTTCCGCGGATAAATGCGGCTTCCGCACGTCGCACGTCACCGGGACCGTTAATTCGGGGGATCCCTCGCACCCCATAAATGGTACAATTGGGACATGGATGGTAATATGGGCCAATGAGTTGCTAGGAATTGGGTCACCCGTGTATTCTTTTATTGGGCCCAAATCGTCCCAAAACTCCGACCCAAATACCCCGCTCGACCGCAGCGGCGAAAGAGGCGTCGTCCCCGCGGAAGTGCGCAGCGGCGTCGAGCGCGTCGCCGAATTCCGGGACGAAAGAAGGGCCGATTTCTGGATCGTTTGGTAGTGCGTGATAACCGCGGTTATCTGGTCGTTGAAGATGCAGCGCTGATCGGCCTGCAGGTCCACGAGCTGGCCCAACTACATCGAAATCCCCGCGGATTCCGACGTGGAACAGAAGAACGCCGCGCGTTTCGTCGATTAACCGCGATTTCCGCGGGGGAGAGAGCGCGGGAAGGTCGTTTTTGCCGCGCAATTCGTCGACGGCGTCGGCCAGGCGGCGGGCGACGGTTTCCACGGTTTCTCCCAGATCGCCGCAGTCCCGCGGGAGTGGAAACTCCACGCGATCCACGAATTCGCAGTTCGGATCGTCGTTGAGGAAAACCGCGGGGAGAAACAGGGAAATCGAGACCGGCTCCGTGGCGGAACACAAATACTGGAACAATGAAACACTTTGCGATTGCGATTGGGATTGTGAGGTTTTTCCCGCGGTTTCCACTTTTTCGCGGATTTCGCTTCCCGCCAAATTGAGCGCGGCAATCACGCCTCCCGCCAACTCGCGTCGCTCGCTCTCCGCCAGGCGAGGCACCCCGCGGGAATCGCGCAGCTCGTTGATCACCGCCTCCAATTCCACGATCGCGTTCCACGGTTGCTCCGATTCCAAAAATCGGACCTTCTGCCTCAGCCGGACCATTCCCGCGGTTCCCGGGATCACCAGCGAGGCGGGGAGTTTCATCGTCAGCGTGGCGTGGGGCAACAGCAGCGGGTAAAAAGCGGGGTTTCTTCGTGCCGAGGCGTTTCGCTGCAGATTCAATTTGGTGCGCACGGATTCTTCGGAGAGCGAGGGCGAAATCGGGCACATTTTTGGCAAAATATGCACCACTTCCGACTCCGCGCTATCCTGCGTCGCCGAAACGCCCAGACCCGATGAAACGCCCAGGCCGGTCGCGTCGTCGGGCTCCCGCGGGGAATCGCGCTGTTTGAGGAGGCTGGCGAGGTCTGGCGGTGAATCGTAGCGGATTCCCGCGGCATGCTCGCGCGGCGGAGAGAGCGGGGCGAAGAAGGCTTTGGAGAAAATAACCGCGGGATCGGGCGGAGGGTCTAGAGAGTATTAAAAAAAATCGGTTTTTTTGGAATACTGTTCACGTGATTTTCGACCAATGGCTGGCCGAGATCGATGACCGGCGACGTCCCCGCGGTAAAAAACGGGTCGTTCAGCAGCTCCCCCGCGGTGGGGCGGAGCGGCAGCGGCGCGAGGCAGCGCTGGAGGAGGGAAAAAAGCGCGGGGTCGATCTCCTGGATGCGAAGCAGTCCCGCGGGGGGCTTGTTCTAGATGAAACGCCCGGTCCTGGACGTACGGAGAGAATGGCGGATTTGATGAAGGCCGCGTCGTCCAGCTCGCCGTACCTAGAATTGGGGAAACGTGGAAACCGTACGGCTGGCAGCCGGAGAGAAGGTGGATGAAGCACATGCCCAGCGCGTAGATGTCCACCGCGGGACTCCACTGCCCCGCCTCGAGCACTTCCCGCGGGTAATAGCCCAGGTAGCCTGCGCGTCAGCCCGCCGCCAATCCGCTTACTGTCCTCCTGCGCCCACCGCACCTGCGGGAAACTCCCTGAGCACGGCGGAATCGGAGAAGGGGGCGACGTGGAAACCGCGGTTATACTATTGGGTCCAGTATTGGGTCCAGTATTGGGTCCAGTATTGGGTCCAGTATTGGGTCCAGTATTGGTTCCACTATTGTTTCCACCATTGTTTCCACCATTGGTTCCACCATTGTTTCCACCATTGTTTCCACTATTGGTTCCACCACTGGTCGCATCAACATCATCATGAGCCTCGGTGAGCCAGAAATAACCTCCGAGGCGAACCTGTCCGGTGGATCGGAAGTACATCATGTGATGCAGACTGGAGAGTGAGATACGACCGATACAGAAAGAGCTTACCGGATGCGACCATGGATGAGAACGTTGTGTTTGTCGGTTTTGGAGTGGAGGTCGGCAAGACCGGTCAGAATGTCTTGGAACCACTTGCGGACCAGAACGAGACGCACAGAACCGATGCCCGCAAACACACTGCGAGTAAGATTCGTATCTATTTTATTTACCTTCTCACGTTGTCCAGAATCGATTCGGTTACGTAACTAATCGTTTGGTTTTCGAGATTCCGTTCATGGGCAAAGCATTGCAAAAAGAGTCTGCCTATCATACTCAACACCCTCCGACTTACTCGTTCGAATCGTAATTTTCTACGATCTTTAGTGCATTCAGAAAACAATCCACCACTTCCGGTTTCCAGGAACCGACACGAATTGTATGGATAAGTGCTTCCTTTCCATCATTTGTTGCATATGCTTTCCAACTATGGACATAATTCGAAATCTCCCTCACTTACATCTCAACTTGTTCTGTTTCCCGTACCTTTGTTTCCTAGAATTAAATAATAGAAGCAAAAACGTACACATTTGAACAAACTCGTCAATCCTTCTGCAGATTCCATACTAATCTTTGTTTTTACAATAGCAGTCTTTTTAAAGAAAAAAACTCTCTCGGAAACAAAAGTTGTGAGGATGGAGTTGGTAAAAAACAGACACAGAACCGCGGAATGATTCTTTTTTCTTAGTTTGCAGTTCTTTCTCGATCTCAAAGGCTCGCTTACACGTTTCACTTGAACCACAGTGACAATGATCGAAATGCGCGTTGAAATGCATCGAAAAAAACGTAAAAACAAATGACAACGTTTGTATAAAAAGTTCACTCCGCCAAAATGTTGAAATGGTCTATTGACCAGATTTCTGGCATTTCAACGATTGCTAAACGATTTAAGAAGGCACAGGATCCCGATCTAAGGGGATTACAAGAGCGGCTGGAATCGCTCGCTGAAGCCTATAAGTACAGTCGTGAGAGGGATACGCTGATTGGTAGTCATATCGAGAAGTGTTACGAGGAAGTCAAGGAGTTCACCGATTTTTTTGTAAATAGTGCCAATACTGTAGCAAACTCGCTGGAGACAATCCAGAATGTGTGTGCAGACAGTGAAAAGATCCCTCTCGTTCGTGCTCATCTGGAATTCTTGTATATGGAGTACAGCAATTGGGTAAAGTCGAAAATCGTTTTCCTGCTCGCTCTCCTTTACGGATAGGACATGGAGGCCTCGGAGCTTCTCGAGGATGCGCTGAAAGAGAAGCGGCAAGCGATTTCCAGCTTGCAGGACCGCATATCGCTGTGCGATGCGTCCTCTAGTGACTTCCACGCGATGAAAACGGAGTTGAATCGCATGAAAACGCACGGATCGGTCGATCCTCACTTCCTTGAAACCTTCGAAAAACAAAAGATTGTAGTCGAACAAATCACGCTCCAGCTCCAATCCGACGTTCACTTCCTCATCGAAAAAGAAACATCCTTCCTTGAACATAGCATGGACATCGTTTTCGCACACACGCCTCGTGATGATTAGATCATGGGCATGATGCAGCGCTCTGTAGCTCACAACTCCGCTCTTTTAGCGCAAAAGCCTCCTTCCTATCTTCTTCTCCCTCCTTCTGCGCCCTTTGTCGCGGGGAAGGAGGATTCGGAGATCGAGTTCTCCGTTTCTCCGGGCGGCAAACACATTCTCCCGCTCTCCATGAAAGTTTTTTAAATTTGCCGCCAAATGAGGCGTAGAAAGGGCGGGAAATCATCTGGGCGATCGATGTGCGCGATGGCGAGATTGGGCTTCGCGTGTTGTTCCGCGATCCGAATGGCGATGAAACGGTCGTGCAGCCGATGCATCGGATCGGGAAACCGCGGGGAAAGCTGGTTCGGTAGACGAAGAGGGATGATGTGATGGGTAGAGGGAGTTTTGTGGGGAATCGGTCGGGGATGCTGGAGCTGCTGTTTGACAACCAGGACGCGCTGATTCGATCGAAACAAGTGTGTATGCGACTGGGAACGAGGGATGATGTGGATGGTGATGTGGAAGAAAATGGAGATGGAGATGAAAATGGAGATGAGAAGAGGGTTGAAAATGGAGATGGAGATGAAAATGGAGATGAGAAGAGGGTTGAAAATGGAGATGGAGATAACAATAGGGTTCAAGATACAAATGCGCCTGCAGAAGTCAAAAATGAATGAATGAATGAATCATCAATTTTCTGGTTTTGTGCTCCTGTTTGTTTGGTAAAATCCACATCAATGCTTTGGAAAACACCACTCCAACCCAATTCGATTCCTATTCCCACCCCTGATCTCCCTTATTCATTAATTACAACAAACACACAAATTCGTACTGAACAAAAATCCAAACCGCTTTCTCGAAATGTAATAATTAACCTCCAAGTGTCCCATCCCCATAAACGGAATCATCACTCCCATTCCATAGCTCTGCAGCCCCGTCTCCAGCACATTCCTCACCTCGCTCACCCAGTTCCTCCGATTTTGGGAATTCCAAATATTCCCCCAATTCCAGAAAACCTGCCCTCGAATTCCGACCTTCCCATTCCGGCTATACGAGCACGGGAAGCTCACCGCCACGCCCACCGACGCGCCTCGCTCGCCTCCCAACAAGTCTCCGCCCGGACGCCCGCCATCTACCTCTCATCCCCGATTCCACGTTTCCACCTTCCGGAGCGGAGCGGGGCCCCACCTCGCCTCGTTCATACCCGCGGATATTCTGCTCGTCTACCCTTCACCCCGGTTTCCCCGTTTCTACCGAAAAAAACCCGGTCGTAAAATTTGGCGGGCTTTCGCGCCAAATTTCGGACCCACCCGAGATACCCCGCCAAATGAACCGCGACTCCGTCTTCTTCGCCGAAACGCCCGGTGAGCGGGAAATTCAGCGACGTCCAGCAATCCGTTCGGAGGAGTTTCACGTCGCCGAGGAGCCCGCTGTACGCCTACCGTCGAATCGTGGAAACGTGGAAACCAGTTGGAGGCGGAGGGAGGATCCGGAGGTGGGGAGCACGGGATTATCGCGGGAATCGAGGGAAATGGAGGCGGAAAGCGTGGATTTGAGGGAAGGGCGGCATTGGCGAAGCATGGCGCGGCTCACGTGCTGGAGCGAGCGGCGCTCGACGTCGACGTCGACGTTGGAGGCGGGAAGCATGTCCCGCCAAGCGAGGCTGTAGGCGAAGCTGTAGAGGCGGGAAGGGTGCTGGAGGGAAAGCGTGACGCCGTCGGAGAGGCAGCTCACACTGCTTTCTTTGAGGTAGTCGCGGATGGATCTGGAATGTGTGAGAGAGAGAAAGAGAGAAATATAACAAATGAAAGCAAAACCTACTTCGTGTAATCCAAAATAAGGTGATGACCGAAGATCGATTTGGGAACCAGGAGATTGATGCTGTAGAGCGAGCTCTTGCGAAGCACGTCGAAGTTCACGCGGGACACCAAACGATCGGCATAGCCCGTGGCATTCACCACTTCGAGATTTCCCTCCTACGAAACCATCACAGCTCAGGAGAAGAGCCTACAAGAGAGGCATCCGTCGCCGTGGAACTGAACGAACCACCTACACCGAGCATGACTGGTCTTTTCTCTTTCAAAAACATGCGCACCATGACAGCGTTCGGATCAAACTGCATATAGTCGGCTTGGAGTTCAAGAGACAAAAGAACGCAGTACGAACATCCAACACGAATCGAACATCATCAAATATATCGAGAGACATCAGATTCATTTGCATTTTCACGAGAGCGGCATAGATTTCGCCCAAGGTCTTTGCATGCTTCAACTCCTACGCATTAGCGAATGGAGAGCGATGCTACTTCCGGAATCTCTCGTTGGATCACTCGGTTTCTAAGCCATCACCCGGAATGTCCTTTCCTACTTGGTTTTATAGGGAGGCTCTATCTTGAATGCCGAGAAATTCATAGGCATTCCACTGATATCGGGCATCGACATGGTTTAAGATTATTTTCTATCTTACCTAATTTATTCAACCTATTCCTATTTCTCTTCCTTACTTCTTCAAACAAACAAACCGAAAGAATTTGATTAATTACACACAACACTTAGAAAGGAAGAGGCGGAGGATTTAAGAGCGGTCCACCTTGGCCATGTACTGGATGAGGTCGACCATACGGTTGGAGTATCCCCACTCGTTATCGTACCAGGAGACGAGCTTGACGAAGTGCTCATTGAGGGCAATTCCCGCCTTGGCATCGAAGACCGAGGAGTAGGGGCAGGTGAGGAGATCGCGAGAGACGATATCGTAATCGACGTATCCCATGATTCCCTTCAGATAGGTCTCGGAAGCCTCCTTCACGGCAGCCTTGATCTGCTCGTAGGTGGCGGGCTTGCTGAGCGTGCAGGTCAGATCCACCACGGAGACATCCTCGGTGGGGACACGGAAGGACATTCCGGTCAGCTTACCGTTCAGCTCGGGAATGACCTTGCCCACAGCCTTCGCGGCACCCGTGGACGAGGGGATGATGTTGAAGCAGGCCGAGCGACCACCTCTCCAGTCCTTCTTGGAAGGTCCGTCGAGCACCTTCTGGGTGGAGGTGACGGCGTGCACCGTGGTCATCAGACCCTCCTTCAGACCGAACTTGTCGTTGATGATCTTCGCCAGAGGCGCCAGGCAGTTCGTCGTGCACGAGGCGTTCGACACCACCTTCAGGTCCTTCGTGTAGGAAGTGTTGTTCACGCCCATCACGAACATCGGAGCGTCCTTCGACGGCGCAGAGATCACCACCTTCTTCGCGCCACCCTCCAGGTGCTGAGCAGCCTTCTCCTGGGCCGTGAACACACCCGTCGACTCCACGATGTACTCCGCGCCCGCAGCGCCCCACTGGATCTTCTTGGGATCCATCTCGTTGGACACCACAATGCGGCGACCGTTCACAATGATCGCGTCCTTCTCCGCCTTCACCGTTCCCTGGAACGGACCGTGGGTCGAATCGTGCAGGATCATGTACTCCATGTAGTCGGGAGTGATGAACGGATCGTTGATCGCAACCACGTTCACCAGAGGGTTCGGCTGCGAGGCACGGAACACCAGACGACCAATACGACCGAAACCGTTGATACCCACGTTCACCGGACCAGCGTTCTTCACCGTCGAGTTCGCGTTGATGATGTTCACGAACTCGGGCTTCAGCGAAGCTCCGCCCACCAGGAAGCCGTCGATATCGGCCTGCTTGCCCAGCTCGTTGCAGTTCTTCGCGTTCACAGAACCTCCGTAGATGATGCGCACCTTATCGGCAACAGCACCGCTCACGTTCTCACGCAGCCACTTACGCAGAATGGCGTGCACCTCCTCCGCCTGAGCAGGGGTCGCCACCTTGCCAGTACCAATCGCCCAGATGGGCTCGTACGCAATCACCGCGTCATCCCAGTTCTTGATCGCGTCGGCGTACGCCTTCAGCTGGCGGGTCACCACCTCAGCGAAGCGGCCAGACTCACGCTCCTGCAGGGACTCTCCCAGGCAGCAGATCACCTTCAGTCCGTTCTTCTGAGCATAGGCAGCCTTCGTAGCAACCTCAGCATCCGACTCACCCTTGCCGCGGCGCTCAGAGTGACCCACGATCGCCCAACCGACCTTCAGATCCTTCAGCATCTCAGCAGAGGTCTCGCCGGTGAACGCACCGTTGCCCTGGCTCCACACATCCTGAGCAGCCACCTGCACATCGGGGCGCACAGTCGAGACGGTATCACGCAGGTAAGCGGTGGGAGGGGCAATCACCACCTCCGCATCGCTGTTCAGGTTGGAGGCGTTCAGGGTCGAAACGATCTCCTGCACCTTGGCAATAGATCCATTGCACTTCCAGTTTCCTCCCACGAACAGCTTACGGGCAGCAGTTCCAAAGTTACGAGCAACAACAGCAGAACGAGTGAACATTATTTATATATAAAAAGAAAAATATTTTGATCTTGCAATCTAAGAGTTTCAGCAACCAATCATCCCCCATCTAGCTGACTTCTTGCGCGACGACATGCACGCAGTGTGGTCATTGCTGCAGACAGTTTGCCAGCTGCCAAACCTTTGTAAAGGATCGAGTGCACTCTGCTGGCCGCACGGATGAAAGAAATCGTTCTAACGGAGACCGGGGAGCATATCACTTTTAGGGTTTGAAAGCCGTCGTTGGTAAGGGGAGTGTGTGAGAAAATGGAAAAACGATACGGCACAGCGATTTGAGTTCTCAATGTCAGTATCTTCGTAGGATCGTGTGATACACTTTTTGGAACTGCGGGATCGGTATCTTGACACAGGCCGATTCGAGAGTGCATTTTTCATCCCCATTGCTCAACCTCCCTTTCTTGTTATTTCTCTTCGAAGAGCCATTACTTAGATAGTGCTTCATTCAAGGATGAATTTCGTGTGGGGATCGCCTCAATTCAATGGTAGATTCCCCCCCAAAAAAAACAAGGTGTTTTGTATTTAGAAAAGATAAGAAAACTCATCATCTTGTACTGCTTTGGCTCTAAATGGGCTTTCTGACATCATCCATCATTGTATCGATATGGATAATCTCCATAGTGTGGAGGTGGGATGCGACAGTATCGCGAATCCATCATTTTGTGCTTTTTTACAAATGTCTGGGTTGGATCATCAAAAAATTAATTGAATTTGGGTTCTTCGTGCTGAGTTGCGTGGTTTGTCACGAAATCCTTCTCTATATAATTCATTATAAACAAGAGGAGAAGAGAATACGGCCCCGTATGGTGAATAAGCCGAATTTCACCGAGAAGCTGACTTCGACGGAGCCTGCGGATATGATCGAAATAAAACTACGCAGTGAGCTTTCATGCCATTGGGAAAACACGCAAGCTATTTGGGATGAACTGAGTTGGGTCGAGTGGGTGTGATTACAAACAGGCTACATTAATGATTTGCTTTTGCGCCAGATGTTCGGAGACAATTCTTTCCGTAGCTTTCCTCCTCGCTTTTGAGTCACCTTCTAGTGTCTCGTTCATTGAACGGAGATCTGTACCGAAACGTCCATCTCATGCTTCTCCAGAGCGAAACCGAACTCATCCGCGCCTTTACCCGTCCCAACATCTTCTACCGCCTCACCTCCGCCTTCCTCTCTCTCCTCATCGACAATCTTCAGACCTATCGCATCATGCTCGAAAACGCCGCCTATGCCAACCACGACGTTTCTCTCTTTTCACCATCCCCTATCTTCTCAGCTATTCTTCGCCAAACATCGCAATCGCTCCTTCGACCCCAAATTCATTCCCGGCTTCTTCTCCCTTTCGAATCTCCACGACCGCCAAGCCGCCATCGAGCACCAATACCGAATCCACGGCTGTCTCCATCCTGCTCTCCGCGACGAAGAGCTCGTCGCCGTCTATCTCCGCTACGTACCGACCCGCGGTTCTCTCTGAGTCTAGCTCTCGCAGCAACTGTATCATCTGCTGCTTCCGAACTCGTCTGGCGGGACGCTGCTTCGCGATATCGTGTGTGACGCGGTGAGCAACTACGTGCTGGCGCCGTTCCTGCGATTACTGACGCCGACGGGGTTCAATCGGATGCTAATCACGGTGTTCGAGGGGAAATGGCGGGAATGGGTGGACGCGACGCTGCTGCAGATTCAAATGTCGAACGAATTGTGCGGGAAACTGATGAAGGAGAAGCTGGTATTTTTTTAACTTTTTGAAAAAAAGCGTGTTTTATGGGGTAGAATTCGTCGAATCGCGACGATGCGCTGAACTACGTCGTGCATTCATTGAGTCGGTTCCACGCGGAAACGATTCTTTATCACGCCCCCAACGGGTCCTTTCTGTTTCGAACTCCGCAGCCCTATTCACCCATAATCTTTTTGTCGTATTGTCGCTGGGACGAAGGCGCGAGCCATCCTCAAATCCGCCACGAAACGATCCATCGAACTTCGAAAGAAGGCTATGAATGTAAATGGGAGATTATGGGGAGAGAGTGAAATGAAGATGGCTCGCAGCAATATGCGTTGTTGAGTGACATTCTGGAGGAGTTTCAGGATGTGTGTTGGTTCGGATTGCGATTGGACGATTCCATGCATGTCGTCGCGTGCGAATGCATGCCATGGCACTCTACGTCGCGTCTGCAGTCGACCAAACGTCGGTTTGGAGGCGTGTTTGGAGTGTTGTAGAGCGTCATCGCAGAACGAAACCGAATTCTTCGATCGAGTTGAAAACGATTCCGAACGCGGAGGAAGAGAAAAAAGCGACGCTGTCGCGAATGAATCAAGCGAGTGGTGCGTCTCCTCACGCCTTGAATAATACGCAGAACACTACCGACAGCGCCATTTGAAGCCATCCGATCAAGAGTTTATGACAGGTAGGTGATTGTTCTTTGCTTTGTTTATTGTTTATTGTTTATTGTGTGTTGATTCTTGTGTGTTTTGATTCTCTTTTCCCTTTTCATTCTCTTATGTTTTTTCTTCTTCTTCTTCTTCTTTGTATTTCTCTTCCTCATTCTCTTTTCTTCTTCTTCTTCTTCTTCTTCTCATTCTTCATTCTTTATTCAATTATTGAAACTCACTTCTTCTAGACTTGTCGCTCTCCTGGATGTCGGGATTGGACGAAGTCGAGGAGTGGCTTCGCGAGCGCTCGTTCCTGCTTCAGATGCTCACCGACGCCACCAATTCGCTGCTTGCTTCCTATCTCTCAAAACCCGATCAGGCCATTTTGGAAGGAAATCCGGCGCTGCAAAATCTCATCGAACGCTATATTGCCATCCTCGATTACAAGCGGAAATCCACGATTCCAGGAGTCTGGGCGATTTTGCGGAAGGCAAAAATACCCCCGAAATTGGTCAAACCGACAAAAGACTTGGAATTCGCGCGGAATGCGATTGCGTTTTTGCTAAATACCCATGTACGTGTCAAATCGTGGAATAATTGTGTAGAAATTGAGGGATTTCTTGGCGTCGTTCACCAATCAGGAATTACGCGAAATGTACAAGAAATCCGCCATCTTGTTGATTCCAGAGAACGTATGAATTCTAGAACGGACTGCACGGTAGATGAACGAGGTGCTTCGTTTGGCGGGAATGGTCAGCGGCGTTTTGTTCTCCATTTCCTGCGACACGCCTTCCTCGATCAATTCCGTTCCGGTTACTCCCATTCCACGTTTGCAGAACGAATCAACATGAAGGAATAGAGGCGGACGCCACGCCGCTGGTGGAAACCGAAGAAAACCCGAACATTTTTGGTTTTTCCGAGCAGCCGCCAGAAAGCGCGGATCCGACGGTGCACGACGCATCTACAACAACATCGTAAGCCTCCTTTCTTTTCTCTGTGAGTGTTTTGCTTATCTGTAGAACTCATGAAATTGATCTGATTTCGGACTTGGTATTCCTCTTCTTTGCTTCCTTCCTGATTTCCAGATCCACCAGATCCAGTCCATCCAGGTCGATTCCTACCAAATCCAGTGGAGCTCCACCGAGTCCAAAAATGTCGTCGTTTTTTCCATTCAGGTTTTCACAGCCACGCAAACGTGGACGTACGCTCTCTCTCTCTTTTATTTTTTTACTTACTCCCAGCGTCAACCATCGCTATTCCCGCCTCCACCAATTCCACCGCCAAATCCGCCATCTCCTGCCCCGCGGTTTTCCTCCCTTCCCGCCCAAGCAGTTCGGCGCCAAATCCAACTTCGACCCCGCCTACCTCCGCATGCGCTGCGTCAGTCTCTCCGCCTACTTCCGCTCCCTCCTCCGCCTCCCCAACGTTCCCCTTTCCCCGCGGTTCTCCCTAGATCTTCTCTCTCCGCGCCTTCCAAGCGCTCTTCGTCCCCGACGGCGCCGTCTCCCCGCTCCCCGAAACGCCCGCGGCGGCGTCCGCGTCGCCGCGGCTCTCCGACGACGGTTTCATTTTAAAGGTGTGGGGGTGAAATCGCAGAGGAACCGGCGGAGGAAGCGGAGCCGTCGCTGCCGCTGCAGCAAATGCAGGCGCTGGAGGCGCAGGGCTTCGCGCTGGTCGACGAGATTCTGCAGGCGGAGCATCCGAAGGGGCTCAGCGCGAAGCTCCACGCCGCGTTTGCGAGGTACCCGCGGGGAGGCCGTGCGATCTAGCGCCGTGCGGGTGCTCACCGGGGGCAGTCTGCTCGAAACGTACGTGGAAACGGAGAAACGGGCGATGGGGAGCGAGAGCGTGGCGCGGCTTCTGGGGTGGCTGCGCGTGCGCGCGTGGGACGGAGAGCAGTGGTTTCTCGCGGATAACCGGTGCTTTCGGCGGGAGAGCGAGGCTCCCGCGGGGAGATCGGAGGTGGAGCGAGCGAGGCGGACGGTGCTGGAGAACCTTCCGGAACGGTGGGTGCGCGTGGCGGAGCAGGTGGATTCGGCGAGGGGACTGCGGCTGAGCGTGATGCGCGTGTTCGAACAGTTCCAGAGCGAGGCGCTGTGCAGAAATCTGTGTCTGCATGGGCTGGATGTACTGGTGGCGACGCTGTTTCCCGAGATTGAGGTGTGGTCGCATTTGGTGGAGGAGGCGGAGGAGAGTGGTGATGATGATGATGATGATGATGATGATGATGAGGGAAGGGAGTGAGTGAGTGAAGGAAGGAAGAAAAAAATGGATTAAGGGGGTGGGTTGAAGGAAAGATTTGCTTTGTAGAATGACGAAGGAAGGAAGGAAGGAGAAGAGTCGGTAGATGTTTTTGTGATCCTATTTTTGTAACAACATACCTGTTATTTGTTTGTGAAATACAGTCGAAAGCAACCGATCTCTCTTTCTTTTATATATATATATACATCTCTCCTTCACTCCAATGCCAAACAACACTTTCAGGTTTGAACGCCTCTTTCAATGCTTGAACGATTGGGAACAACACACCAACCTCTTCCTCATACAACCTAACACACTCCACAACCTTTCTAACAATGCTGCCTTCCATTGTTCATATTCATCCTTCTTTTGATGCTAAGCAGGTCTATTTGCAATCGGTACATCCCACCCTTTCCATCATCACATTTTAGAGCTTGCAGGAGCCTTGCACGCCAATTTTCATCCACTCTCCATTATGATGTAGTTGTAATAGGAGGAGGTCATGCTGGAGTGGAGGCAGCTGCAGCTGCCGCGCGAATGGGTGTAAAGACAGCGCTAGTCACAACCAATTTCTCCACGATTGGAGAAATGTCCTGTAATGTAATCCACTTCATTTTTCCCGAATCATGCACTAGCCTTCCATGGGAGGAATCGGAAAAGGCCATTTGATTCGAGAAATCGACGCGTTGGATGGTTTAATTGGCCGGATGACCGACTATGGAGGCATCCAGTTCCGTGTACTAAACGCCTCACGGGGCCCCGCCGTAAATCATTGGCATCCCCCTATCGTAATGCCTAGGTGCACGGTCCTCGTGCGCAAGTGGATCGTGATTTGTACAAAAAACACATGCAGCAGGCGATTCGAAACTACCCCAATCTCACGGTCATCGAAGACGGTGCCCATGTACCCTTACCCTTCTCTGCCTCTTCTCATCCGCAGGAATTCGAAATGGACGCATCCAACAAAACCATCCACGGCGTCGTCACGCGCAAAGGCCAGCACATCCACTGCTCCGCCGTCGTGCTTTGTACCGGCACCTTCCTCCACGGCGTTTGCCACATCGGAAAATGGAACGTTCCTGCTGGCCGTTTCCACGTTTCCACGTTTCTCCATTTCCACCTAGCGCGACACGCTGAACGTGGACCCGCCCTCGATCCACCTCGCCGACTTCCTTCACTCGCTCCATCTCCCCATCGAGCGTTTCACCACGGGCACTCCCCCGCGGTTACACCGCGACAGCATCGATTGGTCGCGGCTGGCCACGCAGGCCTCCGACGCTCCCGCGGTTCCGCTGAGCTTCCTGAACATCTACGCGGGGGACTTCATTCCCAACCAATCGCGCCTTCTCCGCTGCGCGACGACATACACAAACGAGGAAACCCACGCCATCTGTAACGCCCACCGCGGGGAACTGCCCTCCTTCACCGGAAACCGCGGGAAGGGCCAGGGGCCGCGGTACTGCCCGTCGATCGAGAAGAAGGTTCTCCGTTTCCCCGAAAAGAAACGCCATCTGATCTGGCTGGAGCCGGAGGGGCTTGAAACGCCCGTCGTGTATCCGAACGGCCTGGCGACCGCGTACGACGCCGAAACGCAGCTGAAACTCCTGCGGACCATGCGCGGTCTGGAGCACGTGGACATGCTGCGACCCGGGTACGCGGTCGAGTACGACTATGTGGATCCCGCGGTTCTGACGCCGGCGTTTCGGCTTCGGCTATTGGCCAATTTGTTTCTCGCGGGGCAAATCAACGGAACCACCGGGTACGAGGAGGCCGCGGCGCAGGTGGGAGAACCGCGGGGATGGCATGTAGGGAATCATGGCGGGGATCAACGCGGCGCGGCAAGTGATGGGGAAACCCGCGGTTATTCTGGAACGGTCGAGAGCGATGATCGGCGTGCTGACGGACGATCTGACGCGTGGAGGGTATCGGTAGAGACTTGTGGGAGGGTGGAGAATAGAACGGATTTGACGCGGGAACCGTTCCGAATGTTCACGTCGCGAAGTGAGTATCGCATTACGGTCCGCGCCGATAATGCGGATTTGCGGTTAACGGAATGGGGCTATCAAGAAGGAATTGTCGGAGAGGAGCGATATGCCAAATTCATGGAGAAAAAAGAAGAATTGTTAAAAGTGGAAACCGTGGAAACTTGGTGATTGTGTAGTGTAACGAGTTCTTGAAGGCGTATCGGCTCTCCAGCGAGGAATGGGGATTGCCGGGAGAGCACAAGTACATTTCGGCCTTCGACGCCATGGCGTATCCCAAGATCTCCATCAAGACCGTTGAGGACATTATTCGCAACAAGCAGGGAGACACCGTGCTGAATCGTAGGGATTGAGCGACAGTACGAATTAGACACCACGCGAGGTGTGAAGCAGACGCTGTATATCACCGCGAAATATGGCGTTTATTTGGAAAAGCAGAAAAAGGACATTGATTTGTTCAATCGCTCCAACGGGTTGAAGATTCCGGAGAATTTTGATTTCTCTGCGCTTCCGATTTCGCAGGAAGAGAAGGATAAGCTGATGGACACAAAGCCGAGTTCGATCGAGGAGGTGAAGCACATTCTGGGCATCAAGCCTTCCACGTTTTTGTTCATCATCAAAGCGATTCGAAAAAGTGGGAACGAAGTTGAACAAAATTGATAAGAGGAGAATGAAAGCATGGGAAATGCGAAGTTGTCAATTCATGTGTGCATGCCAAAAATCGGGAGTATTTTTTAATCATCTTTTTTTTATTAATCATTTTTTGTTATGCCAAATCCATGTAATCATATTGTGAATCGAAGAAGTGTCGTGCATAAGAAGTGTTGTGTCTGCCAGCGTGTAAAGCATATTTCCGCTTTTACAAAATCTGTATTGAATTATTGTAATTCGGTATGTAACATTTGTTCCCTTAAAAGCCTATGTGAAGAGAAATGTATTTTTATTATATTCGGTCGCTTAGATGTAGTGCAAAGTGAATGGAGGTCACCTGATACGAAATTCAAAATTGTTCCCGATCTAGGAAATTTGCTAGATCAAGGCTCCACGGATACTCAAGAAGATGATTCGCTGGATGTGCCTCGCGCAAACTATATTGTTCCGTATTCGAAATGGATACCAGTGAAAGATTTTGAATTTTGTAAAGATCATGAGCAAGTCATTGTGGCTAAAGTAGTGGTATCCTCATACCTATGAGAGACTCATAGTTTTTTGCTTGATTATGAGTAACAACGCATATATATATGTTAATCTTTGTTTCAAACACCTTTATGTTTCAGCATGTGGGGATATTGCGTTTTGGATACTTTGCGAAATTGACAGGGTGTGATGATTCCGTAATGTGCGAGAAGCAGATCCTACAGGTAAATTGTCAGAATGCACACGACAAAAGTCTTAACGATTGTTAAATGGTTCTGCGTGCATAATTTTTCCTCGGATCCATTTCGTTTCAGTTATCTCTCCACTCTGTACAATTTTAGAAATCCTAGCGGAGAATAGGAGAAAAAGGGAAACATTTCGAATTATTCACTGAATCTTTGTATATCAAATCGCAAAATGTCGGAAGAGAAAAAGGAGTAAGCCCGTTGATTGCTCTCGTGCCAACACGTAGGCAGATTATTACGGAAGAAGAGATGAAGAAACACTACTACTGGTACATGTTTTACTACAATCCTGATGTACACATATAGCAAATTTGCTATTGGATAGGATTCGCGCGTGATCGTCCCCAAGCGCTGTAAATGGTGCGGATGGACTGTGAATCTTGGAAATAAGAAGGGCCAGTTTTTGTTCGGTGCCATTATGGCTGCAGTTGTGAGTTCTCTCATCTATTGTAAGAACAATGATGTGAAGTGTTCCTACTCTTTCACCGATTTGTATGAGATGGTGAAGAAACCATTCAGCGCCTAAGTGATTCGTTCATCTATCTTTGTTTGTTGAACACAGGATATTTGTGCGGTTAAGAATGTACTGTTGTTTTTTTTGGATCGTATTTAGTGCATTGCCTTGAAAATAGAATATTGGGAAGGTTCCAAGAAGGTAAAAACCTGAATTATACGTGATTGGGCAAACATTGATTTCTACTCTATTTTACGCAATTTCTCTCTATTATTTTCATAGGCCATATGGATTCAACAAACATTCCAACTATCGAAAAATCGTCTACTCTCGCATTACCTGTTATACACTTCTTCCTTGTCCTCTGCATACCTCTTTACCTGCCCATTTCGCTCTGTTCCCTCTCCTTGTATCGTATATACCATCTTATACGCTTCTACGCCTCACTCCCCATCTGCATGCCCACCTTCTTTGTACGTCTCGCGATAAATCGGCAACGCGGGAAACAGCAGATCCTGCCGCAGATTCCCGTCCGATCCCTTCCCTGTTTCCGGCAAATACGAGGTGTTCTTCGGAATCGAGGGGTCCATCCAGTCGTATCGTCCGTCATTCTCCCAATTCTGCGCATTAGACAAGAGCACACAGCCAAAGCGATTTCCCTACATTCTTGGCCAGGACGCGGCGGAAGAGGCCGCGCAGATAGCGATAGTTCGGCTTCTGGTCAAAGCTCAGGCTTCGACAGTAGTTCATATACTCCAACAATTCTTCGGGCTGACCGGCGCAGAGCGTTGCGAACGAGTTCTACGCATGAGCCAAGCCAAGCCAAGCCAAGCCAAATCGAGCCAAGCCTAGCAAAGCAAGCTAAAACGAACCTCGATCTTGCATTCCATAATTCGGTTGTATTTTTTCTTTTTGGAAGTGGCGTTCAGACCCTGCCAAGGAAGCTTCCCGCGCACAAAATAGAGAAGGACGTAGCCGAGGGATTCTAAATCGTCACGGCGACTCTGCTCGATTCCCAAGTGATTGCTGAGAGAAGCGTAACGAGGAGTTCCTGTGAGACTCTTATCTTCTCGATATCTACGATCACACCATCTCGTTATCCATACGGAATGTGGCGGAAATGATGAGGATTTCTGTACTGTTTGGAAAGTCCAAAATCGATTATATACACTACATTGGCTCGATCCCCTGTTCCAATCACAAAATTATCAGGCTTGATATCCCGGTGGATGAAGTTCCGATGATGAATAAACTCCAAGCGGGTGATTAGCTCAATTCCAAGCATCATCGTAGTTTTGAGAGTAAAACGCCTTCCGCAATAATTAAACATATCTTCAAGACTGGGCCCAAGTAAATCCATCACCATAATATTGTTATCTTCGAGTATACCATTCATGTACACCTTGGGAATTCCCATTCCTCCTTCCAAAATACTGTACACCTTTGCCTCGTAGCGCAGCTGGCTGCACTTACATTGTGACGATTCCTTCTTCAAAGCGATAGGTCTTCCAGTATGAATATCCGATCCGATATAAATCTCTCCAAACGCGCCATGCCCTATTTTCTTCGTAATTTTATAGTCCTTATGAAACTGCTTCGCAGAGAGAATTGCAGCCATCTCTTATTGAAAGCGTTGCAAATCCGTAGTTTCCTTATGAATTCTCCCAGATAATAATTAGAAGAAGATGCAAGATGGGCGTTTCACCCAGTGATCAGTTCAATGCAAAACACGCTGATTTCATCAATCTTTCGTGCTCTACTCTGTGGCGGTACATGTAAAGAGTGGGATGGATATTGGTAAAAAAAGACGAAACGTTGTGGTTCTTTCGTAGTTTTAACCTTTGTTCTATTTTCTTTTTTATTTTTGTATTGTTTTTGTATTTTATCTGATCCTCTTATGTTCATTTGCTACTTTCCTTTTAATTCCATTTCCATTTTTATCACAAATTGAAAAAGCAAATCGTCAAAACCTTCAAAAACAATAATAACAAATCGTCAAAACCTTCCAAAACAATAGATCCCACAAGACCCCACAAATCTATAAATGTGTTAATTTTGAAACTCCTTGTTTTGAACTGATTATAGTGAAAGTGAAATGAGACATAATTGGTGTGTGTTTTTATGTTTAATCATATCTGGTACGGGGTCCAATCTGAAATGACGATTTGTAGTACTATGTCTTTATCCAAATCATCTAAGGAGGCTTGAAGATGAAAGCTGCTCAAATCATGGTCAAATGGTAGATAATGTTTGCGAATGCAACTTCGGGTTGTCGTTCTTTATTTTTGTGATTCTTAGTTATTACGGAGATACGTGCAGCGATTCGTGTGAAGGACTCAAAATAGAAGATGGAGAAGTCTATGAATGCAGTGGATATGGAGATTGTGAACTAACGAACGGCGCCTATGTCTGTAAATGCGATAGCTACGCCTTCGGCTCCGACTGCAGCGCGGTTTGTCCCGAATCCTACCGCGATGATAATGATACCATTATCATCTGCAGCGGCCACGGAACGTGCTCGTACACGGATACTGCGACGTGCACCTGCAATCCCGGTTACTACACCAGTGATTGCAGCGTATCATGTCCTGGCCTGATCACCGAATCTGGCAAAGTGCTCGAGTGCAGCGGCCACGGCCAATGCATCAAAGAAGACGACGCCGAGAACTACTACTGCGAGTGCGACGCGAGCTACTCCGGCGAGGACTGCTCGCTCAGCTGCCCTGGGCAGATCGAAAAGGACGGGATTTGGGTCAGCTGCAGTGGAAACGGAGAATGCGACGAAGGCACGTGCGTCTGCGACCCCGGTTTCTACGGAACGGCCTTCGACCAGCACTGCCCCGGACTCATCACGCTCGACGGGAATGTGGTGGAATGCAATGGACATGGCACGTGCGATCCCTCCTCGCTCACGTGCTCCTGCGCCAACGACCGGTGGGATCCCACGGATTGCGGGTGCAGCGCGACGACGTGCGGAGAGCACGGGTCGTGCCAAAACCAGACGTGCGTGTGCGACGAGAAGTGGGGAAACTGGGGAAACCGAGACGTAGATTCAGCGGGGAGTTCTGCGAATTCAACTGCGATTATATGAAGGACTGTAGCGGGAAGGGCCTGTGCAACCAGTGGAAGTTCGATTGGAATTCGACGTAGAGCGGGAAAGTGCGATTGTGTTTTCAATTTCTACGGGGAACACTGCGAGAAACAGTGTTCCGACAGCGACGATTGCTCCGACCAAGGCGTCTGCATCGAGAATGGTGCGAGTTCCGCGGGGATGTGATGTAGGCAAGTGTTTGTGTTTCAGCGGATTCGCGGGGGAACACTGCGAAAAAACCGCCCCGCGGGTCAGTTCGTCGCTCATTTTATCCGCGGTTCTCGCTCTGCTCTTGGCGCTACAGGTGTATTTATGGCGCCGTCAGAGCGTAGACTCCAATTACCGCTTTGACCTGTAGAAAACGCCCCGCTTTGCCGAGAAATTGTGGGCATTGCCCAGTTCCGATGTTCTCTAGAAATCCCACCAAGGCCGCCCAAGTCGAGATGACCAGCTCGGCAATGCCCAGTTCGACTAACTCGGCAATGCCCAGTACGACCAGCTCGGCAATGCCCAGTACGACCAGCTCGGCAATGCCCAGTACCATTGTGGGGGGCTGGGCGTGTCCCGCGTGCACGAAGATCAACCCGCCGAGCGTTTCGCGGTGCGTGGTGTGCAGCACCCCGCGGAACAAGACCATCCCCGCGAAACCCAAGCGGGTGCGAAGAACCGCCAGACCCGCGGGGAAGCCCGAGGAACCGAAGAAGGAGCCCGCCAGGGAGCACAAGCAGACCGGGGAAACCGGGGAAACCCAGAGCCAGGCGAGCAAAGGAAGAGAACCTCTCAGTGAAACTCCCAGTGAAACTCCCAGTGAAACTCCCAGTGAAACTCCCAGTGAAACTCCCAGTGAAACTCCCGCGGGAGCCAGCGAATCCACGGGATCCGCTGCGCCTGCTGTGCCTGCTGCGCCTGCTGTGCCTGCTGCGCCCTCGAAGCCTGCTGAACCTACTGAGCCTGCTAAACCTGCTGAACCTGCTGAACCTGCTGAACCCACAGAGAGCGTGGAATCAGCGGCGAGCGAGATTTTTGCCGATGCGAATCTTCGGATTTTTTTGTCCAGCTCCAAGTAGGCTTCTTTTCGTGCCTTCTGAAATACAGGATTGATGACCATCGAATCCAGATGCGACTTCGCTATGCCGCCATTTCGTCGCCCCTCGATGCTCTCGCATTCAATGTACTCCTTGGCTCCACGGTTTCCCCTAGATTTCATGTCCGAAGTACATCCAGGCGACCTCGGAGCCACTTTCAGCCACTTCGATCGACGGAGAAAACGAAGCGGAGCAGTTGATAACCGTAAAAGTGATCGGGTTTTGTGAGCGATAGTTCGAGCTGAAGGAGGACAAGCCGTTGAAGCTGAAGGTGGAGGGAAGCTATAAGAGCGGAGAGGATACGATTGCTGTAGATACTGGAGTGTTAAAGATTGAACAATCGAGTGTTTGAGACAAACATGCAAATGAGATCCCGTAGTGCTGCCTTCTAACAACATGTCCTTGGCTTGGTTGACTTTCGCGGCCAAGTAAGGACTGCCACCTTTATCAGGGTGATTTTTCAAAAGAATCGTGCGATAAGCCTTCTGAATGCGCTTTTCGTCAGAATTTACTCTGTGGATCATTCCGAAACAATCGAAAATTACCTTACACCGAGAATCAGAGCAGCCTCTCGCTTTGTCATTTCCTTCTCAAAACCTCCTTGGTAGAAAGAAGCCATTGCGTATGTGTGACCACCATTTCCATCGGTTTTGTTTTTGTATCTCTCGGCACTCTAAAACAACAACAGGGTTCTATCGAGTCCCTACCTCAACGACATACTTTGCAGCAAGACAGCAACCAGCAACTCCACATCCCAGAACCAACGGGAGTAAAGGGTTCTCTCTTCCGGTCGTCAAATATCTCTTCTGGGAGCGATTGTCCTAGTGATCATAGTTATCACGCAACCAAATACCAAAAGTCCATTGTGAGACAGCGTACCAACAGTATTCACTATACCAGAGTACAACGGTCTCTGCAACAGTCTTCCACCTTGCAGCAATGTTGTTGTAAGTCGTAACATCCCTAAGCTGATATTTACGAAACTGTGATAGTGATCGGGTTTTGAATTGGGACTTGGACTAACAACCGCGCATCTGGTAAAATGAATACATCCAAAAATAGGGTATAATTGTAAAAAAACAAGCAAGAAACTGAATTGTGAGCAACATCATCAAACAGGTTTGAAAACCACGCAAATCTATGGATCGATTTACACATGTGTAGAAAATTCTATTCATCTATTCAAATCGACATTTGAATTCAGCACGCCCACCTTTTAGTTGAAAAGTGCAAAGATCTAACCTATAATTACACCAATCCTTTTTACAACCACCCATTCCTTATAATTTTATGAGTTTTGATGAGCTCGTCACTTTGTTTGCAAGTATCTACACTGTACAACAGCCTCTTTCCCACATAAATCACTATTTTCAATTCACCACACTTCATAGACACACTGTCAAGTACGCTCGCCAATCCCTATAAAAACTTCAGTTCCCAAAGCAAGTGTGCCGTTTTTCGTCGTTGGATCTGCGACCTAACCTAGATTTTCATTCATTTTTATAATTGTGCACTCTTTGTTGTTTTAAAGGGTTGTCTTGTCATTCCGTTTTTAATCTATAGAATATATAATCAGTCGTTCAATGGAACTAATTCCGAATAGCAAAAGCTCCGATGGTGAAAAGGAGGCAAATCATGCTCTGCCTAATAATAGAACTGTTTGCATCGTCATACCGTCTTCTCATTTTTTAGGTTACAGAAACGCTATGTTCCGAAATCTACCCCGACACTTCAACAAACTCAGTAACCCGATTTTCCCCGCAATTCATGCGCAGGACAACGGCACCAGACGATCCAAGCGCTCTCGCAAGCAATCGACTCCCTCGGTACGCCCTGCGTGCTTCTCTGACGCCCCAGCGCTTCAACAGCCGCCGCAAGCTCACTCCGCGCAAGGACATCCCGCAGCCGACCTTCTGCGTGGAGGGCTCGGAGGAGGACAACTCGCTCTCTTCCCCGTGTCCGCTGAGTCCCCCGCGGAACACCAAGCGCATCGACTTCTACTTCGGCCCCAAGGAGATTCTTCGCCAGCCCGCGCCGCCGCTCCCCGACTCCCATTCCAATCTCTCCACGCTTTCCCTCCCTTCGCAAGACGGCGCCCCGCTCGCTTCTCCCGCCAAAACCCTCCCCGATCCCGCGGATAATCGAGACGACCCGTCTCCCGCGGTTCCCGGCGTCGATTCGCGAGCGAAAGACCCCTACACGCTGCTCATCGCCCGCGACCGCCGCATCAAGGAGCTGGAGCACGTTTCCCCGTTTCCCCGATTCGATGTAGGAGCTGAGCGAGACGAAACGGTCGTTGGAGGAAGTGCAGCAAGCGGAGACGTCGTACAAGTCGCAGCAGGCGGAGCTGTCGAGTCTGCGCGCGAATTACCGCGAGGACATCGACCTGCTGCGCGGGCAGCTGACGCAGCTGACGGAGGAGGCGAGTCGGCGGAAGGAGCGCGTGGCGAGCGCGCTGACGCGGTGGATCCGCGACTTCGCGTTCTGCTCCTCGCGGGAAAAACTGCTTCGCGTGGCGCGGATGGACGTCACCGTCGGACACATCGCCTTGCAGCAGATCGGTCATCGCGTCGTGGAAACGTGGAACGACGGAGTGGTCGGCGAAACGCCCGGGCTGGCATGTAGAGGATGAAGGAGCTGCGGAAACGCATCGCCGAACTCAACGAAACCCGCGAGAAAGCCGAGGCCGAGCGTCGGAGTCTTCGGCGAGTTTCCCCGTTTCCCCGTTTCGATGTAGAGGTCGCAGCGAGGAGAGAAAGAGAGCGCGATGCCGCCTCCGACGCAAGCGATGGGCGATGCGGAGGAGGGGGAATCCCACGATTTTGACCAGCTGGCGAAGCTGGAGCGGACGAAAAGCTGCGTAAACGCGGTGAAGAAGCGGCAGGTGAGTATATGTGTGGAGGCGAGTGAGGCGCAGTGGGAGTTTCAGGAGGAGCTGAGCCGGCTGGAGGTGGAGAAGGAGGCGCACATCCGGGAGGTGCGGAGGCTGCGGGACGAGCAGAGCAGCCAGTACTGCGAGCGGCAGCTGCTGAAGAACCGGTACCAGATCGTGGAACTGCTGGGGAAAGGAGGGTTCAGCGAGGTGTGGCACGCGTTCGATTTGGAGGCGCTGACGGACGTGGCGATCAAGATCCATCAGCTGTCGGCGGCGTGGAGCGATGAGCGAAAGAGCAATTATATCAAGCATGCGATCAGGGAGAACGACATCCAGAAGGTAGGCGAAGCAGGGAGTGGATTGGAATGGAATGGAATGGAATGGAATGGATATGGAATGAAATGGATTTGGAATGGTGGATGGGTGGAATGAATCATCGAATGAATTAATTGAATGAATGAATTGAATGAATGAATTGAATGAATGAATTGAATGAATGAATGAAATAAGTGAATTGAATGAATTGAATGAATTGAATGAATTGAATGAATTGAATGAATGAATTGAATGAATTGAATGAATTGATGGATAGATGAATTCAATTGAATGAATTTTGATCGGGTTTTGATTGAATCGAACTGAATGAATGGATTGCATCCGTGAATTGAATCCTTGTATCCATTGAACAAATCAGCAATTGAATGAATGAATGAATGAACTGAAATTGTGAATATTTGCTTTTCGTTTTTTGTTTCATTGAAGCATGAGCCTCTATCCACTTATCCATCCATTGCGTTCTCTTGTTAGATGCTCATCGCATTTTTTTGTCTTCATCTTTTCATCTTCTCACCGCATCTAGCGAATCTGCCACGAGAACGTGGTTCGGCAGCTCGACAGTTTTGTCATCAACAGCGATTCCTTCGCCACCGTTCTCGAATATTGTCCCGGAACCGACCTGGAACAATATCTCAAGCAGAACGGCACGCTCAAAGAAGCCGAGGCGCGCGGGATCGTGATCCAAATGCTGTCCGCGCTGAAGTACATGAGCTCGAGCCACACGCGGATCATTCATTACGATCTGAAACCCGCGAATATTTTGTTTGATAGCGAGGGAAAAGTGAAGATCACCGACTTCGGACTCAGCAAGGAAATGGACCCCACCGGGGACAGCAAGATGGCGCTCACCAGCCAGGGCGCGGGAACGTACTGGTAAGAAGAAAAGAATTGAAAAGAATTGAAAAGAATTGAAATTGGAAGGAAAAGAAAAGTGAAAAATAGGGGGGATTTTTGGAATGGGGGGTTGGGTGTGTAGCCTCGAGTTGCTCTTGCTAAATCATTTGGTTTTGTTATTATTATTATTTCTTTTGATTGGCTATGCACTCGTGCGCACAACCCATCCATTCATCTTCATCCCCATGTCGTTTGTTTGTTTGTTTGTTTTCCTTTCGTTTTACACAAACTTTGAGCATCCACTCATCTTTTCGTGTAGGTATCTCCCTCCGGAGTGCTTCCAAACCAACTCCTCCAATCCTCCATTGATTTCGCAGAAAGTCGATGTCTGGAGCGTTGGAGTCATTCTCTACCAAATGGTTTACGGAAAAAAACCATTTGGAGAGGACATGTCGCAGGAGACGCTACTACGCGAGAATGTGATTCTAAATATTGTAAACATCGAATTCCCAGCAAAGCCAGCCGTTTCGGCGGAGTGCCGAGATTTCATAGTGTGTTGCCTTCAAAAGGATGTACAGAAGCGATGGGGAGTTGCTGAGCTGTGTGAACATCCTTTCATAACTCAAACAAAGCAAAGATGATTTGTTTGTTCATATACGGATTCCCGTGGTTTTAGCTTTTATAGGCTAAAAAATGTGTCATACTCCCTTGTATTTTGTTGTTTTAGTGTTCTCTTTATGGTACTGTAAGTTATCATGCTATCGAAAGAGCGCATTCACAATTCCTCGTTCTCTAATAATACATGCCCAGGGAGATCATTATTACAACCAATCCATTGCACTGTATTCGAAATGGGGAAGAAAATATATGAAATATACTTGTGGGGATAGCAAGCCAAAGATGAAGCCAAAGTATCGTATATACTTTACTAACGGCTAAAATGTAGTTGATATCCCAATGCGAGTGGAATCTGTTCAATTTATAATCGTGGGAACTACGGATGTATATACATATTGCTATTGGTTACTCATTCATAGATTTTAAATAATAAGGAGCGTAACACAATTGAATCGTTTAGAATTCTTAAGCAAACAGGAAACACGATTTCCGTTGTCTTTACCAATAATGAAACGATCGCGGATTTTTGTAAAGAGAGAGGAGTTCTTGTTCGTCCCATTCAGTCCAGGAATATATACGGTCTTCCGGTTCTTCGGGATATTTTCCTCGCGGTCCAGAAAGAATTCCCTCATCGTCACCTCGTCTATCTTAATTTAGATATTTTGATCAATCCCTCCCTCTTACTCACCGCATCTTATCTGATCTCACAGAGGAAGGACAACAAAGTATTCTTCTAACTGGAAATTCTCTTTAGTTTCTTTTTGTATCTCGCGTAATGAACAGCAACGTTACGGAGAGCCTTACAATGCAATCACTTTATTCATACGAAAGATTTATTAATGATCATGCAAACGGAAAACTTAGACTATATGTTGCAATGGTAATCATTAGATCCCCTCTTTTTCCCATCTAGGACATTTTCATCTTTCCTTGCACATATCACTTTCAGGATGTTGACCCCGTCGTTGTAGGAAGGTGGTTTGTTGATACGGCGCTAATGAAAGATGCACAAAGAAAGAAGTACTATATTTATGATATGACTGGATTAATCTCTCTGCATCAAGGGTTTGATACTTCAAAGAAGATATTTAAGGGGGTGCAGGAGGATTTTGAATATAATAAGATGTTGCTCCAAAAGCGAAATGATGCCGGCATCGTGTATCTTACAGCGAATTATTGGGGTTGCCATTGGAGTGTTTGTTTTAAATGCTATAGTGTGGACGGTGTGAAAGAACGTGGAATGGAGTTGGAGTGGATTGAATGTCTCGCAATGTTTAGAGATTCGAACCATTTGCACAGATCGATGAGAGTAGATGGTTGTTGTTCGGTGTTTGGTGTATGGAAGTAAACGATGAAGAATAGGGGAAGTAGGAAACAAAGCAGGGCATGTTTGATGTGTGGCTAGTGAATAATATATATAATAAAAGTTTATTCATTTGTCTGGGTCAATTTCACGATGATATCCTTTCTATACACTGCCCGATCATCTATGATTCGTGACTTACCCTGGAATCCAAAGCTTGAAAAGGTTATTTTCATATTTATCCTCTTGCAATTATAAGTACACGCGAATCTACTGTGTGTAACTCTATTCAGTAATTCTTAATTGAAAATAAATAACTTTGAAAATACAGTTTTCATTGTAAGTAATGAGAATAGGAAAAGTGATACTGATAATAAGGGAAAGGACTGCACATCAGTGATGGTTGAAGTCTTTCTATTGTTGTACAACTTTTATTATAAATGAATATCGTTTCATATGATTAAAAAACAATTAATAAATATACAATAGATTGACCAATATCTTGGCTTTTCCAATCTAATGAAATACACTATTTGCACTACCATTACCATCATCATCATTATAGTCTACACATTCATTTGGTTGAGAAATTATCTCTACCACTTATGAGAATGTTTTGCTGCAATCACCTGCTTCCAGGAATATACAATATTGACTCAATAGCACATTCTGGTAATAACCCACCTTTTATATTCTCATGTCTGAACACCACCTAACAAACACTTTTCATCTTAAACCCCATAATCCTGAAAGGGAGTCTACAATAATACAAAAAGTACAACGTAATATCGAAATGCCACTATTGGTTCATTTCTTTAGACATTTTTCGTGTTTGCAGGACCACAGGCATGGGAATTCCTGGCTTGTGGAAATTCGTCGATTCTGCTACCTCTGTTGTGTCACTTGAAAAGTATCGTGGAAAGAGAATTGCTGTTGATGCTTATGGGTGGTATTAAACTGCATATTTCGAAATCTAATTATTAGGATTCACCGCGGATGTTACTTTTGCGCGTGGGAATTAGGAATGGGAATTTCAACTACGAAGTAGGTCATTTTTCTTGTTGTTTTTTGTAGATATGTATTTTTCATAGAGAAGATGATCAAATTACTAAGAAGGTTTTCCATTCAACCGATTTTTGTTTTCGACGGTGCAAAGTTCCCTGCAAAACGCCACACGGATGAACAGAGAGCCCTGTACATGATTCTTTTTGTTTTTTCGAGTGTAGTATACGGCAGACCAAACTAAAAGAAGGAAAAGAGCTTGCCTCTCAGGGCGACATTAAAAAAGCTACTGGCATTTTCACGCAGACAATATCCATTTCAAAAGCGATGATGGAGGAAGTTCTCCATCTCTGCATTCGTCTACAAATTCCGTATATTATTTCCCCATATGAATCGGATGCGGAACTTGCCTTTCTAAGCCGCACTGGAATCGTAGACGCCGTAATGAGTGATGATTCAGATTCTCTTTGTTTTCGTTGTCCCTGCGTTCTTTACAAACTAACTGACACGGGGATATGCAAAGAAGTTTGCTTAGAAAAACTACTCCACTCAGACGAGTTCACTTCCTTTCCATGGACTTGCGACTTGTTCGAGTTTCTTTGCATTCTCAGCGGATGCGATTACTTGGACAATCTCCCTTATATCCGCTTGAAAACCGCGAAAAAATACATTCAGCTTTGTGGATCGGAGGAAAACGTATTCCCCTATGTAGCGAAGCTCCCCGTTCATCAATACTCATCGAACTATCAATCGAATTTGAATCGAACTCGGCTTTCGTTTCGCCATCAAATCGTTTTTGATCCGATAGCGAAGTGTCGGAGGTTTTTAACGCCGTTTGGCGACATGAAAACGAATTTGAGTCCTTCCGAAATGGAGGAGGCGTGCGGAAAACTGGAAGGAAAGTGGGATGCGAAGGATTTGGCGCGCGGATTTGAAAGCGAGGCGTGGGGAGAAGGGATTTTGGATCGGTCGACGGATGTGAGCTATTTGGATGCGTTTTTTGGCGATTTGAAACGAGTGGAAGTGTGGAAAGAGTGCCGAATTGAGATAGAAATGGAGAATAAAGGAGAAAAGGAAAAGGAGAAGGAGAGAAAAACGATGAAAAGAGAAATCGAAATGGAAACAGGAAATGCAGGAATTGATAAGAGGAGGAAAGTGGAAAAGGGAGAATTGAGTTGCGTGTCGGATGAGGATTTGCAGTTTATGGACGACGCGTTTTGGAAGGAAGTGGAGCAAATTGAGCAGAGTGTTTGGGATTGTTTGTTGATGGAACAAACAGAGAAAGAATGTGATTGAGATGGATTACGATTTTGCTTATACAGAGCTTTCAGTTCTTTTTCTTTCGCATTTAAATGTTCGTTTAACTCGTTCTTTAACGCTTCCAATCGCTGCACTTTTCGCTTCAGTTCTTGCACTTCGTCTTCTTTCACTCTCGAAGACTCGCGTAGCTGCACAATCTCCTCTTCCATTTGCTTCGTTCTCTTCGGATCCGCCTCCGAAAGACTTCCTTCCTTCAGTCCTCGCAGCCTGCTCAATTCATTCATCATCGTCTCGCTGTTCTTGCGATAAACGAGAACCTCGTTCTCATATTCGTCGATCTGCTGAAGCAGCTCCTCCACTTCGCCTCCGCTTCGATCCAAATCGACGTACAGCGAAAGTGTCCGCGTTCCTTCCTGCACCGGAATCTCCACGCACACCAAATCTCCTTTGGAGCCGTTCCCTTCATTCGAAGGCTGCGCAGAAGCAGAAGCAGAAGCAGAAGCAGAAGCAGAAGCAGAAGCAGAAGCAGAAGCAGAAGTCGCCTCGCTGCTTTCGTTTCTTTGTTTTGCAGTCTCCAACTCTGCGCTGAGCTGCGTGTTTTGCGTTTTCATCTCCTTGATAACGCGCTGGTACTCCTCGTTCTGCTCCGATCGCTTCGTCAGCACCGTTCGCAACGTCTGAATCGTCTGGTTCTGCTGCGTGAACGTGGAGTTGAGCTGATTAATGAGGTTCTGCTTGTGCGACAAATTCGACTGCAAACGCATCTGCTCCTGTTTGAGCTGCGAAACCGACGTTAAAGCCATCGCCGTCTGCGATCGCTGGTTCTGAAGCTCCGCTTGCAGCTGCGAAATCGTGGACTGCAGCTGAGAAAACAGCCGAGCGTCGTATTGCGAGGATTCCGTCGCCAGAGAAAACGTCTCCGACACTGCGAGCGATAACCGCGATTCGATTTCGCTGCCCAGAGCGTTGGGAGTTTCATCGTCGAGCGTTTGAGATGGGTAGAAACGGTTGATCGATGAAACGTCCTGCGAAACTCGCGGAGAGCCGTTCCAGGAGGAAGTGGCGCTGAAGTGGCTGAGGGACGTGGAAGGACGCGGCAGAACCGCGGGAATTTCTTCGTGTGTGGGTTGGGCGGTTGAAGGAGTGATCGGGTTTTGGGATTCGAAGTCTTTGAGTTTTTGAAGGAGGCTTTGGATTTGGGTTTCATTGGATTCGTTTTGAGTTTCCATTTGGTGGAGTTGGGTCTGCAATTCGTCGATTTGGGTTTGGCTGGACTTGTTTTGAGTCTCCAATTCATTGATTTTGGCTTGAAGATCGGAGATTTGCGTGTCGTTCAATTCGTTTTGCGTTTTCAATTCGCTTATTTTCGCTTGTAACTCTGCGATTTGGCGCTCATTCGATTCTTTCTGCGCCTCCATTTCGTTGATCGTAGCTTGCAAATCGTCCCTCTGCACTTCCAAACTTTCCTTTTCCTTCTTCAATTCGTCGATTTCTCTTCTCAACTCCTCCACTTTTTCCTCATTTGCATCGCTTCCCTTCCCTTCGCCTTCCACAACGCTTTCTCTCAACTGCTCCACTTCTCTATTCAACGACGCAATCAATTCCTCCTGCTTCGACATCTCAGCTCGGAGCTTCGCGTCGTTTATCATCTCGTCCGCTTCCTTCTCCTCCAGCTTCTGAATCTTCTGAAGCAGGCCGATTTTTTCATCCACCACGCTCTTCAGCTGCTCCTCGATCGCTTCTTTCTCTTCGGTGATTGTCTGTATGCGATTCAGTAGGGACTCGACGTTTGATTCGAACTGCGAAAGCTGCTGCTGCTGCGCTGCAATCTGAGTTTGGAGCGCGGAGCTGTCTTTTGAGAACCTCGCTAACTCGTTCGATTGATCGCTCATCTGCGACTGCAGCAAAGCATACGCGTTCTGAAGTTCTTTGGCTTCTTGCAACTGCAACGTGGCAGATGCGTAGAGATTTTGGACCTCTGCGAATTGGGACGAAACCTGGTTTAATTGATCCGATTTGATTGTGAGTTCGCTGTTCAGTTGTTCGACGCTGGCTTTCAATTCTTCGAGTTCGTTCAGTTTGGATTTGTTCGTTTCTAGCTCTGCTTTGAGTGATTTCATCGCTTCCATTTCGGACTGTTTCATCTCCAATTCGGTTTTTAGCGTTTCGAATTCGGCTTTTTGCTTCTCGAATTCCACTTTCAATGCACGAATCTCCGCGTCTTTCTTCGTTTTCATGGATGAAACGGCCGCGTTCGATTCGTTTCTCACTTGCATCATCTCCGCCTCCTTCCGTTTCAGTTCTTCTTCCAGCTGCGATACTTTTTCTTGCATTGTACCCAGCTCGTTTTCCTTCGCAAGCAACTCCTGCTTGCATTGATTGAGTTCTTCGGCGTCCTTTTCGCATTCTGCGATTTTACTTCGAAGAATTTCCACGCGTTCCTCCATCGAATCATCGTCCTGCAGCTTATCGAATTCGCTATTCAGTCGCTCAATCTCCTTCTGCAGCTCTTGAATCGTCGTCTCTTTCTCTTCTAGTAGGACGGTTAAACCGACCAATGAATTCACGTCCATCGCCATCGGATCGATCATTTCGTTGTCCGATGATTCAGCAGCGATGACTCGGGGCATCGGTGGGTCGTTAAACTCCATAGACTGTGACAGCATTAAATCCTCCAGCGTTTCGCAGTGTTCTTTCAGTTCGCTGATTTTGTCTTCGAGATGAGATTCGGTTTCGGAGGAAAGCTTGGCACTGTTTTGATAATCGAAAAGCTGCTGCTGAAGATTTCGGATTTCAGCTCTCGATTCATCCGCGTTTTGCTCCTGTTCCTTAATGACAGCGATTAGATGCTCGGAGTTTGTCTGAAGTGCTTCGATGACTTGTTTGCTGTGGTCCATTTGTTGATTCCATGATTCGATCTCCTGTTCTTTGGTTTCAATTTGTGCTTGTAATTCGTTTATGATTTTTTCTTTCTCCACGATTGTTTTCTCCAATTGCTTCTTCTCCTCGATTTCTTGCAGCAATTTCTGGCACTGCTCGTTCATTGCTTCCTTTTCCTTCTCCAGCGCTTTCATCTTTTCTTCAGTCTCTGTCACCAGCTCGCGGCTCTTCTCCGCTTCTTTGATCCTCTCTTCCAATCTTTCAGTAAGTGTCTCTGCGAGCGCATTTCGCTCACTCAGTTCGTCATTCAGTTCCTTTATCTGCTTTTCATAGTTCGATTTCATTTCATTATTCTGCAATGACTGGGCCTTTAGCTCTTCTTCTTTTTGCTGTTTTTGCAGAATAAAATTGTTTAACTCTTGACGTTGAGTTAAAACGTTCTTGCGAATCTCGATCTCCTCTTGGCGAAGAGCAAGGAGAGAATTCTGCTGGCTTTGAAGTTCATGCTGAAGATCTCGAACATTATTTTCCAACTGTTGTTTTTGTGCCTCATAAGTTCTGATTTCCTGTTTGGTACTTTCTAAGGCAGAGTTTTCTTCAATTTGGTGGGTGATCTGAATATTCTTGAGTGACTCTAACTCTCTACTTTTTGATTCTAATTCAGTCTTTGATTGAGCCAATTCTTTCTTTAGTGATTCGAATTCACTCTTCTTCGATTCTAGTTCAGTCTTTGATTGAGTCAATTCATTTCTCAGTGACTCGAATTCACTCTTCTTCGATTCTAATTCAGTCTTTGATTGAGTCAATTCATTCCTCAGTGATTCAATCTCACTATTTCGATCATTCAATTCACCAAGTCTCAGAGATTCCAATTCAGTCTTTGATTGAGTCAATTCATTTCTCAGTGACTCAAATTCACTCTTCTTCGATTCTAGTTCAGTCTTTGATTGAGTCAATTCTTTCTTCAATGACTCGAATTCTCCATTCTTCGATTCTAATTCAGTCTTTGATTGAGCCAACTCATTTCTCAGTGATTCAATCTCACTATTTCGATCATTCAATTCACCAAGTCTCAGAGATTCCAATTCAGTCTTTGATTGAGCCAATTCTTTCTTCAAGGACTCGAATTCTTCTTTCTTCGATTCCAATTCAGTCTTTGATTGAGTCAATTCTTTCTTCAATGACTCAAATTCACTCTTCTTCGATTCTAATTCAGTCTTTGATTGAGCCAACTCATTTCTCAGTGATTCAATCTCACTATTTCGATCATTCAATTCACCAAGTCTCAGAGATTCTAATTCAGTCTTTGATTGAGTCAATTCTTTCTTTAGTGATTCAAATTCTTCATTCTTCGATCCCAATTCAGTCTTTGATTGAGTCAATTCATTTCTCAGTGACTCAAATTCACTCTTCTTCGATTCTAATTCAGTCTTTGATTGAGCCAATTCTTTCTTCAATGACTCAAATTCTTCTTTCTTCGATTCCAATTCAGTCTTTGATTGAGTCAATTCTTTCTTCAATGATTCGAATTCACTCTTCTTCGATTCTAATTCAGTCTTTGATTGAGCCAACTCATTTCTCAATGATTCAATTTCACTATTTCGATCATTCAATTCACCAAGTCTCAGAGATTCCAATTCAGTCTTTGATTGAGCCAATTCTTTTCTCAATGACTCAAATTCTTCTTTCTTCGATTCCAATTCAGTCTTTGATTGAGTCAATTCTTTCTTCAATGATTCGAATTCACTCTTCTTCGATTCTAATTCAGTCTTTGATTGAGCCAACTCATTTCTCAATGATTCAATTTCACTATTTCGATCATTCAATTCACCAAGTCTCAGAGATTCCAATTCAGTCTTTGATTGAGCCAATTCTTTTCTCAATGACTCAAATTCTTCTTTCTTCGATTCCAATTCAGTCTTTGATTGAGTCAATTCATTTCTCAGTGACTCAAATTCACTCTTCTTCGATTCTAATTCAGTCTTTGATTGAGCCAATTCTTTCTTCAATGACTCAAATTCTTCTTTCTTCGATTCCAATTCAGTCTTTGATTGAGTCAATTCTTTCTTCAATGATTCGAATTCTCCATTCTTCGATTCTAATTCAGTCTTTGATTGAGCCAACTCATTTCTCAGTGATTCAATCTCACTATTTCGATCATTCAATTCACCAAGTCTCAGAGATTCCAATTCAGTCTTTGATTGAGCCAACTCATTTCTCAGTGATTCAAATTCTCCATTCTTCGATTCTAATTCAGTCTTTGATTGAGTCAATTCATTCCTCAGTGACTCGAATTCTCCATTCTTCGATTCTAGTTCAGTCTTTGATTGAGCCAACTCATTTCTCAATGATTCAATTTCACTATTTCGATCATTCAATTCACCAAGTCTCAGAGATTCTAATTCAGTCTTTGATTGAGTCAATTCTTTCTTCAATGACTCGAATTCTTCATTCTTCGATTCTAATTCAGTCTTTGATTGAGTCAATTCATTTCTCAGTGACTCGAATTCACTCTTCTTCGATTCTAAATCGGATTTTGATTGAGCCAATTCTTTCTTCAATGACTCAAATTCTCCATTCTTCGATTCTAATTCAGTCTTTGATTGAGTCAATTCTTTCTTCAATGACTCAAATTCACTCTTCTTCGATTCTAGTTCAGTCTTTGATTGAGCCAACTCATTTCTCAGTGACTCGAATTCTTCTTTCTTCGATTCCAATTCAGACTTAACAATTGCCATCTCATTCCCCCAGGATTCCAATTCTCTACTTTTCGATTCCAATCCAGCCTTAGCATCTTCTAAACTCTTTCCCAATGATTCGTTTTCTGCCATTAAGCTTTTCACCTTCTCTTCTATTTCCTCATTACTTCTTATCGTATCGTCCCTCTCCTTTTCGATCCTTCTCAATTCTTCATCCTTTTCATTCAAACCTGATTCAAGCCCCTGAACTTGTACTGACAATTCGGATAACTGCTTTTCCTGCTCCGTTATCACTACAATTTATGCACAACACATTTACACACATTCCAGTTTACTACTTAGTACATCCTTTAATTCCTTCAATTCTTGACACTTTAATTGGTACAGCTCGTCATTTGACAACTTTTCTTGAAGAATTTTGCCATATTCCAATTTGTAGTAATTCTTTGGGTCGTCCATTCCATCTTCCAACTTTTGAACTTCCTCCTCTAACTCTTGGATTCTCGTTTCACATTCTCTCTTTTCCTCCATCGAGCTTATTACCTCTTCGTTCAAGCGCAAGATTTGCTCGACCTGACATTCCACATTTCGTTTTTCACTTTCTAAAGACATTTGCAATTCAGATCGTTCTTTCTCCGCTGACTCTTTTAGTGAAATTTCCTCCTTCAGCTTGGTAGTTAGATTTTGTAATTCGTACTCCAGACTTCTTACCTTTTCATTTAATTCGACAATTCGCTTGGACATACTCTCACGAACTTCGTTCCAGACTTCTCGCTCCTGTTCTATCTCGTTAGGAACAATGACTTCCGATTCTATTCAAAGATGTTAGATATCGATACAACCTCACAAAAATCAACAAACAAAAAATACCTTCTATATTTTGATCCTCAGGAGTCTCATATTGATATTCCACATGAGAATCTGACGAGTCTGAACTAGAATCGTCAGCTTCCATTGCAGAACGTAAAAATGATAACCCCCTGCCAAACATTTATTGATTTATAAAACGAACAAGGATGATGTTTGGTAAGAAGAAACAATTATAAACTTAAAATGTAAGATAGCTCTTTTTGGAGACAGATGGATAAAAATCGTTCTTTTCCTCAGGAGAACTGTCAACTTTCGGTGCTACTGACGTTTTCCAGCATGATTGGCCTCCCTTAAATACGATTCAAAATTATAAATTATACATCATCCTGATATGATGGCTGCTCCGGAGCATCCTTCAGAGATGGGCTGAACCAAGAGTTCTCCAGACTATATGGAAACAACCTTTTGCGGTGTTTCTTTTCTATATCTAAAGCAATTTTCATATAATGACGGCAGCAGTTCGATTTCGATAGTAGGTACAATAAGTTGAGTAACTTTATATCTGGTGATGATTTCACTTGAATGATCCTACTATTTTCTCGTCTCTCCGCAGTTTTCAGAACATCTCCATATAAACGACAAACTTTGGAAAGTACTTTTGGAGAATCTACATCATTCTCAATAATAATAACATCTTTAATATGATACAACAGCTCTTTTTCATCGAAAGGAGTATACGGTAAAACCTAAAGCGATAAATAGATCACTGTACAAAATATACATCTTCTCGGACATGAAGAATGTGCTTATATGCGATAATGGGTAGTCTTACTTGCTTCCCCATCAATGCGGATTCCAGCTCTTTACAAAGCTCGAAAATGCTTTGTGAAGATGATTCCATTAAGGATTGAGCCAATGTACAAAACAATGGACCTTGAAATGGTGATGTGTGTACGTCTTTTATGAAATGCAGAATGCTAAGTGTTATTTTTCAACATAGAATTAAAGTTGATTCTTCTTACATAAGATGATGTTGATTCGTACTTAGATGGTATTGCTGTGGTAATAATAATAATAATAATAATAATAATAATGAATATTACTATTGTAAGGGTAATTAGAATTAATCATTATATTCTCATAATAGACGTGAATCTATTTGTTTAGAGCTGAAGCGAACATTGGAAGGTTTCAACACGAAGTCGTAAGTATAGTAAAGTGACAATATCGTGTCTTTATCGACGTGGTACTCTCTCTCTCCCCCTCTATATATACAGGTTTAATATCAATTCTGTCTTTCCCTTGCTCCATTCACATTTCCATACGACGAAAACCACGAAGAATTCACTTACTATCGTTTCCACATAAGAATGAAGAGGTTTTATTGCTCCTTTGGAATTCTAAAGTGAATTCATCGATTTTCTCCCCAAGAGATTGAACTTACCCTTATGAAACATAAAGCGAAAATTCACTTTACTTACAAATGCAAATTATTAGCAAGAAACAGTACTTCACACATTCATCTTAAACACCTCAGTAAACTACATATTCTTTCACATTACTAGTACATCTCCCTACTCTTCCATGCGCTGTAACAAGGATAGCTAAAATTGAATAGGCTCAACACGTTATGATTCTTCATATTATTATTATTGTCATTTATGTCGGACGATATTGATGAGATTGAGGCTCTGTTAAAACCATCCAAAAAAAAGCAGCAAGTCTTGGTGTTAGCTCTCGGCATCTCGTGTGTTCTTTGTATGCTATTGAGTTACTTTCTGTTTCAAAATATGGAGCATCTCTATGTAGCGATTTCAATACTATTACGCTTATCTATAGAATATTGGACAAAATCACATTGCTTGGACACTCGGTAGAAATCGTGATTGATACTGAGATGTAGGGTTGCTAAGAATTATAATTTTGTTGCGCTTTGCTGTGTCGTTGCTATCCTTGACTGGAAAGCAGTCCCACAGTTTGTTTTTTTGGAATATCTACTCGTCTATTATTGTTATCTCATTCTTTTTGTCAGGAATGTTAAATGTGTTCATCGTTTGTATAGCTGAAGATCTGTCCATTCGCGTGTTTTCTGTGTTGATGGCTACGGCCGAAGTCATCCTGAATATGATCTCTATTTTGATTACAATGATTTTTGCCTATCAGACGATCCTTGCTTCAAAGAGAAATCAGTCGTTGAGCATTAACGACCCTCAGAAGGAGATTTTGGACTTTGTATTCAGAGGGTATTGGTGAACGGAAGGGAGTGATGAATAGAATGATAAATAGTATCCCACTTCTAGGTATGTGGAACAGGAAGTTCATTGCAGAGGATAAGATGGAATAATCTATAAAATAGTAATTGTTTGTTAATAGCCACTATTTGTGGAATTCTCAGTATTTTTTCTTTTTGGCTCTAAATCGATTCGCACATGAGTACTCCTGGAGGAAGCCCCATTTTGAGTAACGCGGATTTAGCTGTTTTACAGGCTAGTGTTACAAAGGATGTGTTTGAACGGTTTTGAGTTCTACATGAATATTAGTACTAGGATTTTTGATACTTGCCAGAAGAAATGTATCGCGAACTACAAAACAAACTCTTTAGAAATTGGAGAACAAGTCTGTGTTGAACGGTGCACCAAGAAGTGGTTCGAAGTTTACAACTATATTGTCACGATAGCAGAGGAGGCTACCACAAAGTGATTCGTACATCCATTTAGTAAATATCTGCTTGTTATTTTCCTTGTTTGTTTTTTCTTAAAGTCTATTTTCTGCTACAGCAATTGTGATATTTCAAATCGCACTCTTTTCTATAAGGCCATTGGTAGTTTTTTGTAACAGACGTAGATGGTTCTGTCACAACTAGGGCTTCAGAAAGGAATATGTCGCATGTGGCAAAAGGGAGATTAACAAAAACTCGAGAGTCGAATTATCCGATAAGTCCAAGCTACAAGGCTTCGTCGAACCCGTCATCTTATCATAGGCGAGTAGCGTTTTCTGAAGAAGTTGGTAATGTCTTTTGATATCATGCAGATTCACAAGCAAAATCAAAATTCTAAGAGGTATACGAGTCGGTGGAATGCAGAAATTACACAACTCTCTGCGGGTGGTCCCTGGAGCGAAGAGGAGCTCAAACTGCCTCGTTACATGCGCTCTACTGCTAGTTCTCGTCAACGACTTAAAGAAAATATGTTGTCGAATGGAGCAAAGAACTCTTCGCACCGAGTTTCCCACCGAAGAACTGTTCCTGTGCTTCATTCTGAACGAGAAGCGTTTCATAAGCATAAAAAGGATTCAGTGTATCCGTATCGTGAGTATAATCAAAGCTATTTTCCGGTGATTAACGATAGCACTGATTATCAAGCCTCCAATGAAACGATTGTTGAAGAACAAATGGTACAATCTGAATCCCTCTGTGTTGCAATAAAAAGACGATTAACTAGTTGAATATAGGGTTTCAATACTCTTCTCCCTTTGTTTTCAAACACTTTCGTTGGTTTCTTGTCACTTACGAAGGAGAGTATGCTCTGTAGCAATGGCTATTGATTATGCAAAAGAGAAGCATCCTTTCCCTCGTAATTGATTATCGCGGTGGGGATAAATGAAAAACTCAATCCCAGAGAAGTATTGTGTTTTCATCTAGGGTGAACTGTATTGTTTGTCTAGAGTTTGAAGCATATGAAGTGATTTTCTAACGAATGGAATTGAGTGGAATTGGATGAAATTGGATGAAATTGAATAGAATTGAATAGAAATGAATAGAATTGAATAGAAATGAACACCACTTTGACTGTTTTCTGTTTTTCTTGAACATAGTGCCATGTGAATGAATGAGAGAACTGGGAAAACATTGTTTTCAACATGTTTCAAACTTCATAGACTATACATTTACATGATTGAAACAATCAAACATGACTTGCTTTTGGATCAACGAAATAGTAACAAAAAGACCACTTGATTCTACCAACCAGTCGTTTAATAGCAATATAGTATGAAATAAGATGTACACAAGTATTGGGAATAGTCTTAGTACAGACGGATGACTTCGATGGATTAACTCATGTTTGGAACCCAATTCTCAAACTGCACTTTGCAACGAATTCACTCATTTTTCTTCGTAAAAACGTATTTAAATATAGAAAAAATGCGACTTTACACCTTCAATCACAAACGCAGCAAGAATCCTCTCGAATTCCAATTCCTTATTTTCTCAAACACAAAAAACGAATTAAGCCCCTCAAAGAATGTATTTCACGTCGCCTCCATGCTTGCGGAATTCCATTTTCTCCCTCTTTTCAACGGCATTTAGTGCACGAAGTCTGCGTCCCACAGTGGCGATTTCTCGCTCGTTTGCAGCATCCTTCATCCACACTTCTACACGGTATCCTTTTGACTTCTTCAAGAAGGAAACTCCACACACGGAAGAACCAGTCGGATCGAGAGTCTCTCCGATGACGGAGAGCAGCTAAATATCATTCACTGGATCTGGTCATTACAATTGACTGCCATCTCTCCTCAAGATAATGATCATTTATGTGAAGGCCAAGACGCTAGAGATGACACAAAATATGCCGCTCGCTACCCAGCTCCCACCGTCCTTATTAGCCTCATCTTCCCAGGAAGGCTTAATTCCGGTCTATGCGGTAAATACCTTTCAAGCCATCTACCTTAAAATAGTGATAGTTTCCATTCTCAGGCAAGTCATTCACAGGTCGGAGACGGCCATAAATTCCCCAGAACTCCTCGATTGTACTAAAAGTAGCCACCTGCTGCTGATTGCCACCCCATTCGGCTTCTGTGCTGTACGTCATGCAACGCCAACAAGAGCATACTTGCTACTACTCGAACGGTCCTCATACCAAACATCCCAAGAACTATTCAGCTGATTCTATAGGCTGATGGCCCAAAAAGAGTACACTACATTCTGTGCTTCCATTCCTGAATTCTGACCACTTTCTGATTACCAATCGTCCACGACTCATCCCGCGGTTATTTCAACAAACACGCAAAATCAAAATTGCATTAAACGATTAATACACACGCGCCTTGGGCGGAATGGGCTTCACTTCGTTCTCGTCCAGCGTGTTCATATGCACGGGACGGTACATCAGCTTGGTGGTTCCCGTTCCAAACAGAGCGTCGTCGTGGTAGGCCACGGTGTGCTTCAACCAGTTCACGTCATCGCGCTCCTTGTAGTCCTCGCGCGCGTGGGCTCCACGCGACTCCTTGCGCGCCTCGGCAGCGATCATGGTGCAGTGTGCCTGCTCGAGGAGATTCTGGAGCTCGAGCGTCTCGATGAGATCGGTGTTCCAGATCATGGAGCGATCGGTGATGCCCACGTCGCGGATCTCCTTCACCACCTCGTTCATGCGCTTGCATCCCTCCTGCAGCGTCTCCTCCGTGCGGAACACCGCCGCGTAGTCCTGCATGGTGCGCTGCATGCGCAGTCGCAGCTGCGCGGTGGGGATGGCGCCCTTCGCGTAGCGCAGGCGGTCCAGGTTCTCCAGACAGGCCTTGCCGGCGTCCGCGGGCAGCGGGGTCTTCGCCTCGCCGGGCTTGCTGATCTCGTTGATGTAGTTCGCGCAGGCGCGGCCGAACACCACGATGTCCAGCAGGGAGTTCGCGCCCAGGCGGTTGGCGCCGTGCACCGACGTGCAGGCCGCCTCGCCGGCGCACCAGAGTCCGGGCACCACCTTCTCCGTGTCCTGCTCCGTGGGCTTCAGCACCTGGCCGTGGTAGTTCGTGGGCAGTCCGCCCATGTTGTAGTGCACCGTGGGCAGCACCGGCACCGGCTCCTTCGTCACGTCCACGCCCGCGAAGATCATGGCCGTCTCGGAAATGCCCGGCAGGCGCTCCGCCAGCAGGTCGGCGGGCAGGTGGTCCAGGTGCAGGTAGATGTGGTCCTTCAGCTTGCCCACGCCGCGGCCCTCGCGGATCTCCATCGTCATCGCGCGCGACACCACGTCGCGGCACGCCAGGTCCTTCGCCGTCGGCGCGTACCGCTCCATGAAGCGCTCGCCCTCGCTGTTGCGCAGCACGCCGCCCTCGCCGCGGCAGCCCTCCGTCATCAGGCAGCCCACGCCGTAGATGCCCGTCGGGTGGAACTGCACGAACTCGGGGTCCTCCAGCGGAATGCCCGCGCGCAGCGCCATCGCCGTGCCGTCTCCCGTGCACGTGTGCGCAGACGTCGCAGAGAAGTAGCAGCGACCGTAGCCGCCGGTGGTGATGATGGTCTGCTTGCAGTGGAAGCGATGGATCGACCCGTCCTCCAGGCACAGCGCCATCACGCCCACGCACTCGTCGCCGTTCATGATCAGATCCAGCGCGTGGTACTCGATGAAGTACGACGTGTTGTACGCCAGCGACCGCCCGTACAGCGTGTGCAGCATCGCGTGGCCCGTTCGGTCCGCAGCCGCAGCCGTGCGGTACGCCTGGCCGCCCTCGCCGTAGTTCTTCGTCTGACCACCGAACGCACGCTGGTAGATCTTGCCGTTCTCGCAACGGCTGAACGGAAGACCGTACGCCTCCAGCTCGCGCACAGCGCGCGGAGCCTCGCGGCACATGTAGTGAATCGCGTCCTGGTCACCCAGCCAGTCCGAACCCTTCACCGTGTCGTAGAAGTGCCAACGCCAGTCGTCCTCGTGCTGCACCTTCAGAATCAACGCACGAACCTCCTACCATGTTGCCGAGAGCAGCGTTCACGCCTCCCTGGGCAGCGACGGTGTGAGAACGCGTGGGGAACAGTTTGGTAATCACGGCGGTCTTGAATCCCTGTGCGTCAGCAAAATCACAGAAAAGCCAATACGTATTCAGAAAGACCCATAGCGGCACGCAGACCCGCACCTCCAGCACCGACAACCACGCAGTCGTACTCGTGGTCCACTACAAGCTAACTTGGCTACCCACAGTGCAAACCAATAGGATAAGCAGTGCCCAGATCCTTCGTGACCTTAGCATCTGCAGTATTACCAACTACAGCGGAACGGCAGGCAGTAGCTCGGAATGCTCTTGTCAGAGCCGGAGCAGTCTTTCCCATAATTCTGAAACTGGGCAGCATTTCTACAAGACTAAGCTATTCCACACAGGGATACTACTCTATATATCGAGTTTCTAAATAGAGAATAGACGAGCACACCGGAATCTGAATCAATACGGAATCAAGCCATTGGTAGGATTCCAGGTTCCGCCGTGAGCAGAAACCAATTCGTCCCGATTTTTGGATTCTCTGATTGAATGGAAATCTCCAGTGCCAAGTATTGTGTGACATTGAATAGGTAAGAATTGATGCCTGTGCGTTTTTGCAGGAGAATGAGGAGGAGAGCTTTGTATTTTTCGAATGTGGGACAAATCTAACTGCGCGTGTAGAAATGTTCGAAAAGGAAGTGGTTATTGATTGCAAGGGACACATCATGGGCCGTCTTGCTTCTGTCGTGGCCAAGGAGCTTCTCTCTGGTCAGAAGGTTGTGTGCGTCCGCTGCGAGGACATTAACATCACCGGAGGAAGTAGGGCGTGCTGGAGAGTGCTTACTGAATAGTGATGCGTAACCGTGTGCGCCGTGAGGCCTATCTTCGTAAGAAGATGAACACCAACCCTGCTCGTGGTGGCTATCATCAGAGCGCTCCTTCTGAGATCTTCAAGCGTGCTGTGCGCGGAATGATTCCCCACAAGACCCCTCGTGGAGGCAACGCGATGAGCAATCTGAAGTGCTTCGACGGAGTGCCTGCTCCCTACGACAAGAAGAAGCGCGTGGTTGTGCCCGCTGCTTACCGTGTGTCTCACCTGAGGTAGGTGGCGAGGACATTGGAGTGAGGAAATAGACCCGATCGTGCCTACATCACTGCTGGACACCTCGCCAGCCAGTTCGGATGGAGATACGGACATCTCATTCAGCGTCTGGAGGCCAAGAGACTCGCGAAGTCGAAGGAGTATTTCGAGAAGAAGAACTCTGAGAAGAAGGAGGCTTCCGCGTAAGCTTGGTTCAAACATGTCACACTTTGCGATGGGTTGTTTGTTGGATTGAAATAAAGTGGGGTGGAAAGGAGTGAAGGGAAGGGAAGGGAAGGGAAGTGAGAGCGATAGTGGTGTTGATCATCATAGTAATATATAGAAAGATTGATGATGATGTGTATGTGGTAGAATAGGCAGGAAATCATCGGCAAAATGTAAAAATCACACAACTACTCATTGATTCCATACTATTCCTGTGTGAATTACGAGGAAATGAAGTGATTTCACCTCCTAATCACCCATTCCATTCAAAAACGGTGATTCCACCCACTCATTTGTTCCTCAAACACACAAAGGTGGAAAGTGAAAGTGAATATCCGGCGGCAGATCGCAGTTCGCCCCCTGCGACGCGGGTGTAATCGGCAGAAGACTAATCACGCTTTCGTTCTGCTTGAAGAAAGCATGCAGCTTCTGCAGCTGCACACTTGTAAGCGTATTGGTGAAGAAATCGTTGATACTCGCCACATTCGGATTCATCAGAATATCCGGCTATCCTTCACCTCTCCTTCTTCTTCTCTACATTGCTAGAAAGCATCGCGATGCACCATCTCGTGATTTGAAGCCTCCGTCGCAGCCGCTCCAGCGCACCGATCAGCGACGCCGCTTTGGCCTTCTGTTCCTCCGTCAGATTGAGTTTCTCCCGCAGCTTGACGCGCTGCAATTCGTTCGAAGGGCTCGAATCGTCCGCAAGCATCTACCAATCAGCAGACCTCGAAGCTCCGACCGTCCAGAGCACGAGAGAGAGCATCAAATAGCAATCGCGCTGCCGCTGATAGAGCCGCTCCCAGACCTCCAGCAAAAACTTGAAGTCCTTCTTGCGCTCATCGAACGAGAAAATGAGGCCTCCGTTGCAGTCGAACGACTCGAACAGGCCTTCCCGGTTCTCGCTGATGCCCGCGTTCTACGTTTCCACTCCTCCCCAAGCCCAACGCGCAGCCCGTTGATCCGAGTCTTGATGAAATCGATCTTCATCTCGGTGATTTCGATCGACGCCTTCTTCCGCATGCGGCGAAGCCGCGCCGCCGCGCGATCTCGCGTGAGTCTGCACGTTTACCTCGCTCCGCCACTCCGCACTTGAGTTCCTTGGTCTCTTCCGGGAGAAACGGAGCGAGAATCGCCGATTTGGCGTCGCCTTCGGCCTCGGTCTCCTCGGGTTTGCGCTGGAAATCCACGATGGAGTCCTTCCCGGGCGCTAAAGGGAACTGGGCGGGGAGCGAGTAGCTCGGCTGGGAGCTGAGAGGCAGGAGGAAGGAGGGCTGCGTGGAGTCGGAGGGCTTGCCGTCCTTCGGCTTGAGCTGGGAGCGTTGGAAAGGGAACTTGACGGGCTGCATCACGCCCGGCTGCTTGACGTTGAAGGAAGGGTTGAATTGGGAGAAGGCGTTTTGGGGGAAGTAGGGAGAGAGAATGGGCTGGTGGTTGAAGGAGTTGTCGTAGAGAGGGGTGGAGTAGAGGGGATGGAGGGATTGGGAAGAGGAGAGGGATCTAAAGAGATGAATAGTGGTATGAAAGGAAAGGACAGGCGCTGGGAGGTGTTGAGGGAATCGGATTGGGGGAGAACTGGAATGAGGGGAGTAGAGTAGGGAATGTTTTGACGGTCTATGGATCGAAAGGGAGGAGAAAACGAACAATAGAAGTTGTTGGGATCTTGTGTAGGTAAGAGCGATTGCTAGAACTCAGAAATCAAGGGGAAGGATACAGAAGATCTGGAGTTATTTGGTTTTATTGTATCGAATGACACATACGGGTTTAAAAGATCAGCGGAATCGGGAGGCCTCGAATTTTGATTGTTTTCTTCCAATAATCGAAATAACTCGGATCTACCTGATGAATCACTGTTTTGAAATGACCGAGAGTTTGGGGTCCTACACTCTCTACTCCTAAGATAGAGACTACGTTTTTTTGCTTGCAACAGAACTATTTGGTACAACTTGAGATCGTTTTAGATCACTTTGTTGATGTTCTTTACTAGATTGATTTCTAAAAGGTATACTTCAATCTCTCATAAGTCCTACGATGCATCCTGCTGATTCCCGCCTTCCAAAAAATACTCCAAGATGTTTTGACTGTTGTTCTCCATTCTGCAATAAAACTGAACATATCCTACCTACCAGATAGAAGTAGTGTATCTGAACGGTTCTTCTCAAATACTTTCAAGACACAAAAAGACTTTGACTAAAATGCCACCATGTTCATTCTTCCTCCCAGATTCCACTTGCACATCAGCCAAGCTCTGATCTCGTTTCTGCAACAAACACCCCAAATCTCTGTCGCTCACTTCTTTCCTCCTCTCGATCGCACCGTTAACTGCAGCTCGCTTCCCGAAATCAAATTATAATATCCCAGCGTGAAATTATCCTTCAAAAACCCGTGCATCGCATGCTTCAGCTGCTGCTTCGACGGCGGCATTCCTCCCTGCATGTCTCCGATCTGCTGCTTCAGCGTCTTCACCGTCGCCTGCACGTCGATTGTCACCGCCACGCTCTGCCCGTTCAGCCGCCACGCAGGATTCGACGCGTCCACCGGCAGCTTCACCGTCAGCGTTAATGGACCTGGATGCGCCGCGATGAACTGTCCCTCGGGAATCAGCCCTACCAATCAACCATTCCCCGCGGGACTACCTCCCATCGCCGGCATGGCGCCCGGCATCGGCATCATGCCCGGCATCATTCCAGGCATCATGCCCGGCAGGCTCGGCATTGCCGAGGGCAGACCCGGCATTGCCGAGGGCATCGGCGGTCGTGGCATCATCGCCGGCATGGCTCCAGGCATGGCTCCAGGCATGGCTCCAGGCATGGGCGGTCTGGGCATTGCCGAAGGCACACTGGGCATTGCCGAGTTCAGCGGAGGTCGCGGCATCGCCGGCATCGCCGGCATCGTCGGCATCGGATTCGTGGAAACCGTGGAAACCGTGGAAACCGCGGGACTGGGTGGCTGCGGACTGGGCTTTGCCGGGTCGGCGCTGGGCGCGTCCATGCCCGGGAAGAGCGGTCGCGGCGCGGGGGCGGCGGGTCCAGCGGCCAGCGCGGGCTGCGCGGCGGCGGCGGCGTCGGCGGTGGTCTGGGACGCGCCGGGCTGGGCGTCGAGCGCCTTGAGGTGCTGGCGCTTGAGCTGCTGGTCGATGGCGGCGTCGTCGAGCGCGCGGACGGCGGCGGGGACGGCGGCGGGCCCCGGACGCTTGAGCGCGAAGTCGGCCTCGCGCTGCGCGCGCATGCGGTGGATGGCCTCGCTCATCTGCTGGCCGTCGACGAGGTTGGTGGAGGCCTCGCGCGCGCGCCGCACGTCCTGCTGCTTCTTCCAGGCGGGGTCCATCTGCTCGATGCGCACGTGCTCGTTGACCTGCTCCGTGGGAACGTACCGCTGCGTACGCGCGTCGAACATCACCTTCGGGCCCGAGCTCGACGCGCCCTTCAGCTGCGGCTCGAAGTGCTCCACCACCTTCAGACCCGACGACGAAACGTCCGCGGGAGCCGCGGGAGCCGCGGGAGCCGCAGGAACCGCGGGGGGCTGCGGAGGGTTCGGGGCGGGCGTTTCGTCGTCGGCTGGCTCCATGTCGACTTCCATCTGTTCGGGCTAGGGTAAAAAGTGGAAACTGGAGGTACGGCGGTGGAGAGCGGGGCGGCGTGTGGCTTGGCGGGAGAATCGTCGTCGAGGGTGATGGTCTGGACCACCACAAAATCGCCCCAGTCGATCTCCTGGGCGGCCAGCGTCTCCTCGGTGGCCTGCTTCTGCTTGCGTTCTTCCTCTTCTTGCTGGCGACGGAACTCCATGCGGTGGACGGATGTGCGCAGCGCTGCTTCGCGATGCTTGTAGATGTTGAGGAGAGGGTCCTTGATGGACGCGTCGAAGTGGATGATTTTTGTGTATTGGTCGATGTAGGCAAGGAAAATACCGTGCAGAATGTGCGTCGGCTTGAGGAAGCCGAATTGCGGATTCAAGCTTTGATAGTTTTGGATTCCGTCTAAAAACTGGAAGATTAGAGAATAAGAAAAGAGACCCACTTTACGGCCATTTATAGCAGTGTATTGCGCTGTTAGACGGAGAATGTCCATCTCGAGCGAATACAACTCCGGAACATTTTGAGTAAATTCATAAGCGGGAGGCTCTTCATTCGGAATATCTTGGTACACTGCGGCGAGAGGATTGGAACGAGCTCTGTGCTGGATCGAAGATACGGCAGTGACTTCCTTCTGCTCCTCGGAAGGTTCCTCTTCCTTTTCTTTCTCCTCTTCAACACGGGTTTTGGGAATCTCGGGTGCTGCAGAGTTAGGGCGCAAAATAACGTTCACTTACTTTTACCCTCTTTATATGCTTTAACGGCCATCTCATAATATGGATGGAAGGGGTGCTCGGAGCCGATGAAAGCAAACTTGACGCGACTTTTATCTTCCGAGTAGATTCGCTTCTCCATCTCCTTTCCCTGCTTTGCAATGAATTCGGCGGTCTTGTCGATGATTGCCCGCATATCGGGAGGAGGAATGATCATTCCATCAACACCACTTATACTTTTCTGCATTGGATGGATGAGTCTCTCACAAACGCTATTCTTTCTATCTATTTCCCCTGGTGTGCCTCAAATCCGCTGCTTCTTTCCTTGCCTTATTTAAATCCAAAAAATTGCAAAATAAACTCAAATGGGCTATTTGGATGATTTTGTACAGTTTTCTCACCAGCTGAGCAACGTACGTTTGATAAGTACTTTCGATCTCTAGTTGTTTGCAGCGACCGTTTTCGTGAAGTCTGAATACCTTGATCAGCTTGTTTCAGCTATTGCAGTGGCCGCGAGTTTACGTGAGGACTACGTAGGAACGGGGCAAAGTGGTCATTTTTAGGTTCGTCTTCTTGCGTCCATCATTATCAGTTTCCCCCTCATTATTCTCCAAAACTTTATTCGCAGTCCCACTGTAAAGAAGATTTACACAATCACTATCGGAGTCTCGCTTTTGCAATTTTGCTTCGGTGTTGGGTTTGCTACCTCTATTCTTTCTCATCTGCAGCTGGATTCACTCCTTTATTTCGGGTCTGGTTGTTTACCTGCTTATGCGCTTCAGCAATCCTCGTAAACAGCCGATTTACGTCTTTGTCTTTTCCCTTTGCTATCTTTCTCTCTCGTACGCCTTTTCTTTTTACCTCATTGATCATCAGCGCTCTCTACACGATGCTAACGGACTACATGAGCTACACCTTAGACAGCACGACCTACCAAATGATGCTCGTCTCTCGTTTCCAGATGCTCGCATGGTCCGTCTTCGATGGCACCGTCGATCGCGTACTTCCTTCTTTCTCCCTTCCATCCAGGCCGTCGTCGACAAAGGTGCCGCGCAAACCGACCGCTGGGGCCGCATCTACAAGCGCCGCCAGGCCGAGTACGTGACCTCGCTGCCCTCCTTGCTGGACTATTTCAGCTTCGTTTACCATTATCCCGGGATTCTCGGCGGTCCCAACACCTACTACCGCGAGTTCATCGACATTATCGAGAACCGGCGCTATCCGTACGGCGCCATCCCCGCGGGGCGATGGCGTTGGGCGGCGCTGAACCTCGGAAAGGGCGTGTTGTTCCTGGGATTGTTCGTGGCGGCGTCGATTTGGGTGCCGGAAAGCGCGCTGCTGGAAGAAGCGTTTGCGCAGCGATGGCTGGGAACGCGGATTGCGATCGCGTATCTGACGTACGTGGGGGTGCGGTTCCGGTATTATGGACTGTGGAAACTGGGGGAGAGTCTGTGCATTTGTGGGGGATATGGAGAAACGGAGAAGGGGAAATGGGACGGGATCAGCAATGTGGACATCGTGGACTTCGAGTTCTGCACGAGCATGTCGATGGCGACGCACGCGTGGAACAAGCGGACGCAGCGGTGGCTGCAGATGTGCATCTACGAGCGATCGCACTTCAATCAGCTCTACGTGTTCTTGGTCTCCGCGTTCTGGCACGGCTTCTACCCGTCGTATTATCTCTGCTTCTTGACGGGGTCGGGGCTGCAGGCGGTGAACAAGATCGCGCACAGCAAGCTGTGGCCGTATGTGAGCGGATCGAAGTGGGAGAAGGTGTTCCTGCGGCTAGGAAATGTCTATATTATGATGATGGGAACGTTCATGTTCGGCGCGATGTTCTCGTATTCGTTTGAGAAGGCGTGGGCCGTGTGGAAGGCGCTGGATTTCTATGGGTTGTGGCAGTTGGTGGTGTCGTTCTTGATTCTGCTGCTGGTGCCTGCGGGAAAGCCGAAGGAGAAGAAGGAGTAAAGAGAAGGTTATGGGAGTGGATGAGTTGTTTGTTGGAGCAAATGGGGAGGGAGAAAGCGATGAATAAGGGAAGTGGTGGATCGATGAAAGGAAGACACAACACAGGGAATAGCCAGCAAGCAAGCAGGTCATTCTAACTAACAAGGATAGCTTGAAACTAGCCAATCAATCAATCAATCAATTCTTTTTCTTATTCCAACAAACACATTCATTGATCGCTCCATTTACTCCTTGATTCATCCCTTGATTCACTCATCCATTCATTCACTCATCCATTCATTCATTTTCTCATTGATTCATTCATCCATTGATTCATCCATTCATTGACTCATCCATTCATTGATTCAAACAAACATTCCCTCACTCCCATCACCCCTTTCCTCTCTTCTACTCTCGTTCCTTCCTCGCTCTGTGCAACTCGTCCGCATACTCCATCAGGCTCTCGAACTCCCTTCGCTCCGCCGCCTCCTCCGCGCTCTCGAACTCCACTCCTCCCTGCACCTTCGCCCCCGCCACCAGCGGAACCTTCTCTCTCCCTCTCTCCCCACTGGTTTCCCCATTGGTTTCCCCATTGGTTTCCCCATTGGTTTCCCCACTGGTTTCCCCATTGGTTTCCCCACTGGTTTCCCCACTGGTTTCCCCACTGGTTTCCCCGTTCTCTGTCGCAATATCATGCTTCACGCGGTTCATCTGCTTCTCGGCCTTGGCGGCTTCTTTCTTCGCCTTCACGCGGCGATTTTCCTTCGCGTGATCGGGTTTTTACACTCTCCTCCTACTTGGATCATCGGCAAAAACACCGAGAAATATTCCTCCTTCGCGTCCTGGATCGCCGCCTCCAAATCCCCCATCCCTTCTCCCGTCACCGAGGAAACGCCCACCGTCCGCATTCTGCTTGTGAGGCGGATTCCCGCGGGTACGTGTTGTAGAATTCGTCGAGAACCAAACCCATCGAACGCGTCAACGGAATCATGAAACTGTCGCTTCGATCCTCGCTCACCACGTTCTGAAACGCCTATTCAAAAGTGGAAACGTGGAAACCGACTTCGTAGTCACGCATCCAGTCTTCAATGGTGCTGCAGTCTTGAATATCGACCTTGTTAAATACGATAACCATCGGCAAACGCATGCGGTACATAATACTTTGGATTATTGGATGGAAAGAAGCAGCTACCTGCATGCATACAACATGTTCGACATAAAAGTGATTGGCTGTGATGAACGAGGAGTGTCGACGACGTATAAAAGAACGGTGGGGAGAGAAGACGAAAGAGACTCGGTGATGATACTGCCTGAAGCAGACCAAGTGAAAACTTCGATTTGGCCCGGGGTATCGATAAGAACAACGCTGCTTATTAGAATTACGAATAAAAAAACGAACTCATTTTCACTAGAACGCTTATCTATAAAATCTAACACTTGATCAAACCGAGTTGCAAATAAATTCAAAGAGGTCATAATACTACCGTTTGGACCCAAGTTAAAACTGCAACTCACTCATACTCATCCATAACATACTCTTTCATCACTCCCTTATAATCAACAGTATCCCGAATATCAATGTTAGGAACATAGGGAAGACTGGAGACAGCAGGATCCAAATTGACAACATATGCATTCTTACCATTGTATGTCATATAATTAGAAATTTTCTACACGTTACCACCCATAACATACCAAACTACCTTCATGAGAGTGGTTTTTCCACTTCCAGCCATTCCAATCACAATACAACACGCTGGCTGATCAGGTGTGGGATCCTTAATCTCCGACATTCACCAAAAACGAAAAACAAACTAATTTTGAAAATGGGAAAGAAGCGCGCTAAACCTGAACAACTGAAGGAAGAGGAGGAAATCAACTATTCCGAAGAGTCCCTGAACGATTCGGAGGAAGAAGAGGAGGCGATTACGTATAAGCCTCTTACGAAGGAGGAAAGAAAGAAACAAGAGGAAATGCTTAGAGAAAATGAGGAGGAAGAGGAAGGGAGTGAAGAGGAAAGTGACGATGACGATGATGGAATTATTAATCTCGATATTGGATTTAGTGACCCGAAGGAAGCTCATTTCAAGAGCATTCGCAATCTTATGCGTTACATGCTGTTAGGTGCAGCAAGAGATGTAAACTTTTCTCCTTTAGCAGATGCAGTTGTCAAACAGGTAGAAGCAGGATCGATTGTGGAAATCAATGGAGAGGAAGATGCGTATGCCTTCCTGACGATGTTAAATCTGAAAACGCATAAGGTATATAGTATTTTGTAAAGGAATGAGTTGTTAATTTTAGGGTAACCCGACAATCAAGTCTATTTTATCAATTCTGAAAAAGAACTGTCCTCCCGAGTTGGCAAAGTCGTTTAATGACTATTTATCGAAGAATACAGGAATCCTATTAAACGAGAGAATGCGCAACTTCCCTCCTGAAGTGATGCCTCCCCTGTTCAATTCTCTCCAGGAAGACATCAAATGGGCGCTCGAAGTAGAATAAAGTACATTGAGTTGAGCGTAGAATAGTGACAACAAGGAAGCGTTCCAGTTTGACTATATTCTCGTGATTGCTCAACGTTTCCGCGAGCTGACCGTAAAGAAGAATAAAGACGGAAGCAAAGTACAGGTTACCGAAGGGAATGCCAATGGTGATAATGCTGCTGCTGCTGCTGCTGATGATGATGACACTTCCTACTTCCATTTTGAAGATGACATTATGAAAAAGGTACAATCACCTCCATCCGTTTATCCCTGTAGCATTCCAAGCTCACCTTCTCTTTCAACGTTGCCCCTCTTGGAGATCCCTCTCTTTCCGAAGTCCTTCAGCAGTCCCGCGAGGTGATGATCGTTCCGTTCTCCGACCTCCCGACGATTTATCAGGAGATTAGTGCGCTAGTCTCGGCTTTGAGTGTTTGATGAAAACATTATCCGATTCTGAACGATTCAGATGAACACACAGAAACTAATCACGTTTACCAGTCGTCATCATCATCTCCGAACAGACCGCCTCCACTCATATCGATATCTTCCTCCTCCTCTTCTTCCTCCTCCTTGGCCTCTTCCTCCTTCTTCTCCTCACCAGCAGCACCCGCGGCAGCAGCGGCAGGGGCAGCAGCACCTCCGGTAGGAATAGAAACCAGCTTATCGAGTCCAGCCTTGATCAACTCCTCCACATTCTTTCCCTCAAGGTCGGCCAGCAGCTTCTCGATCTTTTCGTCCTCAGCCTCAGCACCAATAGCCTCCAGAACAGACTTGATGTCCTCAGCCTAACCATTATTCATTCAATTGTTTACACTACAGTAGGCTTCTCGTTTCCACCAAGAACCAGCATCAAATAAGCAGCAAGATGTCTCATCTACACCAAAGTGAGTCCTCGATTCGCTTTTCCCTTTGCAACGCATAATACACATATCTATACGATACTTACCTCGAATCAACAAAATCTCTCTTACAAACATTCTATTGTTCATGGGGATACGAAGGTCCCTATAGATTCCTAGTTCAACTATAGCACCCAGGGGGTTGGCGAGAATACTGGGGAATTCTGCAATTCCAAATTTGGAATTCCCCTCAAGTAACCCATCCCCTTGGTTTTTCAATTCACACATTTACTGAAGGGATTCATATAAAAAATGGTTCGTTGTGATTCCTATTGTGCATTGCTTATGTTGTGATCGCTGGAATGTTTTTCTAACTCGTTGGTAGGGTATTGATCTTGTTGCTGGAGGTCGTAACTGTGGACACAAGAAGAGACAAGCTCCTAAGAGCGAGAACGTGTACCTGGCCTTGCTGGTCAATGTAAGCGCTTTCGGGCGAAATGGGTGATCTCGTAGCTGTACCGCTTCCTGGCTCGCCGCACCAACGCTAGATTCCCCGAGGTGGTCCTGAAGCGTCTCTACATGAGCCGCATCAACCGCCCTCCCATGAGTCTGAGCAGACTGATGAAGCACATGCAGGGAAAGGAGGACAAGATCGCCGTGATCGTCGGAACCGTCACTGACGATATTCGCGTGATCGAAGTGCCTGCTCTGAAGGTGTGCGCTCTCCGCTTCACTGAGACCGCTCGTGCCCGCATCCTGAAGGCTGGAGGCGAGTGCATCACTCTGGACCAGCTGGCTCTGCGTGCTCCCACCGGAGCCAACACGGTGCTGCTGCAGGGCCACCGCAGTGCTCGCGAGGCCGTGAGACACTTCGGAACTCCGGGTACTCCTGGAAGCAAGGCGCGCCCCTACGTGCGTTCGACTGGTCGCAAGTTCGAGAGAGCTCGTGGTCGCCGTGCGAGCATGGGTTACAAGGTCTAATTGCAGAGGAATCCAAGCATCCCTTCGAGTTGTTTGTTGAATCAAAGAGAATTGTGATGGGGAGGGGGAATGATGGATGCCGAACAGGAAGGAGGAATTCAAATGGAGTCACAACTCCTTTTTCATTTTACATTAAAAAAACCTTGAATCACCCCAAAACTCACGATCGATCCGTGCGTATAAAACAAACAAGTCACAGGAATCATACATCCAAATCCGTTTTAGTGCTGGTTTCTTCTGTGTCCGCGGAACTTGCGGTTGCTGGAAACCCTGACACCAGAGATCTTGACGTCCATAGCCGCCAACATATCAGCAGTCTCCTGATCAATATCAATCTGATCCTTCTCAAGAGCAGACACGGCGGGGATGTAGTCAAGACGACGCTCTCTCTCCTCCTCCTGAAGCTTCAGAGAGATTCCGCGCACAGGTCCACGCTGAATTCTCTTCATCAGGTGCTATCCATCATCCGATTCACATAAAGGAATACAGTCACGTATCCAGCGATCTTGTTGCGCATCTTCTTGGAGGGAAGATCAGCACATTCACTGACAGACTATGCGTTTCCCACACTCTCTACAGCCTACTCTCTTGTTGTTCTCGAAGTCCAGAGCAAGCTTCTGGTAGTACTTCTCCACAATAGTAGCAGCAGTTCTCTTGACGGTTTTAGTACGCACACGACCCTATACAACCGTTAGACCACTCTGTCTAGGTTCTCAAGGGCGATGTGAAACAAACGCCCAGAAAAGCGAGCCTTCCATTCCACCGTTCTGGAATGAATCTATATCACAAAACACTTCACTTACCATTAGATGATTCGATTATATAATTCCTTTCTGTCCTTTACGACAGCCACAGAGGAATGGCACCTAACTATTTGGGCCTCTTCCGAATATATATTAATAGGGACATACGGTCAATTTGCCGTATTGTGGTTCGAATGTAGGTGGAGAGAAAGGAATTCAATTTTGATCGACATGCGAGGAGATAGAATGAACTTGTTTGAATGAACCATGAGCACGTTTTTAACCAATGAATAGTAGAAATCAATATGTTTTTAATATTTAAATGCATTTTACAATCACGAAGGATTCTTTTCCATTTCAATGTGTGTTGACACATGTGTTGTCTGTGAGGGTGAAGCAATATAAAATCAAAAATACTATAGCTGAATATTGTTTTGCGTGTGTTTGAAGGCCATCTAATCAAATCACAGTGATGTGGTGTGTGTATGAATAAATGGAATCAACGATTCGATTATACAGCACATGGATTCTGCGTGTGTTAAATATATAGGAAGTTGGTTGGTCGAGTGTGTTGTGAAGCAAACCATTTTGCTGGTGAGTTTAGTTTTCAACCAAGTGTATGGCGATCTGCATTGCCTAGACACACGTCTAGCGTGCGAATTGGTAGTCCATGGATCGAAAAGCGTATCGAACAAACTCGTCTGGTCACTCCGCTTGTGAGTTCCAATTTACCCTTAACCCTTCACAACGGTCCACCCATCCTTCGTTGCTTCCTCCTCTCGCTTCCCCTTCCCTTTCCTCTCTCTCTTCACTCCCTTCTTCTCTTCCTCCTCTCCAGACTTCTTCTTTTCTTCAGAAAGCTGTTTTTTCTTCTCTTCAGAAGGTTTTTTCTTCTCCTCTCCAGACTTCTTCTCTTCAGTACTCTTCTTTTCATCTCCAGGCTTCTTCTCTTCACCGGTCTTCTTCTCTTCACCGGTCTTCTTCTCTTCACCGGTCTTCTTCTCTTCACCGGTCTTCTTCTCTTCACCGGTCTTCTTCTCCTCCTCGGCTCCTCCTTTCTTCACCATCGTCTTCGAGTAGTCCCTTCCCCTCACGCCTGTCCTCCTCGCCTACAGCTTCCTCGGCTTCCGATTGCGTCGTCTCCGTCGCACCTCCTCCTTCACCTCCTCCTCCACGTCTCCCATCAGCATCGTCGTGTAGTCCACGCTGTCCACCGAGTACGTCCGCGGCATTCCCGCCTCCGCCGACAAATCCATCGACTGCGTCCGCTGCTTCGTCACCAGCTCCGCGTTCGGCGTCGTCGTCAGCTACGCCTCGCTCCGCACCGCTGCGCCTACCACGATCGAATGGTCACCCGCAGGAACCGCGGGGATCGACAAGTCCGTCATCTCGCTCACGATCGCGATGATCTCCGCGGGAGAGTACTTCGTGTATTTCCCGGCGTACCCGACTCCCGCGGTTCCGCCCGTGAAGACGAGCGGGGGAAACGCGCTCGCGGACTACATGAAACGCCCGGTCCAATGAAACGTTCAGCTGCGGAAGAGGAATCGGTTTGGGGGCCGGGACTGCGCGCCGCCGCGAAGCTGCTTTGCCGCCACGGCCTCGCCGACTAGATGTGGAATTCCAGAAATCGGGGGTACTTTGAACCGCGGGGAGGAAGGTGATCGGAGTCGCCGGAAGCGGTGTAGGGCATGGTAGCCGAGGAAAAAACGGAGGAGGAGTTGGGGTTGAAGGCGTTGTAGGAAGAGAAGGAATCGAGGAGAGAACTGACCATTTTGTTGATCAGCACGGCTCGACTTTCGTTCTTGATGCGGGCATGAATCACGCTGTTTTTAAATGGCTTGTTTTGAATCGCGTGGAGAGCGTGGAGAGCGCTGGCCTCCGAATCGAGGACCACAAACCTGCATATCAAACGGAGAAAACGGGGAAACCAGTTGTTTTCGACTGGGGGTTTCACAGATTCGACGGGGGCAATTCCGTCGAATATAGAACGCACTTCGTCCTCCGTGCTGTCCGCGATGTCACGCAGAATAATAGTTTTTCGCTCCACATCAATATTGGGACGGATCTTGCTTTGCGCTTCGTCAACAACCACCTTGTCGGAGTTGCGGACGCTTTCTATAACATCTCCGGTCGAGACGAATATTAGCTTCTGTGAAAAGTGATACAAAACTGACTCAATAGGAATATAGCCCTCGTCGTCCATGCCAGATAGTAGATACATGTTTTGTGCCAATTCTTCAATAGAAAACAGATTCTCAACCTAATTCATCAACACTCTACCAAAACAGCGCACCTGCAGTTTTAAATCTTCAAAACTCGAGATCTGATTCACGACAGGCATTGGGACTCCATTTAACTCATAAGAAACGGTTTGATACTACTCCTCACAAATAAAACATGTCCAAACGTTCATATCTCTGGCTTCACTTCTATATATACAAATATCAGCGGATCTGATTTCGTACAAAGGAAAATGTTGATTCGATTTTAAAACCGCGGTTTTCCCTGCATTTTTGATACGTCTTCCAACAAACAGAGGAAAAGCCATAAACTTCTTGGTAGAGCAACTTCGACACTAAATTAACAATCTTAGTAATTCCCTCCACATCTTGCTCCAGCTCCGGCACTCGATCAATAAAATGGATTTCAGTTTTTCTTTGTTTCGCGTTGTACTCCACAAGAATCAAATATCTCTACCCATCACTACTATAACTGATCTCATACCAAACCTTCTTCGTTCAGCGATCCGACGAGCCGGTACGCATCACCCAGCTGCGGATAAACAAAAACCGAATTCTTCAGCGTCGCCTTCAGCCGATTGAACATTTCCTCCGAGCGATAAAACAGCAGCAACGCCGAAATCCGCTCTTTCGACGGATAATCAACCACTCGGTTGCGTGCCAGATCCATCACGGGGATGTCCGAATACATCTTTGCAAAGTACTACATCGCATCCAATTTTAAAAGGAAACCATGTTAAACAGCGAGAAGAACATGTCTGTCCACTTCTCTACCACCGACCTCACCTCGCCCATCACCGTGTGCGGCGCAGTCACCCACACCTTCAACTGGCACGTGAGCAAGAAGCTCATCGACGCCGGCACAAAGAACAGCGAAGCGAACTCCACGCCTTCCACCGACAGCACCAGCGGCGGCACGCTGGGCATCGTGCTGCTATCCGACAAGGACGAATTGACGCTTTCCCGCTGCCGAATCGAAGCCATCCCCGCGGTTCCAGAGGCTCCGGAGGGTCCAGAGGGTCCAGAGGATGGCGTCATTCCCGCGGGGATGAGAGAATCGTGGGGGAAAAGAACGGGGGAAGTGAGCTGGGGATCGATGAGGAAGTCGACGGGGATGACGGCGAAGGTCTCTCTACACGTTGTGAAATTGGTGGGATCGCAACGCGTCGGCGGCTTCGAAGAAGGGGATGCCTAGACGCGTGTGATGCTCGTGGAGCACGGAGAGCGTGCAGGAAAGCGGCGGAATGGCGTCTTTTTTGGCGATGGGGGCGATCACGTGGCTGAGGGAGCAGACAGTAACGGGGCGGAAGAGATGGGAAGAGAGCTCGCGAAGATGACGCAGCGTGACGAGGGGAGCCGGAGAGGAGGGCGAGAGGACGGAAGGAGGCGTGAGGGAGGGAGAGGTGAGAGAATAGAGCTGGTAGAGGAGCAGAGCGTTGCAAAATTCGTGGTAGAATTGGAGAAAGGGGAAATAATACGTGTGCGGAGAAGTGTTCGAAAAGATGTTCGCTTTAAACCGCGATTTGAAGATTTGCAAGTGAACGCAGTAGAATTCCGAACGGTCCGACGACGTCAGCACCCTACCCTCAAAACGTGGAAACGTGGAAACATCCAAGATTGGTCGTCCTCTTCGGTGCGCGTCAAGATCTCGTTGGTGAGATTCATCGCGGATAATCGGCGATGGATGTAGGAGAGAAGCGAGTGGAAGAACTCCTTACTGCTTTTGCAGTGAAGACCCAGGCGATGGCTGTCGGCTGGGAGAGCGGACAGAGCCAGACTCCCGGAGCCGAAGAGAGAATCGCTGGGAGTGTCGCTGGCTCCTGCATGGTGAAGGAAAGGGAGGAAGAAAACGGAGATCCATGTTGAGTCGGATGTTGAGTCCCGTGTTGGACGACGACGAATTGAGCGAAGTGGCGTCTTGTTTGGAGGCTTTCTTGTGTCTAGCAGTGATGGATGGACTCCTGTCCCACTTCGTTCGGCTTGTTGTGCCTTTGAACGGAGAATAAAACCCGAAAAACCCGTTCGGAGTCCCAGGATTGCCACCGTTTCCGCTATTCGATCCATTCCCATTGCCGCCATTCATTCCGATTCCGATTCCGATTCCATTGCTGCCTCCCGCTTCCTCGTTCAGTTCATGCTCGTGCTCGTCGATCAATCCCAGCGGAATCAAGAGATAATACGACCGACGCTGCAGCGTGAAATCGCGAAGCAGCAGCTTGTGAAACTCCGAAAACTCCGATTTTCGATGCAGTTCCATCAGGATATCTTCGAGATTGTGCTGCAACTTCTCGTGCTCTTGCTCGAGCTTCACTTGTTGGGATCCCATCACGACGAGCTGCTCCGAGAACTTGTTGATTCCGAGCGTGTGGGGCGATGTGTTGGGGAGATGCAGACATTGCACCAGCGTGAAGAAATTCGTGAGGAAAAGGGGAGGAGTATGCGAGGAAACCACCGGCTGCGAGAAGTTAATCGCGGGAATCGTGTCTGCGAGTTACATGGATCCATCCAAAAGTGAACTTTGATCGGTAATGTGATGGCCTCCGTGATTCAGAAGCACCAGATTGCGGACTTCGGCGGCGAGGAGCAATCCGTTGACGATGGATTGAATTCTAGAAACATGAAACGGTGCGAGAAGCTCGCTACTCGGATTGGAGCTGCGCCATGAACAATTCATTCACGCCCTTGCTGACGATATCCAGCGAATTGAACGTCACCAAAATCAGCGCGTAGGAAACTTCGTGGAATTGCCGCTGCAGCGATTTGATGCGTTCGGACGGTCGCAGCGATGTCGTACTGGGCGTTTCATTGCTGAGGGTGGGCGTTTCGTTGGTGAGGGTGGAGGTTTCCGCGGTTTTTGCGTCTTCTGCGTCGTACGCATTGTGCGAATCGTTCTCCGAATAATCGATAGAAAAAAGGGAATCGGTTGGATCGGTGGAATCGGCGTAGTCCGAATTGTTGAACGTGAGGAAGATGCAGCAGATATTGTCGTTCGATTCTACGCGTCAACTGCAAGCAGCGAAGGGAGACTCGACGAGAAAAGCTTGAGGATGTGGAGAACATCGTCGGCGTTGGTGATCATGGATTCGCTTAAGATGGGGTGCTGGATGGGCCGCGGATTGTATTCCTTCCAGCCGCACGCTAAATCGTGGCTGTAGATGTGGAAAGAACGCAGCTGGAAGGAGCTCCATTTCTCATTTTCAAAGGGAATGGGGTGGAGCAGAGGGGATTGGAAGGAGGGCGTGATGGACCGAATCCATTCATAGAACGCATCGGCCAGAATGTGGATGAAGGGAGCCGGCAAGAATTGAGTGATGTGGTACTACAAATGAACCGCTTCCCGCTCAGTTCGATACACGTTGAATCCCATCTTCGTAGCGATCTCTCGACACCACGGAGGAATCGCTCATGATGTCGCATTTCTTGCGGCCATAGCACACGTTGTACGTGTATTGAGCCAGAATCGAACCCACTGTGGTTTGATCGAACGAAGACAGCAGGGAATCGGGCAGATTGATCAAATGGAACACAATGAACACTCTATTCTTTCATTCCTATATCGATTTGTTTACTCCATACGCGCTTGTTTCGCTAAGGCAATCAGCTCGATGTCCATTTTGTTCTCGAGATCCACTCGCTTTTCTTCCGACACGATGTCCATACACCAGATTTTATACCCGATTTCCAGGCCAGGATACAACGACGACGCCAAGTTCCCGTTCAACGACTGCGGAATGTGCTTCGTCACTTCATCCAGCGTCACCACGCGGTTCTCCACATGGCAGCAGCCGCAGTCATTGATGACGCATGTGACCGGCCTGGCTTCGACCGACGCGTCCACTTCCTTCGAGCAAGGCACGCCGCGGCTGTTGAATGTTTGATGGAGTTTCAGCTCGATGAGAGTGATTTCTTTGTTCTCGATCGATCTATATTGACTCATTCATTCGTATTAAAACTCACATGAAATCGAAGCCTTCGCCGATATACACCTTCTCCCCAGAACTCGTTTCGACTCCGACGGGCGTGTTGTCGTCCAGCGTCTTCGCATTGGTCGTCGTTTCCAGCGGAATCTTTCCGTTCTTCTTTAGAATATCGAAGAAGAACGAGAAGAACGCGCTGATCGTGCAGATGGAGTGCAGCACGATGGTCTGCGATTTGTAAGCGGACGATTTGAGCCACTGCACTAACTCATCGTCGGTGATGAGCACGGAGGGCTTGACGCTCGCGCATTGCTTCAAGCACATCAATTTCGCGTGGAGAATTTGCTTTTTGATGGATTCGATCAGCGGGAAGGACTCGCTTAGCGGCGTGGAGATCCAACCCCACAATTGAATGGAGAGCATCCACACGTTGAAGTCCTCTCGCGATTTGCTGGAGGAGCGAGACAGCATGAGCACGCAGAAAGCTTCCTTAAAGTTGCCCAGAGTGAAGAAGAGGAGCTTGATGGCTCGTTTTTGGCAGGTATTGAAGGAAATGTTGTGCTGAATCAAGTTGGAGGAAAGCAGCAATCGGATGTCTTGAACCACTGTCTCGATGCTTGGCTCGTCCATAATCAGGGAAGACGCGTAGATCTCTTGATTCTTGGGGAAGGGCATGTAATACAGATTGGGGACGAGAATGTTGAGATGTCCCTTGTACCGAAAACTCTTCTCTATTCATCACCATCCAATCCGATCCACAACGTCGCACGATATTCACGACGGCTTCGTCGCGCATCTTTCGCTCGCGAACGATCACCCGAATTCGCTCTTTCTCCTTCATCGCGAATAGCACGCTGTCCAGCTTGTTTCGAATCTGGTCCAAATAATCGTCGAGTACCTGGTTCCACGTATACGGCAACCCCGCGGTTTTATCACTGACCTCTCGCTCATACCGATCCTTGAGCACGTGATTGTAGTCGTGCACGCGAATCGAAAACACGTTTTTCTGCGCATTGTACCAGATAATGCACACAAAGGGAATGGAATAGCGGTCCAAACCGTACTGCTTATAGCGGAAAGCGTCACGTTCCGCTGCGATATTCGTTCCCTTTGTCTGCTTGATGGGTGGGGGATACGAATGGATAGGGGGCGTTTCAACATCGTTGGTCTTTCGCTCGACGTAGATGTAGTATGAATCGGTTCGGAGAAACGTGGACTCGCTCGTGATCACGTTGCCAGGAGCAATGGGAGAGCAGTTGAACGAGAATTCGTTGTTGAACTCATTGCGAATATCGTCGGTCTACAATCAACTCGACTCTCCATCCAAACCAGTGTGAAATTGGGCTGGTGGTCGTGGTTCTTTACGCCGTTGTACACGCTGAGATCTTGGAGCAGATCGAACACGATCTTCACGTTGGAGAGATAGTGCAGCAGATGCTCTTCGAGAATGCGAACGCAGGTTTCAGACGCGATCGATGTGAAAATCGTCACGACTTGCTTGATTGTGTGAGCGGGGACGCTGTGTTGCACCAGCGATCTACCCAACAAACGCGCAAGGAAAGCGTTACTTTAAGGCCTGGAATTGGTCCTGGTAGCGCGGACTGCCCACGTCGTACTTCTTTTCGTAGGCGGAGTCTTCTTCGTTGCGACGGAAGTCGAGATGGGAGCAGCGCAGTCCTGGAGGAATCAAAATATCTTGACGCGGCAAGAAAGAAGCGATTCGAAGCTCCATTTTGGTGATGTGGGAACTCAAACTCTTCTCGAGGAAGGAAGT